AAAGAGAAAGAGAAAGCCAGAGACATATAACTCAGGGCTCTAGAAGGCAAAATCACCTTGAGGAGCTTTTGCAAAATATGAATGTCTGGGCCCCACGCTGGCTCTGCTGAATCAGATTCCATGGGCAGACGTGGGAGAGGACAGAGGTAGGGCTTAGACATCAGCATTTTGCAAAAGTTCCCCAAGTAATTCTGTTATGTCCTAAGGTTAAGAATGATTGGAGTAAGAAGTAACAGCAGTTACAAGACTGATTATGACAATGAAGCTCCTTTGCTTTAACTTTCCTAAGACTAAAAGTTCTCTGAATTCCTTCCTTAGAAAGTTATATTGAAATTGCACTTATTAGGATAGCCTGATGTTTCCCAGGCCATCCCACCTGGGAGAAATAAGCATGCCATGACCCTCTCTGTCATGGATAAATTGATATCTCATTCATTTGTTTGTCATTTTTATGAAAAGAAGGATTTAAAATAATTGGAGCCCAGTGCCCAAAATTATATCCTTGTGCCTTCCCTGCAGTTTGTGGTTTAGTGACTGGGCAAGAGTGACAAGAATTCATTGCACCACAGAATTTTCTTTCCCTGTAAATAATGCATTTGCTTCAGGGTGAAGTCTGATTACGAATGAAAGTGAAATAATGCTGTAGACCACAGCATTCTGAGCTGCAGAGCTGGGCATGAGCTGAGGATCAGAGGCTGCAGACATATGTTGGTCAGAGCCCAAGCCTTGAGGCCAAATCTAATGGGACTGCAGAGCAATCCTTGAGCTAACCACTCAGAATGGGAACATGTAGATGCAGAATTTCCCATGAACTAGCCATACTAAAGTAAGTCAGTTAAAAACAATTAAAATTGCATTTTAATTTTGGAAAGCCTTGGCTTGTTGCCCTAGTTCATGAAGGTCTTATAAAGAAGTGATTGTAGAACAATTTGCAAATAGAAAGTATTTCTAATACTATATTTTAGTTGCATTAGGAATAATGATTTACATTGAAGCCAGGAATGAGTCAGACGTTACACAAGCATTGAATTAGGCACATAACCTGTCTAGTGCTGGGACTATCTGGAAAAAAAAAAAAAGAGAGTATGTAAATTTAGCTTAATATCACGTAAGTGCTATGGGAATAATTGTAAATAATTGGATTATTAGTAAGGAATTGGGAGTGTGGGCAGATTTCTTTCTGTGGTTGGAGTATTGGACTAAAAACAGCATAACTTTGGCAATCTAAATGAAACACAGGACAAAAAGCATATACCGCCAAATCGGAATGACATTTGAAAATCACGTTAATACAGCATTTACCTTCCAAGAGATTTTTAGATCCAAATCTATTTCATCCAGATTATGCTTTTCTCTCTGCAATCAGCAATTTTGATTGAAAATACGGGTCTACAAATACATTTATGTCCATTTGCTAATCTGTACTGTCAAACAAGCCAGTTCTAATTTGTTTCCAAAATCACTTTGTAAGTGGTAAGTATCTAGTACAGAAATGTGTTAAGTTCCATAGATTCTATACTAAATACTCAAACTATTTTCCAAATATCTAGTATATTTAATAAATATGGGTCCCTTCGGGATGTAGAGATGTCTAATGTATGTTATCAGAATTAATAAATGCTATCTCTTTTCTATATATTTCACATTAAAATGGCGGCAAGTAGTTGTTGACCAGGAAAAGTCTTAAAGGTTATTTTTCTTTTTATGAAGATCTTCCAATGAGGAATTCACACTGAAGTCACGAACCAGTGTTAGAAAGGACTGAATCAGATTTTTCCTAGCATTTTGTTGTGTGCCCAGATTTTGGTGGTGTCTCTCACAAAATACCATATTTGCATTTACCCTTAACCTTTGCAGTCCTCATATGTAAGATAATTCCATAGAGTATCTTGGCAAAATTAGGAGGAAAAACAAATCCAAATAGTGCTAAAGAGAAGATTATAAATTAAAAGTCTTATTCCATTACTCTTTATAAAAAAAAGATTGAAAATGGCAAGCTAACATGAATCTGTTGATGATTAAAGCATTTGCACTTGGCTCAGTAAATTAACAGGAAAGAAAGAAAAATGACTAAATTTTCTTTCTTGTTATCTAACATAGAAAGTTTTATTTTTTTTTAAATAGAAGATTATGCTGCTGTGATTTTTCTAGTTTCAGATATAAGACATGTATAGTCATAAAAATCTTGATGGCTGTTGCACGAACTAAACATTTTCATCCTAAAAAGAATTCATCAGAATATACATTGAACATTTATGTATGATAATGAAGAATTAGAAGTGATTGAAGTGATACGCAGTAAGAAAATTCTTGAATAAGTTATGTTATAGCTTGATGGAAAATTATGCAGAAATTAGAATCATATTTTAGAAAAGTGCTTCATTACATGAGAGAAAATGCTTTTGGTAATGTTAAGGGAAAAGACAGCAAGATTTGAAATTGTATATTAAGCAAAATCTTTATTTCGTGATTTAAAAAGGAAAACACAAATACATACACATAAAATTACATGTGGTAATATAATCACTATGTTATCGAGGGTTTTTTTAGGTGCAGTTACATTCTTATTTATGTTACAGCCTTTTCCTAACTGTTAAAAGTAATTAATTTTGAATCAGAAAAATTCTTGATAAAATAGTAAAATAGAAAGGAAAACCCATGTAGTAGAGAGGTATTTATTAAATGCTTACAGGTAATATTAGGAAGAAGTAAGGATGACTTAAATATTCCACTTTATCCACATAGTTACTGCATTTAAAAGCCATTTTATTACAAACTACCATGGTGCTGATTTTTTTTTTATTGACAGAACTAAAGGAGGGCTGAGATTTTATTCAACAGCTCAGCGTTTAATATAGGTATTCTTGTTTGAATTCATTATCTATGGGAAGAAGATGGCAGGTTTTGAACAAATCTGGCATATAAAGTAGAATATTAAACATATCTAGAATTTGACTATTATAAAAGTAAAAAGAAAGCAGTAGAGTTAAAATTAATAAACAAAGTAAAAAGACAAGTAATAAACTGAAGAAGTGTCAGGAGATAGGGTTAGAAAGGTGGTAGGGCCAGCTCAAGCAAAAACTTAAGGGGAGCAAAGGTCTAAGGCTAGTCTTTTGGAAAGGTAAACTGGTTGCATTTACCTATCACCCACACAATTTTTGCCCTGTTTGCATATCGTGTGTACTAGTATTTACTTAATTTTTTTTAATTGAATTAAAAGTTGTTTGTTTTTTTTTAAATTCACCTTCATCATAGCAAACATATCTGTTAAATCATGACTCTGGTATATTTATTCTTTTTCATAATGCAAATTAAAATTAATATGTGACTATAAAAATAAGGCAATCCAAAATCATCTTGAATCCCGTGAGTGAGACACTTTCATGGAGGGGAAGGGACGTGGACATTTTGGCTGTCCTGTCTGTCACTCAGGCGCTACCATAACTTGAGTATGGTAGTCCTCTTGCTGTACTTGACTGGTGTAGAGTTTTGTTTTTGGGATTCCTAAGAAGGCTGATATTACAGCCTGGGCACTGGGGCAGTGCCGTTTCTGCAATGCCGTTGACCAGAGGTGGTGCATTCCAGATAGCAAGGGGGAGTGAGGAAGAGCATTTAGTGATGGGGACCAGAGATGCAGTTCTCAGATGAGGTCATAATTCCAAGGGAGGAGTTGGAGTGGGAAAGAAAACAGGAGAGAACACGTGGGATAGAGGGGTGTCAGCTACTGCCAAAACATGGTTACGATCCAAGACTGTTTGGTCCTGCTGGTACTGTAATGAAGAGCTGTTGTTAGTGTTCTATGAGCTACTTAAAGAGAGAAGAAAATAAAAGTGGAAGCATCACCCAGTGGTTTCATTAGCACAACCAGTTTTATTTCCATAAAACTGTGGTAAAAGGAACTTACTGGTATCATTTAGTCCATCCATTGATTCACAGGGAACACTCTGCCCGCACATGTCTGAAAATGACACGAGGAAGCATGCACATGTTGGGTGCTGGATAGGAGCTGGGAGCCCATGACTCCCAGCCCAGCCCAACCTCCCTTATCTGTCAAGACCACTGGAAGACAGAAAGGGAGATTATGACCCTGATTTCTCTCACGGGGAAGGCTGTGAGGACAGCCTGGCTTTGGTCCTCTGTGCTCACTACATCTTTATCTTTCTTGTCGGCTGCTAAGTCCAGACTGACTTTCTCCCCTGTCCCAAAAGAGGGGAAAAAAAAGGGGGGGGGGGAGGCTGCTGATCTTCTATCTGGTGGTGGGACTGCTGTGCTTGGAAATTCTCTTGTGGCCTTAGCTTATCTGTGTTTGCTTTAACATGATCCTTTTGCCCAGGGATTGCAATGATTTCAGACCAGTGTCCTCAATCTTCATATTAAATGCCTAATGTGTTCTGTATATGAGTAAATTTTTTTAAAAATTTTTGTTTCCTTATTTTTGCATTTGAAATAAGATAGACCCAAACCAAAAGAAAGATAATCATTTCTCTTGTTCAAGGAACTCCCAGGAAGAAGGTGCCATGACTTGCCTCACTGCAAATTTTGAGATTCTTTGCTTTCTCCAACTAAATAACAATAGGTTAGGTGCTAGAAGCTCTATGAAAGCAAGGATTTAGTCTCTTTTAATCACTGAAGCGTCTATGTCAGGCATAGGGACTGATTCAGTGTAGGCACGGACACATTTTCTTGAGTGACGAGTGGGTAATATAATATTACTGTTATATTTATACAGCAGTTCACAGTTGCAAAGAGTTTTCCATTGATCCTCCCAATGCCATGTTCAAAGTGGACAGGAACCGATGTTTTTACGCTCATTTTATAGGTGGGGGGATTCAGCGGTAGGATGGCCCGCCCACGGCTTTACACGGAGTCCGTGATGTGCTCTTCAATCTCCGAAATCCGTATCTAGATATGAAGTCCAGCAAGATGGGGTCCAGCTGCTCCTCCGCGTGATGGGTCTCGCTTTTCTGGACTTTCATGAGACTCGTATGCTTTATTTTCAGATTACAGGACAGGCCCCTGTTACACTGTGGTCAGCAACCAGATGTGCCAGGGACAGCTCAGCGGGATCGTCTGCACAAAAACGCTCTGCTGTGCCACCGTCGGCCGGGCCTGGGGCCACCCCTGTGAGATGTGCCCTGCCCAGCCTCACCCCTGCCGCCGCGGCTTCATTCCAAACATCCGCACGGGAGCTTGTCAAGGTAAAGCTGGGCTGATGGAATTATTAATGGATTAATCTTGTTTACTCTGGAGAGCCATTCTCCTACGAAGCCGAAGAGAATGGAAAAGTAGTGTCAGAGACATAACTTCACGATTTCGCTGACTGCGTAATACCCAGCTAAGGCATTAGGAACGTGGCTCACGAGACAGCAGCTGAAGTCTTACTGGAATTTTCCTTGCCAGCAGTTCCCCCTCTGACCCCAGAGGTGTTTTCATGTACCTCTGACTCCAGGGGTGGTGTGATTCTGTTTACAGCAATGCCATGCCTGATGGCAACGCTGCTGCGCAGAAACACAAAGCGAGACTTGTGAACAAGGTAGTTTATGTTTTTCTTCATTTTTTTCCCCCTTCGTTTAAAACTGTTAGAGTTCCTCTGCCTCACGGGTTGTACTTAATTGACCTGAAGAAAATTGTTCCTCTCGACATTTTACATGCTACATTATGCATTTTTTTTTTTACAAGTCCGAAATAAATTAGGATTTGTTTCACAGTTTTAAATATCCCCAGATGTCGCCCGCTAGCTGCTTCTCCTGCTTCCCAGAGAAGCCCTTACTCTGTTTTTGGCTTTTACTCCTGTTCTTCCAGCTGTACAAATTCTTTTATTGTCTGGATGTCTGGCAGGAAACAGGAGGAAGTGAACAGAGGCAGCTCCACACTAAACTGATGGGATTGAAAACTCCCAGGCTATATCTGTTTCCTTTAGACCTCTTCGGGGCTTGCTTGCTTTTTTTTTTTTTTTCTTTTTTAGCAAGTTGCAGTATTTTCAAAAAATTCAGGATATGTTATTCTGAAGCAAATAGAGAATAGTTTGGTTTTGTTCTTTATGTTAATTCTAAGGGTAATATGCAATAAGACAGAACTTGAGCTTACTACCACTTAATCCTACTTCTGATGCATTGGTCCTAGCCTCTGGCTTCCATGTATAGCATACAGCTCCTTTGTATGCCCTTGAATATATCTTTCGGAATGGCAGGAGAAGCGAGAAGTCACTTCGAAACCTTCAAATTATAAAGGGATGGATTGTAGGATTTTATACAACTAAGAGTATGTTTAATTCTCCTTATTTTTAGTGCCTTGTTATTTTTCTCATTCTTAGAAAGTCCCAGTGAGTTTTGGAGAATGTGTTGGTCTTGGGGTTATGAAGTTAGCAAATGCCCATGAACTTGTTGGCAGTGACCAGAAAGCCAGACCTCGAATGCCCAGCTGCCCATCAGTGAGTCATGGTCAGAGTTTAGGGCACAAACAGAATTTGGGGGAAGAGAATGAATGGGGCGAGGGAAGAGGCACCTTCTCTGTAGCTTTGCTCTTCATTTCATACCGTCTGGATTTTTCTAATGTTTGCTTCCTGTCCCTTCCTGACTCTGCCTGCTATTCAACATCCAAGGGGAGGAAAACAGGTTTTTTATAAGAAAATTTTTAAAAACCCATAGAATCAAAATGGCTGCTATATTGCCATTTTGAGAATGAAATTCTGCATGTTTGGTTGATTTTTTTTTCCCCAAGAGAGATTCTGCCATCCACTTGGGGCTCCCTTTACTTGCTGATGTTCCCAGTCCTTGGGCCAGATATAAAGGCCTGTGGGAAGATGGGTTCATAAAGGAACCAAATCTGTCTTCAGTCTTGTGATATTCAGCCAGTGGAGAATCGCCCTTATCTATATTTCCTACTGGCCAAAAATCATGATCAAAAAAGACATCTAGTTTTGCCTGTATGTAAAGTCTTAATTTCAAATAACATTTTAATCAACATATTAAGAGAATAGAAAATTCTATTCTAAGACAAAACTGAAATTGGCTGGAGAACATAATCTAATTCTATTTTACACATACTCTGTCATTTGTGGGTCGAGACATTCCATTTGAAAGAGTGAGCGTCACTTTTACAACAGATTATTTCGTTAGTATCCCTTTTACTGGGTGCTGGCTTTTCTCAAGGATGCAAGTTGAGATCTTAACAAAGGGCAATCACGTTTTGCTTCGTTCAATGAACAGTGAGGCTAAAGGGTACACTTGGCTTCCAGATTTATGAAAGAACAGTCTCTAAAGGAAAGGACAAAATGTTGGACTGTTTTCCTTGGGGTCTTTATTAAATCAGACTTTTCTGTGTTATGAATGAAGAGATGGAAAGAATGTACCCATACTTCTACAATCTTTATAACTGAATGTAGTGAGCCTGGGAGGATTAATTTTGTTCCTGGAAAGTTCATATTTGGGGTTATGAGTAGGACCACAAGGTAGTCCATAGCTTCTGGGGGATACAGCAGTGAAGAAAACAAAGTTCCTGCTGTCTAGAAGCTTATATTGAAGACAATCAATTTATAAAACAAAACAAACAGGCACATATTAGGTCAATTGGTGCTTAGTCCTATGGGGAAAAAAACCAAGCAGGGTAAGAAGAGTGATGAAAACCAGGGGCAGGTGTCACTGTGGGGCTGTCCAGGGAAGGACTGGCTGCTAAGTGGCACTTGGAGTAGAGACCTGCAGGATGGGACAACATGAGCCCTGCAGCTCTCTGGAAGAAGAATATTCCAGGCCCGGGGCAACCACTACAGAGCCCTGAGGCAGGAGCATGCTTGGCGTATTTGAGGAATCCAGGGTGGTGGGAGAGGAGCAAGAGAGAAAGGAGGGTGGGAGATGAGATCAGAGAGCAGAGGGGTCATATGGAACTTTCTGGGACTTAGCATGGACTGAGTGGGGAAGGACTCGATCTGACTTACCTTTAAAAATGTTCCTTCTGATGCCTGCTCAGTCAGCAAGGTAAGTCTGCACCTGAGACAGCAAATTCGCTTGAGGATCTCTCTCACTTCTTGTTCTAACTTTCTGAGTTGTTTAGCTTTTACTGGGCAAGGCAGTTCTCCAGAATGTAAGGTTAAAATTTTGCACTTCATTTGTACGAAAACTTTAGCTGTCTCTTGCAGTCTGAGTGACCTTAAGTAAATTGTGTTTTAACTAAATCAGTCAGTACAACTCTTAAAAGATAGTTTCATCATAGAAAATGTATTTTGATTTTAAGGATTTCTTGAGTAACTCTGATTATTACTAACAATCTGGAGGTAAAAATAAGTCAGTGAACAATGGCCTTTTAATCATTGTATTCTTGTCCTTTGCAGCATATCTAGTAAAATCCACAAAAATTAGTACTAACATTCTCTTCTACATGAGGGAAGGTGGAAGGTGGGAAAATAAAGAATACTCATGCCTTCTTATAGAACATTATTGACTAAACTATGTTAATATACTTTATTTTATATAGTATAATTGTGAGAAATAGTTTCTCTCATCATATTCCGAGTATTGCAATGGACAAATAACTCGTTGATATACATATGGTAATATAATTGTGGACAAACTATCACATTTTCTTCTGCAATGAATTTTATATGAACCTTTTTTTTCTGTCTCTCCTCTAAAATCTGACAGACGTGGATGAATGCCAGGCCATCCCTGGGATCTGTCAAGGAGGAAATTGCATTAATACTGTTGGGTCTTTTGAGTGCAAATGCCCTGCTGGACACAAATTTAATGAAGTGTCACAAAAATGTGAAGGTAAGAATCTCATGCTTTGCAGTCAAGGGAGGAGGGCAGGCAAAACTCCACATCAGGGACAAGCTTGTTTGCTAATTATTCTTAAATCCTCTGTCTTTGTCATCCCCATGAGTGTGTAAATACAATATTCTTACCAGGAATAATATGCCTTTGTACCATTGAACCAGAAAAACCCTGCAGCTTTTTCCACTTTTATAGACCCAAAATAAGAGGTCCATCTGAATCAAATTAAATATTAAAAACATGAAATATTTTTGAACCAATATTTGGTTTAAAATGTTCAAGACACATGTTTTTACATAGTTCTAGAGACATAAATTTAAACTTGGTTGTTAGATATCATTTGGAATGATATACCTTCTGATGTTTTTCTAGTTAAAATGCATGTTTGATTTTTTGTGTGTGTGCAGGAGGGAGATCTATAATATGTTTATGCTCCTAGTAGGTGCTTACGATTTTCTTTTCTGGGGGATGATATTTGCCTATTAAATGAAAACTTGTTAAATTTTTGTCAGACAGAAAACTAACTTTAGATAAATCTTTATATTTTCATTTAGTTTATAGATTTAGAGCTTCTAAAAATGTATATATGGAGGATGGGTTTATATTCAGCCCTGCTGCTATTTGCCAAAAAGAGGCCTGGCTTCCAAGTGTAAAAATCATTTCTTAGTGAGAGGGAATCATCCAAAATATAAGTAGATGGCATTGAACTCTCTCTTCTGTGATGAGTGCTTGTAATTTATATATGGTTATATCTGACAATAGTGTAACAGCATTCTCAAGGCTACATCTCTTATCAAGATCACAAAAGAAAACTTTTTCCTTCAGTCTCAACTCACTGTATGCATTTTTTTTTAAAAAAAATAATTGCTGTTGTATATATGCTCCTAGACTTCCTCAGTGAGGAATAATTTATTCTAAGTTACTTGTCTGGCCTCAGATGGTTAACTTTTGTTGGTTTCCACAGTCTTATCGTACAGGTGAAAGACAGAGTTAAATTTAAGGTGCAATTCATAAATTACATGTAAGACATTTAATCTTTACTTGCCCTGAAACTGAATAGTCTAACTCTGATAGAACTAGCTTTATGGGTTGGAGTTGTTTTTACGTTATTAATCATCATAGAATTTGTAATTGATACGCATTCTTGAACGTGTTATAGTTATTTTAGGTAGTTGTGAAAAATATTTTAGTTGTTTATGAAGAAGTAGGGCTTCTTAAAAACATTTTAGTTTTCAAAGAACAATAAAGTTGACTCTCAGTAGGCCAATGTATTTTAGAAATTGTATTGTAGATCTAAGTTTGAAGCAGAGTTTTAATACTGAAAGGGGCAAAGAACTCACATAGTTCCACCCTTTAATATTATACATTAGGGAACTGTGTCTTGGGTATGTTAAGTGCCCTGTTCTGAGGTCATTTAGATAGTCCTAAAATTGACCTCTTTTGACTCACACTCTGGTGCTTGTTGAGTCACATTACATTGTCTTCTTTCCTAGATGGAAGTTGTCGCCTCTACTTTAAAAACTATATTTTCTAATATTTGTGACAATTTAAAATATTTTGGTATGGATTTTTCAGGTGCCATCATACATATCTTTTTATGACATTAATAAGCTATTAAGGTTTATCATAGGCAAGATCCACATCAACAAAGGATTGTGTCCTACATTTTAGGCTTTCTCAGTTTAATATATTCGGCTTCAAAATATATAGTTGGCTTCAAGATTTAGGGCAATTATACTCCGTCTGACTTGCTCAGTCTGTGTTTTGTCTTCTGGAATTATGATAGCTTCCAGCCTGGACAAGATTGATTTTTGTCTCTTGTTTTCCACTCAGACCAATCAGTTAACAGTCAGAAATAGTCTATGGAGGTGGACTAGACAGAAGATTCAGATTTAGTGCTCAGACTGAAAGAAAAATGATTCAAATCCTTTTATTAATGCTAAGAAACCTATTATGGTGTACCCAATGGACCAACAATTCATTCTAAGAATTACTTAATCCTTTGTCGCATGCAAAAAACATTTTTTCAGGACACATATTGAAGTCAGTAGCAAGATAAAAACAGAATACTTTTAGCTAGACCTTTATTTTTATTCCTTTGCCATTTACTGTTACATTAAATTTAGATGATTTTTTTCCTCCTTTTTAATTTTTCTATGCAAAATCAACATGAGAAGAGAATGTCCTCAGAGTACAATCTGCCCTCTGGCCTGGAGGCTGGTGTGAGCATTGTTAACTTGTCTTACTTGGGTATAAAAGTAATCGGAAAGTCCTCTGAGACTCTTAGTGAGCTGGGTCCACTTCCTCAACTCTTGCCTGTGCCCTTTTCCAGTTACATGGCCTCACGATGGAAGTGGCATGGCTCTGGGTATAGTGTGATTTCTAGATGATCAGTAGAGGGAACCCAGAAAATCTGGCTTACAACAAGTGAAAAGACTTGTGCCCTGGGTAGATGGTCAGGCACAACCATGGGGTTCTGTGCCCTTGTAAAGATTGCTTTGGTGCCTTTAATGTTATTCTGAGTGGCTTTTTAAATGTATCTTTCTCTTGATGTGGAGAGGAAGAAATTGGGTACGTTTTATAGTACATTAAAAAAACAATTCAATCAAAGTTGGTTTTAGCGAATTCACAAGATGCTAACCTTCACTCCGTCATCTGTGAGAATGGCTCTATTCCGTTTTCTTTTCATGAGATCTTCCTTTGGTACAATTCTCCCTTCCTTCCTAAAATACCCCTCTTTCCTCAAAATGTAAAACAAACAAAAAAAAAATGTTGCATAACTCTTGGGATATTTCACCTAGTAAAAAAAAAAAAATGTTGCATACCAAGTTTTATATAAATACATACAATTTGGGTACATTTGAAATATAAATTAACAAACCAAAGTGATTAAATAACAATTATTAAATTTTTATACATTGAAGAAGAAAAAGATTGAGATTTATAGCTGTGATTTGAGAAAAAGGGAAACAGAGTTCATGCCCACCTTCTTTGTTGATTTTTCCGATTACGGTAGAGCGTGCACACTGAACGAACACACGAGCCTTTTCCTTTTGGAAACCAAGTCCATATTTGCATAGGTTACTGTGGGAGGAAATTAAGAAATAAAAAGTGTAATTAAGGGATTAAGTTTTATTTCTGGAAGAAGTCCCTTGGATTCCTAATTAACCACTAATATTTTGGGATTTAGATTATCGTCAGGCCAGCCTTTAGCAATTATAATAGCACTGTATGATGCAAAGGACTTTTTTGAAATTGTAGCTCTTAAACCCATGCACTCCCTAACATGTGAGCCAAAAACCTCAGTACTTCCCCTTTCCAAAATAATGGCATGTTTATCTGATGGTTACCTACTATTAGGGGCTCTTATCCTCTCAGGCACCAAGGAGAATCCCTGGGGCTGCCTAACTCATTGTCACAGATGGGGCTCCAGCCCCTGCAGCTGGCTGCAGGCCCTTGACTCTTACTGTTCAGGCAGCTCTGCAGTTAATGGGACAAAATCTCTGTGCCCTGGAAACAAGGTAGACCTGGCCATAGTACTGGTAACGTCTCTAATCCTGTGCGAGCTTAGACAAGTCAATCACCAGCTCTGAGTTAACTTCAGTTTTCAAATGAGGAAGTTGAACAAGGTGGTATTTGGGGGTTCTTTCCAGTCCCACAGTCTGGATTCCACCTCTATCTACACTGTTGTTATTTTCAAGTTGCCCTCAGTCAACTGATGCTGCATGAATAAGAAGCCATGAAAGCTGGCGGCCTACGTGGTGGGACTATAAGATAGTATGGCTGGTGTTTTTGTCTTCATGACTTAAAGAATCAGCTTGTTTACTTCTTAGTCACGTGCTTTATACTGAGTTGAGTTTGTATAATAAAACACAGTTAATCTGAAGGCTCCATGGCATTCACAGTCATTAGTGTCACATGTTACTTTTATACAGCTGCCACATTTTTATTTATTTATTTTCTTCACTAAGGAATCTAGACAGGATAGGGTTAACTGTTTTTTCCTGTCAAGTCCACCATCTTGGATGGAGCTTCTGAAAGGCTGAATGTCCCAGTGATGCCTGTCCCAGAACGGAGACCAGACTCCATCCTTTTGCCCTCCACCCTCCTTCCTTTTCTGCTGCTAGAGGAGCCCCAAGATAGGGAAACAGCCTAAAGATAGGAAGAATGCCCAGGGAGAACAGATGACACAGAAGGAAGAACAAGAACATGGCACGGGGCAGCAAATAGGGAGGGAAGGAACCTTCCATTGTGTCTCTTCGAGGGTCAGCAAGAAGCCAGGGGGGGACATGGGTAGCCGCCAGGGTAGAGCTGCTTCCCAGCAGCTCTGCCTCGCCCCTCCTGCTTCAAGGAAGCAGCCAGAAGTGTCCAGAGCACAGAAATAGCTCTTCCCAGCCAAGCCCTGCTCCCCACCAGACATCCTCACCTGATTTACTTTTACAGCTGGCATTTGATACAGCCTGACTTACAGAAACTCTGGGAAATTCACCGTTCTCAAACTCTCTCTTACTTGGGATGCCTGAAATTCTATTAGAAGGGGATAAACACAGAGTGGTAAGAACTTGGAGAAGTAATAAATTAATATGAATGAGTTTCAAAGTGTGAGTCACTCCAATTCAAATGCCTTCATTTGGCCTTTTACCATTAGGAACTTCCACCACAGCCTGGTAATGAGATCAGGACTTTTGCTGTTACCCTTATGAAGCCGTGGGTCTGAGAAGCAAGGTAGTTTAGGAAAGTAGAAAAGCACTAGACACCTGAAGGAAAAAGGGTGTGTTGTTGAGGAGGGGACATGTTAAGGGGAATTCGAAGTCATTTAAACTCCTTCAATTGTAATACTTTGGTCTAGTTCTGTTTTATTTTTACCTGTGTGAAAATCAGGGAAGCATGCACCATGACCTATTTCCTAACCTGCTGGCCTTTGAAGGCATGGAACTTGGTGGAAACTCCTCCTACACTGCCCTACCCCAAACCCCTGCCAGTTGAATACTTGGGTTTAGCATCACTTCATAAACAATGAGTCCCTTTGCTTGTATTTCAGGTTTTATTCAAGCCCGTTTTCTGAAGGCCTCAGTGTAATGAAAGGGCACCAGAGGTGTAGAATCAGATCCTGTGATCACACCTGTATTGTGTGGCTTAGATGAGTTGACACACAGAAAACATTTAGACAATGCTTGGCATGCTGCACATTCACACTCTTGGTATTATTGTTGTTGTTATTGTCATCTTCAATAAAGGGTCCAAATCTAACCTAACTAGTGTATGAAAGATATTTCTCCTATCTTACCAAAGTTAATTCTGTTTTTAAAATAATTTTTTCTGATGTATGCTATCACCTAACCTTTCTGGATATTGATGTATGTTAAGTGGCCTTAATAAGGATGGTAGCAGTCATTTATATTAATAGGTTGAAAAAAAATTTTTAATGAATGATCTCTTCACATGATCTTTAGCAGGTGCTATATGATTTGACTATTAACTTTTAACTTTTACGCACACTTTGAGAAGTGTACATTCTTCTTAATACCCTTGAGTTATGTCTTTCTCTATCCTTAAATGAGGTTTTGAACCCTGTAGGCTTTTCAGCATACTTGTGTTAAGTTAGAGGTGTGGCTGGGAAAATACAGAGGATCCAGGTTGAAGAACCATTCTTAAAATATGCCTTGAGATATTATGCTGGTTCTAGAACCTTAGGCTCTGCCCTTCCCAGTTTTTCTTTGTGACTCTTTCACTGACTCCAGTGAAATGTACTCGCATATCTGTCAGCATAGCATATACACCTGTACTATTACACAACTTCATAATGACAATGCTGTTTATGTTAGCATTGACTCTAATATAAACCATGAAATATCGTTTGGTTTAGCCATTAGCCTACCATAGAAGAATGGTGATTCTGCTTTCAAAAAGGTTAACCTTGCATGTAAACCCTGTCACTCCTGCCTTTTTGACTAACAGGGTGGACTTGAGTCAGAAGACACTTGAATCTGGCCCGCTTAGAGTTCTATTTTGTTTTACAAATGAAGAGCAGTATTTAGAGTGGAGAAGAAATGTTCTTATTTTGAGGTTGTAAGCCTTTCCAGATTTCAAGGGTATCAGCCTGTCCATTGCAATACTCACAGGAGGCTTGGGCCCAACCTCATTTCTCCCTAGGTCAGTGCAGAAAGCTCTACTGGTATTAGAAATGAGGCCGTGCTGATTCCCTGTGCCCTGAGGTCACTGCTAGCCTAAACAGGAAGTTCTTAATTTTCTGTCTCCTTGTACTGGTGCCATATCTGTTGACATTTATTAGTGTGTGGGTTGGGCTATTAAAAAGCTCCCCTTGCAGGAGATGGTCAGATTTGTCCCAAGGGACTTTTTCTACTTCCTTAGAGGGAACCAGTGGTGTCAGGCCTTGCGCCGGGCTACCCCCAACTATAGCCTGCATAGCATTCAGGGTGTTTACTAGAGGGTGTCCTTGTGATCAGTGCCTACAGATGAGAAGTGGAGGAGTCAAGAGTGTGCAGATGGAGCAGGTGAGCTGTGGTGGAGCCCAGTGATAGCCTTGGCTGACCCTAGAAGGAAATGAGGAAGTAGAGTGGCCTTCAGAGTTGTCTCCCATTGGGTTGAGATGATCAAACCTCAGTTGCTCTTCAGGCGTAGAGTGCCTGGGAAGGGTGGGACCTCAGGTGGCTCTCTGTGGCTCAGGCAATCCTGGAAGGGGCCAAGAACCACAGGCTATCTGCTGACAACATTGCCAGCAGCTGGAGCACCAAGTCTTTCCTTGAAGGGGTTTGGGGTGGAGCACCCAGTGTCCACCACAGTTCACTCACAAAAAACCATCCTAATGGTAGTTTGGGTGCCATTGAGAACACCAAGTTGATATTGTCTACACTTAGGCCAGTCACCCAAGTTAGCCAAGTCTTGGTCAGCACTCAGACCACAAGGTCTTCTCTGTAGGATTTCAACATCTGCTTTGTGGAAAATAGTTTGAAATGAAATATAGTAAGTGATGCAGCAGAATATAGAACGTGTAGTAGAGGAGTTTAACTCAATGCAAAACATGGAAACAAAGGGGGAAACAAAATTATAAAATAAATGACATTTGGAATATTAGCATGCTATGGTTACTTGGTACCCAGTTTTAGATTTTAAAGGGGGTGATTTTGTTTTGCTCTAATCTCTTGAATTTGGTAAGTCCTTGGTAACTCTGTGCTGGGAGAAGCAGCACCTACCCTTTGAGTCGATTGTTCTCTATGCAGCTTTTACTTTGTAAAGATGGATGTGTCCAGGGACATGATTTGATTAGTGTTGACATCTGAATTCTTTTAATGATGAACGGTTTTGTACTATGTTCTCAGAATACTGAAACTCTTATTTATGTTGCAGATATTGATGAATGCAGCACTATTCCCGGAATCTGTGATGGCGGTGAATGTACAAACACAGTCAGCAGTTACTTTTGCAAATGTCCCCCTGGTTTTTACACCTCTCCAGATGGTACCAGATGCATAGGTAGGTTTAATTAGAAGGAGCATGCATGGTTTGTACAAATCGGTTCCATAATGAACATCTTTCTAAACAGGTTTGTTAAGGGGGATATATAATTTATTAAGTGAGGTAAAATGTACATGTATGGAGAGGTGTTAAGCAGTTGAACACCCTCTTAAAGAACAGAGGTACCTTGTGGTCTTATTTTGGGATTTTTTTTTTTTTGCCTCCCATGAAAGAGGGATGTTCTAAGAGACCCTACAGATATCCTTGTTCTAGAAATTAACATTGCAGTTATATAGCATCAAACCTGAAGCCACCCGGCATGTCTCTCTCTTTTTACCCTCCCCTTCAGTCATTTCCGGAACCTGTGTGAATTTAGGCCTGACGTTTTGCAATAATGTCTTAATTGGTCTCCTTGCTTTCTGGCTTCTCTACAATCCATCATGTCAGATTTGTCTTCCTAAAACAGTGCTTTGATTAAATAACACTCTTGCTCAAAAACCTCTGGTAGTTTTCTACCGAGATTTGGAAATCAGTGGTTCTCAGTCTGTGTCCAGTAGGTCCTTCAGTTGCCTCGGAGCGTCCCAGGGCTGCAGGAAATGCAGAAGAGGACAGTGAAAAGGGGGAGGGCTCCTGTCCCCAACCCCCCACTCTGGGTGTGGCAATTCTGCTTTTATCTGTTGTGAGCGTTAAAGTATCAATTGATCAATCAATCAAATTGATGTAAAGTATCAATTAAATAAGGGATTCTGTGGTTTGAAAAAATAGATTTGACAAGTGCTAGATTCAGCAATTGTTAAGACTTCCTTCAAAGTCCAGTATTCTAGATTAAGATTCAAATGCCAGAGTGCACAGCCTGATAGTTAAGGGGCGTCACTCTCTCACCCCCTCCCGACCTGCTGACCTGTCAGCACAACCCTGGCTCCTCACCCTCAAGTGGGCCGTGCATTTGGGTTCCTTCATGTCTTTAATCATACGTGGTTCACTACTGAGAACACGCTTCTCCCCAATTCCAGCCCCCTTTCGTGCTTCTGCTCCGGCTGTGTATCTTTGAGGATGTCCCAGATCAGCTTACTAAAGCGGTTTCTTCCTTACCTGAGAACGTGCTTCTCATAAATGGCCTTATAGGGAAATTCCGTGTGTCTGTATGGTTTTATCTTTCTGAGTAAGTTGTAAGTTCTCTTAAAGACTAGTAACTGCTATCCTTGTATCCTCCAGGTTCTCAGCACACTTCCTTGTGTGTAGTAGGCACTCAAGTATTTGGTAAATATCAAAATGAGTAATTTGTTGTTATTAGGGCAAAGCTAGGAATCCTGTGGCACGTAGCCTTGGGGAAAGATGAAGGCTATCTTTTCCTCTTTGTTTCTCGTCCATATTTTCGAAAACATTCAGCTTCACGTCTTCACCACAGGCCATGATTTCAGACCAAAACTGAATTGCACTTGAAATTCTGAATTCCTTTTTACTTAGTCACATATAATAAAAGCTGAGGGCAGTCTCTGACGGTTGACATTTGAATAAGCACAACTAGTGAGGGAAGCGTATCTAGACTTTTCCTTAGAAACAACAGTGGTGTCTGGATTGCCTAATTTTCCGGAATCTATCATAGAGACTGGCCCTAGAGTGAAAGAATGGCAAGTGCAAAAAGAATTAAAATGCATTCACATATCAGATGGTTTACATTTAAAAAAACTTTTTTTCTTTTTATCAGGTATATCCATACTAACTTTTTATGAAGGAGGAAGGGAAGGGAACTGAGATTCATGGATCACCTCCTAGGTGTAAATTTTATGCAAATTATCTGACTTGATGTTTGCAGCAGTATTGTGGATGGGAAGCAGAGGAGATTTAGAGAGTTTAGATAAATAATTCGGTCCAATTGCGTATGTGGGTAACGGGTGAGGGGGCGCTGGGATTCTGAGTGCACGGCCCAGGCTGCCCCCATTGCCCTGCCCATCAACACCCATGCCGTCAATTCTCTCTTGCCACACCCCTGGGCAAGCACGGTTTCTTCTTCCTTCAAACTTTATAGTACTGATAATTAGCAACTTGTCCTATAAAATGACCTTCTTGCCTTCCCTAATTCTCATATTTACCTCCATGGGAAACCAGAGAGACTGCCAAAATGATCCCTAGTGGCAAGAAGATACAAACACTCCCTAATTTATAAACAAATCCAAGGTTTGTTTGTAAGCTGGTTGTTTGGAATTAGTAAGTCTACCCAATAGAAATCCCTGAATGTAGATGGTGGTATGTGTTGTCTTCCTTATACATCTCTTCCAAGCATGCAACTCCAACTCTCACCTCCTGCCACCATATTCCGAGACTCTCAGACCTCCCTGGACCAACAGTCCCTTTGTCCCCTAAGCTCTTGCAGTATTATTTTATTTTTTATACTGTGATCTTCCTTTGGCAATTTATACTACTCTGTGTAGGGTTGTCTTTTCATGTTGGTATATTCTCTCTCTTCAGCTCCCAGGAGTCAAAGATACCCTGTCCCTAGTTTGGGCCTCACAGCTCCTAGCTCCTGGCTGGACACAACAGTGTTAATGATTGGTTAGGAGAGGCCTCTTGACAGGCTAGGATGACCTGCAAACACCCATTTAGTCCATCATATATTTGTTTTGATATAATGTGATTTCTGGGTCCTGTGAATAAGGGCCAAGTGATTCAGAAGGGGATGAAAGAGGAAGGTTTCCTACTCCTTTTCTGACAGATGTCTTAACCAGGGAAGATTTGAAACAGGGGGAAGTTGTCTATGATTCCTTCTACTTCCCTTTATATCTCTAGATCCTGACATTCTTGGCTCCAGTAGGTCTTCAGATTATCCCAAAGCCACCCCTTAGTCCCTGTGCAAGTGATCCAGCTCCAGAGCAGTTCCCCCTGGCTGTGGCCCTGCTACCTCATGAAGGGGACAACTTCAGGCTGGTGTGCCCAGCGGGGTCAGTTCCTCCACGTGGTTCCTGCTTTTCAGTTTTTTGCTTGCTAGCCCATGTATCTTCTTTAAAATCATAAGTTGCATAAGTGTGCATTTTTTAACAAAAGTTCTCCTTCAGCAAAAAAAGAAATTAGCAAAGTGGTTATTGTTTGTGCAGGTGCCGTTTGTAAATCAGGGACTGCCAAGAACCCAAACTCAACTTGTAATTTTTTCAGCCCCAACATTCATCATTTTGATCAAGAGTCTGTGACTCATTGATTTAACATAACATATAAGTCAGATGGGCAATAACATGGTATCATAGTTAATTTACAAAATAATAGACATTAGCCCATTAAGAGTTTGCCATTGGCAGCTGTAGGTCCCAGTTTTGATCTGAAAGATAGCCCATGCTGAAAATTATATGTACAAATTTCATAATTCGGTCAAATGTTTATACTGGGTTTTGACCACCAAATTCATTTGAAGCTGGGATGTAAGCCAGTTTCGAAGATCTCTTCCTATTCTGAATAGGCTTTGGTTTCCATGCCCAAAATATTTACCAGTTCCCAAGTACATAAAGTATCAGTGGCTTTACGGCATTGCGAATTAGAACGTAGGGAGTTCTGTGTCTTCACCGTCTTCACGGGGGAGGTGCCACCTGTGGCTTCACAGAACATACTTGTCTGCGTGCCCTCTCCAGCCATTTATCCTGGACCAGGCTGTCATAAAATTTGTTCTGCCTCTTTGCTGAGACTATTAGTCTGACCAGAGATGCAAGAACCGGAACCACAAAAAAAAATAAAAAAAAAAAAAATTCTGGAAAGCACATTTCTACTTGCTGGTGGTTTTAAGTACTTTTCAGAAATAATCTTGTATCCTTTAAAGTTGACCCACAATTTTCTTTTATGGTTTGTCTAGGTTTGTTTTAGCCTTCTTCACTTGATGTCAATGATTTAAATGTTTCTAAATTAGCCTTGTTTTTATTTTATTTCATTATTACTTTATGGACACCCTGGAGATTTGAAGGGTTGGTGTTCTTAAGAATGACGTAGATAGCAATTACAGGTATGACCCTCTGTGAGCAAATTTGGTATTTCATATTCAGACTTACAGGAAACACGGGGATGGATTTTTGGCTATAAAAAAATCTTCCCTTTACAAAAGGATTTGCCACTTATATTCCTTTAAATGTCAAGCATATTTAAAATATTATTTACTTTTCAAAATATGAACTGCACAGAGGTAGAGTTTATTGATGAGTGGTACACCCTCCACATATGGAAGGTAGTTAAAGGTGTTTTACACTTTGCTACCTGCCTCCTCTGTTCCATGGTAATATCTCCAAGGCATATGGAGCAGTTAGGTTTTTCCTGTGTCATGAAGTTTTTTTGGTAGCCCAGAGTTATACTGCACTATGTCAGATGTTGTCATGACAGTCAGACATGATGTAACCCAATAAAAGCGATACATCGAAATGTGTCGTACCATTGTTGCTTTGAGAAGATACCTTTCTGCCAAAAACTTCCTTCTAGAATTGTATGCTGTAGAACTGAGAACTTGGAATCATATACATTTTGCACTTGTAAATAATTAGTGCCTTATAAAATCTGTTAGGGGCCCAGGACAAAAGGAAATCTTGATGAATAAACATTGGATCCGAATGCAAAGTAGCTCATTCCTTTAAAAAAAAAAAAGTTTCACATGTCTGACTCACAGTTTCGGACTGAAAAATAAGAATGATCTTTCAGAAATGTAGACTACAGCACAGACTTGATGTTGTTTTAAAATACATTTATGTAAATATCTGCCTAAAATGGCTCGAATTAAGTAGTTTGAAACCAAGAACAACCCAGTCTGTCTTCCGTATAGAGACGTGTCTTTATAAATAATTAACTGTCACTGCCAGTGATTTTGTTAGTCTCTGTTTTCCTATGGCACATGTGGTTTTAATCATTGGTTCCCACCTTGGGTGTGGAATGTGGGACTTCAGCCAAGTGCACCAGCACACAGGGGCGAAAGGTGTGAGACAAGGGGTTTCTGACGGAGGAGCGTTGTTCTTGCGCGTTTGTTCGCAGCTTCCCTTCCAGGGCAGAAGTGTGAGTTCATCCTGCCGTAGCCAGAGTGCAAAGCATGGCGGTGCTGGGCCAGTGATGTGTATATGTGTTTCTCTGTCCTCTCAGATGTTCGCCCAGGATACTGTTACACGGCTCTGGCAAACGGGCGCTGCTCCAACCAGCTGCCGCAGTCCATAACCAAAATGCAGTGCTGCTGTGACGCTGGCCGGTGCTGGTCTCCGGGGGTCACTGTCGCCCCCGAGATGTGTCCCATCAGAGCAACCGGTAAGCGCCCTTCCAGCTATCCGCAGAGTATCCCAGCCCAACCCTCACAAGCCCAGTGGCAATGTGCCTGATGTCGATCTAATGGAAACCCAGGTAAATGAACAGATTCCAGAAAATATAAGAGATGACATCCAGGGAAATTTCCCCAGGTGATGAATAGGGAATATGCAGAGACCTATACAAAAAGCACCGTTTGCAGGTACTACTGCTTCTTACTTAGCTTGCTTATTTCCACTGAATAGCAACCTTTTCTGGAAATACTTGCCCTCTCTTACTCTCATTTTAGTACTCAGTGGCTCTCATGTAGTACTCAAAAACTCAGCCCTTTCCAAACTTTTCAGTGAGTGGATTCATTTCCTCTTTCCCTAACATTGAACTCTTTCCTCTTCCTCGTTGCTAAGTCCTGTTGATGTTTTTCCCTTCACAATTTCTCTTTTATCTATTATATTCCTTTGATTTCCATTACAAGCTTATTTTTTCTAGTCTGGACTGTAGGAGTAGCCACCTAAGTGGGCTCCAAGAAATCCACAGGTGCCACATACCTTTCCCAAAGTATAACTCAATGCAGTTCAGTTAAAAAAATCATATCTGGAGAAAATATAGACAAAGATCTCCAAAAAAATATCCCAAGGATGAACTCAGACAATATACAGTGGCCCAAGTCAGTCCATTTCTTGCAAAGAAAATTTTCCTGCTTAGCATAGCATTTAAAGTCCCCAAATCTGATCCCAGTTCATCTTTTAAATGTTGTTCTTTATGGTAGCTTTATTTTCTAGTTAAATTTTATGGTTGAGTTTTCCTTGAAGCCAGTCTGAGCATTTCTAAACTCAATCTGTTCTTTTTTCCTAAACCTTCTTCCCAGTTCAAGTCCTTACTCCCTATCCCTGCCACCTTTGCCTGTTCTATATCCTCTTGTTATATATCCACTCAAACATGACCCGATACACGAATGTCCCAAGATAACCACTGCTGGAAATTCTCCCTTCTTCCTTGTGCTCCGTGGTTCTGGTGTGTGCTGTTGCGATGGTATGAATCCATACTGCTGTGCTTCATGGCTACGTGTGTTCATGGATTGCTTTTTTACTGAGATGTCATTCATCATCATAGTCCCGTACCTCTCATGCTTTTTCCTCTTCCATAGCACATAACAAAATCTTGCGTATAGAAGGCATTCAAGTATGGTGAACAACTTATCTTATTAATAAGTAACCCCTTTCCCACCAACTGAGCATACTTTAAAACATCATGTTGTACACAATCAATGTATACAGTTTTATTTGTTAATTAAAATAAAAAATAAATAAAGCCCACCTTCTTTAGTTCAGCAGGGGACCATTTAGTAAGTCACTGTTTAGAAGCACATGACTTCCCTCCAAGACATATGGCTTGGGTACCAGGAGAATCACTTTTTGAATGCATATATGCTAACTTAGGAATCAGCTGCTTTGATGTGGATTCCTTCCTGTGTTGAGGCCTTGAATAGAGGAGAGAGGACTAGAGCAGGTTTACGTGCCTGCAGGAGGACCTATTTTGGGACTGATGGGGCAGAAGACCAGGTTGATGTGTGTAGCTTTGCAGGGAGCTCCTCTTCCATTGTACCACTGAGAGATGCACAACCCTGAGATAGCCTAGGACAAAGCAGATTGATAGAGTAAAGTAACTTGCAGGTAGGTTTTTGTTTGCCCAAATGTTCTATTACCCATGCTACATAGTTCTGAGCTCTTAACTTACGGAGACGATACAGGAAAGATTTTAGATTGGTCAGCTTTTCACTCTTAAAAAATCAAGTAGCATCATCTCTGGGTTAAATGGAGATAGAAAAGTTGGGCACCAGCTAAACAAAATTAAACCCCAGGTTGCTGATCCTGAATGTAAAGGAGTTCATGGGAATGTTATGAATCTCTAGGAAGTAGGAAGGAGTATAGGACCCAGTCTGATAAACTTTCCTAGAGAGGGTAACGTGAATTTACTGACATGATTAAAGTAAAATACCCACCTCATTAGCAGAAATGCTGATAAGCCAACCAACTTCTTTTATATAAATCCGAAAATTCTTAAAAAGAAAAGCTGAATTGGTGCTTACAAGTGCTTGGAAGCAAAGTGTGTTCCTTAATATAATTGCCATTCAATTAAATCCAACACATAGTGAATGAATTCCTCTTATGTACAATTTGCAGGGCTAGGCTGAGAGTGGGAACTAGTCATGAATTATACATGATCTTTGACTTCAAAGACTTTGCTGTCCTAGTGGTAGAAACTTGGTGGAAGCAGGTGCCCAGGAAGTGATGGATATGGCACACCCAGATGATGACTCTGTAGGAAGGAAGAATCACTGTTGTTTGACAAAAGGGATTTTAGAAGCATGCATAGTATATAACTCCTTTCCAAATACAGTCAAGTACTACACAATCTCTGTGAATTGAAATTCCAGCTGGATAATAATTAAAATGCTATAATAGAATTCTCTGAAACAACACAAACTTGACCTGAGGTGGAAATGTCAAATATGACTGAAGTTTTTTAAAAATGGACTAGAAAATATCAAAAGGGTTTATGCTAGCTAGGCATATTTAGCCACATATAAAATTGGTGGAATGTCCCATGAGGTTGAAATATAAATATTAAATGTATTTCAGTAAGACATATTACCGTCTTAAAATAAGTTAAATTTTAGTAAATGAGGAAAAGAAAAATATTAGCCTAATTTCTATTAATGGCTGAAACTAGTATAGAAAGTATCTATGGGAAAATAGCTGTGTAAATGTTATAATAAAATGACCAACATTGCAGCAAGAGAGGAAAACAGAAGAAATTTAAAAATCACATAGTTAACTTACAGAAGGGAACTATGACAAAATAGGGCTAATTGTAGGAAACATTGAATAAAATAAATACATCCCTGGAAACCTGAATACTGCTTAAAAACACCATTTTGGAAGCTCAGAAAAAAAAAATTGTGACAAACCTAAAGATGATTTATTCTAGTAAAGACCTGGCATTATGAAAAATAGTAATCATTCTAAAAATGTGCAATCATAGGGAACTGTGATTAAGTCAGGATATACTCATTGCAAGGATGACAGTGCAGCATTAACACCAGACCCGCCCCCCCCCCATCTGCTGGTGTTTCTCCTTCCCCACGGACCACTTCTCTATTTTGTTGTCTTTTACAAACCAGTATTCCTCAGGTCCTGTCTCTGGACTTGCTTCTCTTCGACTTCCACACCTTTCTTAGATGAGTGCATCCATCCCCATGGCTCTAAATACCACCTTTCCACTGATGACTCCAAAACTTACGTGCAGCCCTGATCCCTCCTCTAGGTTGCAGACTCTGTTGTACTATTGCTATGCGATATCTCCAGTTGGATGTCTGATAGCTCAAAACCCATGTGTTCAAAGTGGAACTTGGGTTTTTACCCACCACACCTGCCCCCACCACAACTTTGCCCATCTCAGGCAAGGGCACCAACATTCACCCAGTTTCTCAACCAGACAGCTAGAAGTCGTTCTCGATTTCTTGTTCCCTCAGCCCCGACATTTACTTCTTCACCAAGCATTGCCCATTTTTCTCTAATATATGCTTCATATCTGTCCACGTCTATCCCATGTCACCACTGCCTCCCTGTCCAGCCATCATTATCTCGCCCTTGGTCTTCTGCAACAGCCTTGCTTCCTCTGGTACGTTCTCCATCTGTCAAGAAACGGGATCTTGTGAGAATGGTCATCTGATCATGCCCTGCCCCTGCTGAAGACCTGCAATGGCTTTGCATTGCACATAAGATACAATCCGAGCTTTTTAGTGTGTGCTCCAAGATCCCTGTGGGATCCACAGGTGGGACTCGATGGAGCAAGGAGCATCTTATGCTTTCTGCGAGATGAATTTTGGTACAAGTAAAGATTTCCTACGTCTGGGACAGGCAGGTGATGTGATATAGTACTCACTCTGGGGAAGTTTGTTTTGGGTTTGATTTATTGTTCCAAAATGGTTTCTTGCTACTGTAGGTATTAAAAATGAGAATGAAGTCAGTTGTTTCGTTTCCTTTTCCCTAGTTGACCTATGTGGTTTGAAGATCAATTTTATTTAAAAATTTCTTTAAAAAGTAAGGATGACTGATAAGCTACAGCTCAGTTATTGTGTTATGTTGTATTGTGTCTTTCCAGAGGATTTCAACAAGCTGTGCTCTGTCCCTATGGTAGTTCCTGGGAGACCAGAATATCCTCCCCCACCCCTGGGCCCCATTCCTCCAGTTCTCCCTGTTCCTCCTGGCTTTCCTCCTGGACCTCAAATCCCGATCCCTCGACCACCAGTGGACTATCCGTACCCATCTCGGGAACCACCAAGTAAGAATTCAGAAGCCATCTAGTTATTTTTCTTGCATTAATCAGGTTCATATCTTTTTTGTTTATTTATGCTGCTTCAGTCATTAAGTAAGTTTTCCAGTTGTTAGATTCAGTTTTTTGAGTTTAAATAGTGTTGTATATATGTCTCTCAGTTTTCCTATTGCATAGAGAAAAACGAGAGGCTTCCTTTCATATTCTCCAGAGGGTAATGTCCTTTTTTAATTGATGTTTTCAGCCAACTATGGGAGAATTACAGGAGAGATTTAAATCTGATTCACAGGGCTAATTAATAGAGGAGGAATAAAATTATACTTTGGGTTATATAGCTTGCAAAGCAATTTTATAGAGAATTCAATACTGGTATCTCTCTCTGCTCTTGTTATTTCCCCAAACTGGAGGCTTGAGAGTGAGGTGGTGGGTGGAGCAGGGAGCAGCAGGCAGAGGGGCAGGCCGCAGCCTGGCTGCATGCTTCCCTGCGCACACAGTGCCAGTGCCATCTCTGTTGGCAGGGTGGACATGGGCTCTGTTGTCACCAGATGACCTCTGCCCAAAGAGCATCCTCCTTCCCGATTCAGTGTCTTGTGCATTGTTGCCGGATAAAGTACCGATGAAAGGAACCGTAGTTAAAATAATTTTAACGGGGTTTAATGTTGTTCTCCTAGGGGTGCTACCAGTCAATGTCACCGATTACTGCCAGCTGGTCCGCTATCTCTGTCAGAACGGGCGCTGCATTCCAACGCCGGGGAGCTACCGGTGTGAGTGCAACAAAGGATTCCAGCTGGACCTCCGTGGGGAGTGTATCGGTACGTGGTTGGTTGGCAACAAGAGGCTATTGCAATTCTGTTCCACAACTGTGCTGGTTTTCTGTTGGCTGCTCTAGCAAATCACCTCAAACTTAGTGGCTTGACACAACACAAATTTATCACTTTCAGTTCTATAGGTTAGAAATCCAACCCAGGTCTTTCTGGGCTAACAGCCAGGGGTTGGCAGGGCTGTGTTCCTTCTGGAGGCTCTCGAGCATAGTCCGTTTCCTTGCCTTTTTCAGCTGCTGGTGGCTGAGTGTTCATGGCCCCCTCCTCCATCTTCAAAGCCAGCAGTGTAGCATCTTCAAACCTCTCTCTGACTCTCTGGTTCTCTCTTCCAATTCCCTCTTCCTCGTTTAAGGATCCTTGTGGTTATATTGGGCCGCCTGTATAATCCAGGAGGCTCTCCCATTTTGAGGTCAGTGGGGTAGCAACCTTAATTCCACCTGCAACTTTTCATTCCCCTTTGCCATGTAACATATTCATGGTTTCTGGGGATTAGGACATCAACATATTTGGTGGCCATTGTTCCGCCTACTACAGTGACTTTTAACTTCCGTTGTAAAATATATTCAAGTCATTGCTGGTAACTCCAGCTTAGGTCATAATACCAAAAGACTGGCCATTAAAATAAAGCATTAAAAATATCCCCAAATTGTGAAATTTTTCACATTTTACTAATTTAAATGGGTAACTTACCACCTTTCTCTGGTTAGTCATTAAAAACTGAAGAGAGAAACTTTAAATTGCCAATGAGGCATTTAAGGTGATGAAGGGAGGAATTGTAACACAAGAATAATCAGTTTGTCGGATGGAAAAAGAACACTTGGTTGCCATCTACTTTTTTTTTTTTTTTTAATAAATGCACCTGTTAGTTCTGTTACAAATTCCAATTCTATAATTATGAATCAGTCAAAAATGAGTGGTTCTTGTTTTCCCAAGCAATTATATTTAGTTTCCTGGTGGTATGAGCACTTCTTCCAGGGCTGGGCAGAAGAGGAACATCCAGCTCAGGGTTGGAGAGCTGTGAGGGCAGAACTGCACCTGCCGCTAAGAAGCATGTGGACAAGTGGCTTGGTTATCCTGGCTAAGCATGTGGACAAGTGGCTTGGTTATCCTGGCTAAGCTGCAGCTTCCTCATCTTTACAAACAGGGGGATAATAACCAGTTTCTCTCTAAGCATCTGATAACTCTTAGCGGCTATAACACAAGTGGGAGCCTGTGTATTGAGGACATCTGGGGATGGGGCGGACTTGATGGTGGGTAAGAACACTGCCCTTTAAATGACAGTTGCCTCATGTTTTGTTCTGATGTTCTTACTGGAACTCAGCAGGGAATGCTTAGATATGGTTAGGTCTTCTTTTTATTGGAAAAAACAGAGCTTCAAGAGATATTCATAATCTTATCCAGAAGCCACTTCTGAAATGTTAGTCTGTTTTTTGATTCTTTTAGGCCAGACTCAAGAGAAACAGAATGTTTATTAGCTTGGAGTGTCCAGTTGCTATGTGTTTGGAATTTCTCTCTGAAAAATGACACGTGAAAATAATATACTTTAACTGCTCAACGAGTTCTTGAAATGGCTAGTGACTTGGGGCATTGCGATGGAAAGATAAATGATCCTTTTATGATGCTGTTTATTTCTTGAAAGGAAAATGCTTTATACATATAAAAGAAACCAATAAAGCCTTAGAATTATGAGCTATTGCTAATTTCTCACTACAATGTATTGTGCTTTGCAGACGTTGACGAATGTGAGAAAAACCCTTGCGCCGGTGGCGAGTGTATTAATAACCAGGGTTCATACACCTGTCAGTGCCGAGCTGGGTATCAGAGCACACTCACGCGGACGGAGTGCCGAGGTATGGTCCTGGCGTGGAATGTGGGGTGTATGTGCTAAATGGGGAGTTGGCTTCAAAGGAGCTCAGTGGAGTTTAGCCGTTGTCAGAAGAAGTGAATATAGTCCCATTGCTTTTTGCACTTAATCCCCAAAATTGTCACTCTGAAGGACAGTGTCATAAAATCTAGCAAACATTCAAGTGATTTTAAAAGATGCCTCTGTGCCTGCAGGCATATCTTAATTTCCAGTACTCTTCTGTCTCATCACTATTGCCTATTAATTTTTCATCTGAGAGGTCAAGAGTAGGATTGTCCTTTATAACACAGAAACTGAGGAAAGTTTCAGGTGAATTATATGCAATTAATTTCTTAATGGGAAGGTCCAAAGGGTAAGGAAGTCATCTCTCTAAGTCCGTGTTGCTTGTTAATACGGTCAGCAGCGACAGTACCTGGGAATTGCTGGAAATGCAGACTCTCAGGTCCACTGAGACCTACTGAGTCAGAATCTGCATTACAAGGTCCCCTGGTGATGCACATTATAATTTGAGAAATGTGGTATGCACATTATAATTTGAGAAACACTGCTACAAATATCCCATCATAGAAATTTCCCATTATTAATTAATTTATTAAGCCATCCAATATTCCTTTTTTAAATGACTTATGTACTAAGTTTCTAAAATAAAAATAAATCAGATATACCCTTAGGGAACCCAAATATCAACCTTGATAGCTATAAACTTGGCACAGAATGAACTGTATCACTAATGCAGTATAGCCAGATAAAAATAAACAAGTGCTCTTTAAATTTAATACAGGGAAAAGTAGAGAGGCTTATTATCACTTAAAAAATTAGCAGCCATTAATAAGAGTATGTGAATTGAAAACATATAGAAGTTTTCATTTTTGTCAGTAAACTGGTTTCAGAATCTTTGAATTTGGTTCTTAGGGATTTCTTGCCATCCATGCCATAAAGTACAGTGCTTATAAATGACGATTTTGAGCAGAAAAAAAATGGAACATGGCCTTACAAACCGCTAATATTTTTATGGCCTACTCACTAAATTATGAATGTGGATAGGCTGAATATTTAACTGAGTTGAGAACCATCTTACTATTATAACTATTGTTTAAAACAGCTAGCATGTACAAATAGTGCACTAGGCATTTTTCTATAGTAGAAAATAAGATGAAATCAATGTCCAGATACTGCACTATTAAATAAGTAAAGATTACTGAGAGTCCTCGGCCGGGGCAAATGCCAGCCAATGTAAATGCACATGGTTGTCAGCACTCTGAGCCTTACTAGAGACTAAAATAGGACATACCTATACCCATATTCTGTAGTCATTTATTCAGTATGACCTGAATGCTTAAGTACTGTCTTCTGAAAGAGCTAGTGCTAAGCTCATCCTGAACTTAAGACTTTGAGACCATGCTCATGTCATTTTGTAGATGAAAGTTGCCCACAGAATAGTCCAAAGGGACTGTGTACTTAGCTGGGAAGCAGCATTTGAAGGGTTAAATAGATGGGGTAGAGAGAGGGACAGAACCACAGTGGAGGAGAACTCGGAATGGCGAGCTTCTCATTTGTCTTATAAGGTGATGGGGAGCCCCATGGCATTCTGCAATGGGTGAGGAGAGAAAAAGATGAACTCTTTATTCTGTTTATTTTAACTTTGGGCCTCAAAAACTGTAAGATCCTAAAAAAAAAAAAAAAAAAAAAAAAAAAAAAAAAAAAAGTCTGCTCAAGAATATGTGGCTTTGACCATTTTTTTGGAGCGTGGAGCAAGCCCGATTTTACCAAGGATTAAGAAATAAATGAGAGAGAAAAAGATCGTAGGCTGTTGGCACAAAGATCAGACAGAAGAAAAGCCCAGACTGCCTCAGCTAGTCCAATGACTCGTGTGGAAACCGCTGTAGGATCTGCCCAGAAAGAAAGTGCGTCTGAGGGTCAACCACAAAACACCGTGCAGACACAGGGTAGACAGAGTAACCGACCGGCTGTGAATGCACATTCTTGTTGTCCAGAGGGTGTTTAGGGTGCTTCTTCTCTGGCAGATGTGGCCTCAACTCTGCACAGATAGGTCTGCTCCCATCCAGCTCAACTCAGTTTCCTGGTCCCTATCTTCTGCAAAAATAAACCCTGGAAATGTGATTGGATGCAGTGTAGACAAGGCAGTGTGTGTTCATCCTCTTTGATGTTCATCCAAGGTTGTAGCTTCTAGGAACTGAAGGAAACAGATAATCCAGGGGACCATGTTGTCTACTCTGGCTTGATTAGGAATCTTTAAATGAGAGATCAGAAACAGGCTGAGTTATTGTCATTTTTACCGCATACCAAGCTCGATTGTGTACTTTGGCATAATATTAAGCACAACAGAAAAAAGGGGGAGATACCCCCCTCACAGTACCAATATTGTAGTTGGTAGATAGAATATTCATAAAGTTACTTTTAAAAAGACTAAGAATGTATAAGCAATAAAACTGTACTTGGACCAGAATTGTCATAAGGAAGGTAGATATTTCAGAGTTATATGATTGATGGTTTTCAAGCACAGAACTGAATTTTTTTTAAACAATAGCATTTCTGTTTCATTGTTCTGATAGAGTTATATGATCTGCCTTTTTAAATCATGAGTTTAAAGATGCCAGCAAAAAGTTCAGTATAAATAAGGATATATACTGGCTCCATAAATTAGCTAGGAAAGTGTTGAAGAAGAATCTATTTTGTTTACAGACTTGAGATTTAGGGAGTCCTATTACAAATTAGAGTTAGCTTTGATGTGATTATTACTGTATTTTTTCCTATCATTTGTCTTTCCAACTCCGATAACTATAAAATGTCATATTATCTGATACCCAATTTATGTTGAAGCATATTATTGGTATTAAATAATTAAAACCCAAGGCTACGATCATGAGTTTAGAAATGGAGGAAGGGGGAAATAAAGTAATTTTAAATTCCTTAAATAAAGATATGTCTTCCTCTTTAACTTCGATTTTTAGACATTGACGAATGTTTACAGAACGGCCGGATCTGCAATAACGGACGTTGCATCAACACGGATGGCAGTTTCCACTGTGTGTGTAATGCCGGCTTCCACGTTACCCGAGATGGGAAGAACTGTGAAGGTAATGACAGTGTAATCAAGTTATCGCTCTTCTTTGACTGCAGTTTCAATGCCAGAGGTCAAGCCAAATATTGAGTATGAGGTCAAAATACCAAATATGTTTCAGGTATTTTATCTGGGAGGCAAGCCCAATTTTCCGCAACTTTCATGTCTCAGTTCACATTTGTAAGAGTGAAACATTATAGTTTCACTAAAGAGTTTCACTAGGAGAGCATGCCCTTTAAAGATCCCTGGTAATGATGGGGCTTTTTCAGCTTAAGTCATTACTTCCTAATTTAATAAATCAGAATTTGTACATTTTTAAAAATAGGACATAGCTACTACACCCATATATTCTCTATTCATTTATAATCCTTTTGTTTAAAGTGTCTGCCTGGTGATAAAATACTACTAATCAGTATCTGAAAATGTAGAATTGGTTTGGAAGAAACATTAACTATTGAGAGCCAGCCCTGGATATTTCTCTTGAATTAATCACCTCATTTCAAATTGGGCTACTTTAAACATTAACACCCCCCCCCGCCATTTTTTTCTGAATAGAAAATATGGCTATTATTGTTGCGTTTCCACCTCAACCTTTAGTGAAAAATGAAGAATGCTCCTTATCGTGTTTCCCAATCTCTTTGGGAAATATCCCAAGAATCTATTCATACATTAAAAGAATATCAAAATTATTCTTAGAAACATTTTTTGGCAGAGTAATATCTCAGTGATTTGATTCAAAGACTTAATGCCAAAATTTCCAATTGGGGCAGAATCCTGTTAAGAAAAAGAAAAAAAAATCCCTGTAGGCCCAGCTCCTTGAGAGGCTGAGGCAGGAGCATCGCTTGAGCTCAGGAGTTTGAGGCTGTTGTGTGCCTAACAGTGCCTGTGAAGAGGTAACTACATTCCAGCCTAGGCAACACAGCAAGACCCCAACTCTAAAAAACAAGAAAAGTATCATAAATTACTTTGGTCTTCCTAAAGCCTGCAAGTGAAAACACGTCATGTCCAAAAAAGCAAGTGCCTCCCTAGATAGCTCTAATATTAAATAAAGTAACATACTGATGAATTTAAAGAACTGGGCCTATGATCAAGGGACCCTAAAGGTTAGCTGGCATAGCTATAAGTCTGTGCATTGGTTAAGTCTTGCATTTTAAAAATCTGTTTTTTTCCTACCCCTGTTTAAAATTGTTTCAAACTATAAGCCGTCTTCTGGTTTGTACTTTTAAAAGAATTAGGACGAGGACTAAATACATTGCAGATTCCATTAGTCTTAGCTTTTATTTTATTTTTATTTTCAGGGTATTAGAAGTAATGTGAATTAACACATTTTTAAGTTTGTAAACTGCTATTCCTAAAAAGAATTGTGATAATGCCTACTGAATCAAATTTCATATATCATATATATTATACATATAAATCTAGCCCTATAGTTTGCATGTACATGTCAAAACTCGAGAACTTAAGAGCTATGTATTTCCCATGTCCCCTCTTCTCCTTGTATGATATAATTTGGATGAAAATTAGCCTTGGGATATAATAATCAAAAATGAAAGAAATGTGAAGAAACAGAATTAAATTCATCTAGGTTGGCTTCGTTTGTAAATTTACTTTTCTCGTCATAAGAAAATGTTTTGTATTTTTTTTTTTTCATTTTTCAGATATGGATGAATGCAGCATAAGGAACATGTGCCTTAATGGAATGTGTATTAATGAAGACGGCAGTTTTAAATGTATTTGCAAACCTGGGTTCCAGCTGGCATCGGATGGGCGTTACTGCAAAGGTTTGTGTTATTAAAACTCTCAGTCATGTTCTTTGCCTGCTTTTCCTCCTCTCCACGTTGTTTACAGGTACCACCTTTCCTTGCTGATTCTCCCCATTTAAAGTACACCTAATTCTGGTTTGGGAAACCTGACTGGGAACTTAAGTCCAGCCATCCAAAGAGCTACAGTTTATACCCAGAAGGGTGTTCTCATTTCAGAAAGGGTATTTAAGGTCTTCCTGAAGGAGCCTGAAAGGCTGTGTAGCAAATAAATAAGCCAAACTGCCAGCTCATCTTCCAGTAGATGTGGACATCTTTTCTAACGAAGCTTGAGTTCAGCCTCTTTCTTTCCAGTTGAGGAATAAGGGCAATTAGGCTTCTCGATGGCTGTCATTTGCCACGTCTTACATCTTTGCTGGGACAGGAGATTGTAGACTCTTATTTGTCGGGATCTCTTCTTTGTGATTCCCTCCAGGTATCCCAAGAAATCAAAAATTTTTCATGGACAATTTATTTAGGTTTTGTCAAGTTATATAAGTAAAAAGGGAAATGGGATTAAGCAGAAGAAGAAAAAAAAAAATACACCAAGAGCCATTGTTTAGCTTGATTACTTTTGAAATAATCTCATTACTCCAGATATTGAAGCACATATAAGGATTTTTATTTGTCCTGTTGAAAATTGGGGTCCTAAGAAAAGTCATCAGAGATAAATTTGTGCTTAGTGTCTCCTGCCTTATGTAGTCAAAGATCAGTGATGACTATGCTTGGGTCCAAGATCTGAGTTGGAACCAGACTTCTCGAAGAACCTTATACTCAAAACTGGTCCGGAAAATCTGCTAGATTTTGCTGTACTCAGAGCCTCTGCTCATAGTTTCAGATGCAGAAGTGTAGAGAGTCAAGCTATTCAAGGTGAGAAAGCAGGATAAAGTCCTATGGTGCCTCTTCTCTGAGTGGCCCTGGTTGGACAGCTTTGGTAAGCGAGTTATGGAAGAAAGCCTTGTACTAAGTCCTTGGCAAGATGAGCATTTTCTCCAGGCTTGAAAGAACTTCTAGCTTTTGCTTGTTTACCTACATTCTCTATGACCTTCACATCAATGGCTCTTAATATTGTGCAAATCTGTTTTTGCAGCAAGAGAAAACGGTTTTTCAAATTTAAAGTAGGAAAATGGTTTCTATCCTTTTGAGCCCTTGTGCTGGGAGGAACTTATATGGGAAGATAAGATTAACACGTGGAAATATTCTACAATGTAAGACAGCAGAAAACAAAGTACCATATTGTGTGAATTAAATACTGTACAAGTAAAAAAGAAAGGGGAAGGGAACGATTGCTGGAATATTTGGAATTAAACTTCCAAACAAAATAATCGAAGGAAATGTGAAAGCCCCTTTGTGAGCAGACCTTCTGTGAGAACACATGCTCCTCTTGTCAATGCACAGAGTACACTGAGATTTACTTTCAGTGCCTATAGGCTGCTGCTGACCCAGGCTGCAGCCTCTCAGCATTAACTATGGCCAATAGATAATGCTATCCCAGAAAACATTATGACCTCATAGATGAAATTAGGTTTGGCAACCATTTACAACCAGTGCGATAGTATCTTATCAATAAATGGATTGTTCTATTCATTTGAAAGTGCTGATGATTTGAATGGTTTGCTCTAACTTTAGCATTCTTAATGATCAGAGAGAGAATGGGAAAAAAAAAAAAAAGGCTCCACAGCTGCATGTTATTACCCATGTCTTCTTTCTTCTAGTGTATAGAATACACAACATTATGATAAGACTAAATGGGGAAAAAAAAGGAAGAAGATAATCTCTTGCATGCTGAATTTCTTCCTTTTCATAATTTCCCTCTCTAAGCTATCAGAGAAGATTTTCTCTTAGCACTGAGCACTTAGTTCTGATCCACAGAGATGTGACTGTTCAAAGCTGAATCAACAATGCTAATTTAATTTCTACAATTACTTAATCTGATGAACAACACGTCCTGTGTGATCACTTTCTGAAAGTGAGGCCGCTGATCCTTAAGCAATGTCACGTCCCTCTGGATCTACATTACGTCTCTGTCCCCATTAAAAAGCCTTCCTGTTACCTGTCAGGCCATAGTCTCCACTGTTCTACTTGGTATGTTTCAACTTGAATGAAAAGATCACCAGAATAACTGAACCAATTTGAGTTCGTGTATTTAAATATAAATGCCGTTTTAAATACAAGTCTGTACACGGAATGTTGGACCACCCGAATATATTTTGTGCCAAACATCACAAGCTAAGTAAAACACGAAGGTGTTTGACTCTCAGTTTGCCTTTTTAAGGTCAGAAGAAAGGAAATGCACTAGTTGTGTATTATAAAAGGAGTTGTTGTTATAAAATGACTTGCTTCTAAGTGTTGTGTTTTCCAAAACACAATTTTGGTACCTTTTCTACTTTCCCATATTAAGGGGGAAAAGTCTGTTATTATTAGTATGTGCCCAATAAAGTTTTTTGGTTTTTTTTTTTTTTTTTACCAGACCTCACTAAGTATACATATACAAAACTATAAAATATTTGTAATGTTCAAGAAAGACTTTGCTGGGTTCCAATTGCTTACAGTGCTGTTATTGACCAAGAATGGTCATCAAAATTATCTATAATCGTTTTCTGTTCTTTTTCTATGGTATTCCATCAAAGCTTTAGTTGTACATCTCTTAATATTAGAGATTAATTGATTAGAAATTAATTGTCCCAGAGAGCTAAGGTATGGGTGAAAATGGAATGGACACCAGTCTGAGTGACAAATGCTAAAGAAAAAGTTTCCTGCCCAAGTCAAAGATGCAATTTATTATCAAGTTAAATTTCTGGCATTCCTGGAAGAGCTACAGTGTGATGCATTACACAAAACCCTTTGGTCTCTTAGCAGCTATTTTTTTTTCTTCCTCCAATTCTGTTTTTGCCTTTGTGATTTATTTTGGGCTTAAAAAAAAAAAAAACCTCTTGGGAGAATATTATTAAAGTAGGTTTTCATGGAAAAATAATAAGCTGTAATAGCTGATCTCTCTTGATTTTGTTACTATTCTTTCAAAGGAAAATGAGAATGCATCTCGTTGAGCTTTTATTTTTTTGATGCTGCATGTTATTAATATTTTCTATCTTCCCCATTTTCAAGTGTTTTAACGTGATTGTAAATGTGTTACGGTTTTAGATAAATGTCACTTCATTTTTAATAAATGCCTCTCCCCACCGCAGACATTAACGAGTGTGAGACACCTGGGATCTGCATGAATGGCCGCTGCGTGAACACGGATGGCTCCTACAGGTGTGAATGCTTCCCTGGCCTGGCCGTGGGTCTGGATGGACGTGTGTGTGTCGGTAAGAAAAAGCCCTGCCTGGCCATATGTGCTAGAGATCCGCCCTCTCTCAATCAGTAAAGCCCACCAATAACAAGTGCACTCTGCTGTAGCAGATAAGAAATAGTGAATATTTGTGTAGCAACAAACCAACAGGAGTCAGTTCTCTTCTTCAAAACATTGTTCATTAATTTAAGGAATAGAAAGATGTGCTGAGATAAGTGAAAAGCAGGAAAAATCTCCACCTCTCCTTCCCCCTTTTCTTCCCTAATCCCATAGCTGTCCTCAATTTTCTCTAACCCTCCTTTCTTGATAATCAATGGCCTTTTTAGATTGGCCTATATATGCTTATTATCTTGAACATTTTAATAGAGAATGAATGCCCAAAGGTAGTATAGAAAGCATAGTAGAATAAAGATATTCCAGAAACATGTATGATGATAATTTTATGTGGCTTCATAAAAAGTATGAGACTTGTCAGGAAAAGGATACAAATTTTATCCAAATTATTTTCAAGAAAGGTTTTCAGTAAACCCTTTGAATAGGGAAAGGATTGGGCATAGCTGGAAACTCCCTCCCTGGTGGCAAAGATAACACTGCTTAGTTGACCAGCATCTACAGATTTATATAATGAACCTTTTACAGATTAAACTTTCTCCTTTTTGGAAAGTACACCTAATTCAGACATTCAGTAATCGCGTGTTTATTTTGGGGTAGGCCACATTTCTAATAAAGGTCTTATTTAAGCATGGTGTGAGATTCAACATTCATCCATCATTCATTCAACATTTATTAAGTGCCTGTTCTGCACAGGCCTAGGGAGGATAAAAATGAATGAGATATCATCCTAGCACTTAAGGATGTCACAGTTTGGTAAACCATGGAAGTTTCTAGAAAACTGGAATCTGGCCATCCGTTTCCAATTCTTGGAAGCTAAATGTGTTTTGTTTCTTGTTTTGGGTTTTTTTTTTTTTCCTTTCTTTTGAGCCCTAATACCAGGGGCATTCTCTGTGAGTTAGAACAGAGACAAATGGATAAATAAAGCCAGCTTCAACTCTGACCTTGGGGGTTCTCATTGTTTGAAGTGACAGTGTGATGACAGATGGTTCTTCCTGTTTAGACACACACATGCGGAGCACATGCTACGGTGGATACAAGAGAGGCCAGTGTGTCAAACCCTTGTTTGGTGCTGTTACTAAATCCGAATGCTGCTGTGCCAGCACCGAGTATGCATTTGGGGAACCTTGCCAGCCATGTCCTGCACAGAATTCAGGTATGTGATGTCACTGAGATACCCTCATGCTGCCAGCCTTCTGCCATGGTCTTTGTATTTATGCAAGTCACAAAGAAAGATTATGCTTTGTAGGTATATCATCGCTTGCCTGGGGTCTTGTCAGAGGCTGGCCGGTGTCTAACTGCACGTTACTCACCCCATCCTCACAATCATTTGGAATAGCGAGTGCATTTGTACCTCCCACGTGAACTCCCCCAACTCAATAAGATTCATGCTTTTTGGAACACAAGCAACTTGCCTTGTTTTCTAAAGTCGTTTCCTGATGTTTGCATTTTGCAGGAACTATTATAAAAGCAGAATTTGACACGGTATAAAAGTAAATAATTTTCAGATTATCTGCACATTTCCAACAGTTTGCCAGAAGGTCATTTGTGGTTTTCTTAAAGGATTTTAATCAACCTTAGGGAAAATAGTCTTTTTCTCTGGGGAGGTGGCGTGGCATAGTGAGAAGAGAGCTGGATGGCAAGTCAGGATTTGCTCTCCCATCCACAGGCAGACAAGTTAGTTAATTAGCAGGGACAGGGGTGGGGGACAGGCGGTGGGGCTAGTTCTTTGTGGATTTTTGTTTATTTAGGAATTTTTCTCACCTATTTTCAAATGGATGTGAGATGGCTTACATTAATAAATTGAATTATAGAATAGAATAATAAGGAAAAAGGATCCTTAGACTTCTCACCTACAAAATGAGTTGCCTTAGATAATCAGGAAGGTCCTCTCCATTTGTAAATTATTTCTATTTGTAAAGCAAAAATAGTTTATTGAAATTAAAACAATAGACCATTAGAATTTGAGCACAATTTTAAGGTAGCTTGGCAGTTGACTACTAATGTCCTAAATAGAGTTAGACCTGATATTGAAAATAAATTGATTGCTTTGATTGGTTGGTTTACATGTAAGATTCAGGGAGTTTATTTCTGCCTTAAATAAAATGAATTAAAGATTAACCCATGATTTTTAAAGATTTACTATTTTTAAAATAATATTTTGAGATTATAGTTAGAAATTAAAATATATTATGAGAAATTAAAGTTAAATGGCAGACTTTAAAAGAAATGAGGGGTGCCAATTAAAAGAAAACAAGTTTTGTCTTGGCTGAGTACTTCACCCAAAGAATAATATACAAATTATCATGTTATATGAGTATCATTTTATATGTAATCACTAATTATTTATATACATATTTATAATACTTTATAAATATCATTCTATCAAAGAGACTTCCATATAACTTTATAGTTGCATATGAGTCATATCATCCTCTTGTATGTTACTTTAATTTTTCAAAGTATTTTTCTTACATACTTTGAATTTACAAGACAGATGAGTATGGTGAAAATTGGCACACAAGAATATAGGTAATTTGTTCACCTGTTGAATGAGTGGAAAAGCCAAGACTTAGAATCCAGTAACTTGGGTGCAGGTAATTTTTGCTTTTACATTTTCCTCTGGACCAAGTACATCTTCAAAGAATTCTTATGCTACATAGGATATAATATGGGTTTATAAAAAGATGACCAAAAGAGACCAAGTTTCTTTAAGTAGCTGTCTTAGTCCATTTTGTGTTGCAACAACAGAATACCACAGCCTGGGTAATTTATAAAGAAAAGAAATTTATATCTCACAGTTCTTGGGAGATCTGTGAAGGGCAAGAAAGCAAGAGGGGACCAAACTTGTTTTTATAACAAGCACACTCTGGAGATAACTGATCCATTCCCATGATGATGACATTAACCCATTCACGAAAGCTCTGCCCTCATGACCAATCATGAAGTCCCACCTCCTGGCACTGTGGCACTGGAGATTAAATTCCTCACACATGAATTTTGGAGGACGCATTCAAACCATAGCAGCAGTAAAGCTTAAAGAGAGTTAAATCTGAGGCCCAGTTCCACCAACTTCTGTTTTATATTTGAATGAATTTACACAGAAGAGGTCCACATGTGGAAATGGTTTTATTCAGTTTGGTTTCTCTACCTCTCCGGTGGCTAAAGATGCCAAATCATGAAAGATCCAAATGCAGGATATCCCTCATTTCAGGAGGGAGGGAGGAAGGATTTTTAAAAAGTACTGACAATACTCAAAATGAGTATCTTTAGTCCGTTGAGTGAGAGACTCCAATTATACAAGATCTAAAGTTCATCTCTATGCTCTGCACATCAAACAAGCTGTATATGAAGCTTTTTCTCACTGGCTACTGAAGCTGATTCAAGCCCTCTTGCCTCCTCAGCCTTCTGACAATGGCATTTGCTTCTCACAGAAATTGCTCAGTTAAACCCACAGGAGTGTAATTCTGGGGAATTTTCTCATGTGTCCTCCATAGCACTGTCTCCATAGTGCTACACCGAGTTAACTCAGCAATACCTACCCTCATTCAGTGCTTGAGCTGTGCACAGTTACATGTTCCCTCATTAAACCTGCAGAACTACCAGGTGAAATGGGTATCATTACCTCCAATTTATAGAAGAGGAAACTAACAGAGGGAAAGGACTTGCTCCCAAGACCCCCAGCAATAAGCCTTGTCATCAGCATTCAGACCCATGGTGATTTGACTTCACTACAAAGAATAGTCTAGCACTAGATCCTGGCCAAATGGAAAACAATGGTGTCAGTCACTCGCTTCCATTTAGGCCAAGCATCACCTAATTTGCCATTAACTGTAAAAGTGCTTTTTACAAAACTGGCATGATTTTGTTTTTCTTGTTGTATTACTTACAGTATTTCAAGAATATTTTAATTAATTGCTGATTAATGTAACAAAGTATAAAGGGACAAATTGTTTTTGACTAACAGTCCCTGGTTTTCAAACACACAATGGCAGCCACCTTCCCACTGATTCCTTTTTTGGCCCCTTTTAAGATGATTTGAAAATTAAGGGATCTCACTGCTTTTCTCAAATTAACATTTGTTAGAAGACAGTGATTTTTGTATAACTCATTTGCATTCACAGTTATCAGGAATGCAACCCTCTAGCATGCCAAAGTATAATATAAGAAGAGCTATTTGCTTCCACAGTTGAGTTGCAGTCAGTCTCTACAAAAAAAGCCCATCTCTAATATCCCCTTCTCTTTTTTTTTTTTTTTTACTGATCTGGGACTTTAAAATATCCCCTTCTTCTTCCAGTTAAATGCAGAATATTCACATTTGACTTTGAGACAGTGGTTGCCAGAAACCTTGGGCAGCTAAGGGGTTGCTTTAGTTTCTTTTCCTCAGATACAGTGTGATTCCAGTTAGTTCTCCATTTTCATCATTCACTCTTACGTTCGTCTAAACATTGTTGGAATTGTATGCAAAAACATTGTATTAATTTTAAGAAATAGAAATCTGATTCCATCACAGATCTGGGAACGTATTTTGTATACCTCAGTTTCTTCAATAATATCGAACAGTTTTAGCATTAAGCAGTACTTTCCCTATGGATGATATATCATGGAGAATGAATGCAATTTTTCGATAAATGTTAACTTTAAAAATGCACTGAAATGCAAGAGTAGATACTCTGTTGTTCTTGTGAAGGGAGGCTAGAGAATTTGCAGAGAGAAATGAGGAAATGTTAAGAACTTGATTATACTGAGAAAACAGCTAGTACTGAGAAACAAAATTATTCCCAAGATGGTGGGAGAAAGTTTTATTAATAGTTAAGAAACCACATTTTAACAGGCACATTTCACCGTAAGTGTAAAGTGTTCCCTGGTGAACAAAATCAAGTTATAGGAAAAACACCTTTTCCGAAAGTGCTTTGCGCAAGGAATTGCCGTAACTTGCCTGTATCCTTAAAAGTTGTTTTCCTCGGTGATGCAGAGCCTTTAAAATGGGAGCCTGGTTTAAAGGTGACTCCCCCTGGAGATGCCTCATCTTCCGTTACCACTTAATATCGGGTTCTACTCACTTTGGAGGAAATGATGTATGCAAAGCCAAGGGCAGGATCGACCTGTTCTGCAAACAAGGGAATCATTTACTATCTGTTAATTTATTGCAGCGGAATATCAGGCACTCTGCAGCAGCGGTCCAGGAATGACATCAGCGGGCAGCGGTAAGGATTTGTCTCAAAATTTACTACCTTAAGCATGTGCAGAGGCAGCATTGGGCCTTCCTGTGGGTTTCCAATTGGTCCCTTTACACCAGTCTGGCCTGACTCCTTCTCTGGCCATCACTGCATGCTGTATCTTGGACATCCATCTAGAAACCCCCAATGGCAGAGCAGCCATGGGTATGGTGAGCTCTGGGATTGTGGGTGTGGGTGTGGGGCTGGGCCACCGAAGGGACTGGCTTCCCAGGGCAGATGAAGGATACCTGTGGATGGGATATAATGGCAGTGGTTGCTCACTCTTGGCAGTCTGACCCTCCTTTGCATCTTCCACTATTGAGTACAGTCAGGAGTATATAGGCTGGCTGAACCATTATCCGTCTACATTCTGAATGATTTCTTAACTGTCAAGTGCTCAGTCATACTAAGGTGGCAAAAGAGAGCCATCATGTTTTTTAACAAGCAGTGACGGCAATTAATTGAGTTGAAAGAGAATGAAATATTTAAGTGTAGGAATTAGAACCAGAGGAATATTGGTGCCATAGAAAGAATTAAAGTTAAAAGGGAGAATTGGAACAAGTGTAAAAATAGGTGAGAAGAAAGTAGAAGGGATTCTTTTTTTAATTTAAAACTAAACATTTTGTTTCAGGAGAATTCTAGGGGGAAAAAGTGGACTGGCTGAATTGATTGTGGGTTCATTCAACACGATTAATTTCGTCATTATGTTTGAATGAAGATGGGAGGGGGTATTCAGAGGAGGAATGAGAAGAAGTAAGGAAATTTACAATGACTAAGGAGTTAGTGGGGAATAAATAAATTGTGATGGGGTCTTGGAGAAGAACAAAAAAGTCAGCCCTGATTTATAGAAGAGTGAGGTAACCAGGATTTGAGACTACATATTCACTGACTATCATTCTGCGTCACCCTTGCCTAGGAGAGCCCTCCTCAGGCTGTGAGAGCTCACAAGAGGGAGGACCCTGCCTCATCTAGGCACAATAGCAGAAGCTTTTTCAGAGCATGTGGTGTTTCAGCTGGCTTTTGGCCAATGAATAGGCCTGCTTCAGGCATTCCTGACACAGAGTGAAGAGGGCATTTTGTATATTCATGGAAGAGGGAGAAATTTGGAGTACATAAACAAAGGATTCACATTTCAATTTAATCTTGAGGACATTATTGAACCTACAAAAGTTCGACCATGGGAATGACATTGTCACCTTGTTTCTAGGATGTTAGGGACAGTGGCAATATGGGAGGTACATAGAAGAGGGAGGGGCTGGAGATAGGGAGACCAGTTGTAGGGACTTGGGCTCTGCAGTTGATCCACTTTTCCATCTGGGTGCTTGGACTAGGAGATGCCCGGGAGGTCTCCTTCAGCTTGGTTAAGGATTAGTAATCTTGTAGTTCCAGCTCACGTGCCAAGTTCTTCTCAGGGACTAGTGGAAGAAAGATTTGAATCAGAATATCTCACTGGAAGAAAAAGGGATCAAGCATTCTCTTTTTATTATTGTTCAAGAGGTCCTTAGGTCATTACATTTATTGTAATGTTATGTCGTTAACAGTTCATTTGATGTTTATTTTAGAATGTTAATTGATTTTACACTTTTCGTGGTGCAGATATAAATGAATGTGCCTTAGATCCTGATATTTGCCCAAATGGAATTTGTGAAAATCTTCGTGGGACCTACAAATGCATATGCAACTCAGGATATGAAGTAGATTCAACTGGGAAGAACTGTGTTGGTGAGAAGTTTTACCTGTTTCCTAAGGCATTTCATGCATAATGCATTCCTTCTTTTGTTACCTGGAGAAGACTGCTCTTGAGTAACTTAGAGGACTGGGCAAATTGATGCTTTACACTTTGAATGTTGGCATGGCATATACATGTTTTTATTAGCAAAAAATTACATAACTGAATCTTGACACTTTACGAATAATGATGTATCAGATTCATTCCTTAAAAGAGAAGCTCCTTAGGTACATAAAACACAAAGATTCTGAGCCATTCTTATGTGGCTACAAAGTCATCCTTGTTTTTACTGAGAGAAGCAACTCTTCTCCCAGCCACTTACTTACTAGATTTAACCAGACAAAACACAGCTTATTTTCAGTGATAAATGCTGTTAAGCTTAACACACACCATTTTTGATACTGTAACAATTCTTAGTGAAGATACCTGCTAGTAACTAAATAAATCATTTGTTTGGGAAGAAAATGGTCAAATGGGCATTAAAGATGCTATTGGTTTTTCTTCAGCATTCTCCTAGACTAGTATTTTCTGAAATGCATTGCTCATTCCATAGTGTGGGGACATACTAAAGTTCCTTGAAGTTGAGCTTCAAAAACCGGGATATTCATACTCATGGGAATATGTAAGGAAGTACTAAAACCAAAATGTAAGATGGTGCATCATTTTAGTGTGGAGGCAAAACACCTTTTACACACAAGCAAACATACTTTAATGGAATAGGATAAAAACTAATAAGCTTTAAGATAAAATAGGAGACCTCAAATACATTTTTTACTTTTTGAAAGCCATGTAGGGTTTTAGAGTTAAGAGCTTCCTCTCACCTGCCATTGGTGGTATTTTTGGAAGGTACTGGTCTAAGGTACTAGTCTATGTTTTTGGAACATGTAATTATTCAGAGATGATACAGATTGAAATAAACAAAAAGTCTTTCATTCTTTCAACACAACACGTAATCTAGTAAATACCAACTACTCGTTGAATGCTGGACTGAACTATCTTCCATCCAGCCGCCAGAACTGTATGTTCTGACCCAAGAGAAGAAAGTTCCTACCCTCATATGTCCCTGGACATCAGCTATTTTATTTGTCACATCTCTTACTTTACCATCTGATGTCCTCTGGTGCTGGGGACCCTTTGGGGAAGCATTAGCAGCATTCCTTGTATTATTTTGATAGAATTATCAGCATTCTGTGTGCCCAGATAATAATATAACTTCATACTTGATTTTTTCATATTTTAAGTACTTTACAAATATGTTACTGATTTAAGTGTATGTATTGCTGTGAACCATGCAGTTTCCCAGTGTTAAATTTGTATATCTTTTATGTTAGGGCTAATAACTGTCAAAGGATGATCTACTAATAATTAGAATCTCTCAGTGTGTAAAAAATTTCTTTCAAAGGTCTAGCCTCTTTTCTAGGCTGCAGGATATAATTGAGCTTAAAGGAATATAACAAACTATATAATTTCTACATTTCCAAAATTATCTAAGTAATATGTACCTTTAAGTTGGGTTTTGTTTCAGATGGGCAAATTATTCAGGTGAAAGCAAGGAGTTTTCCTAAGCTCTCTGAATCGTGAGTCTAAATTTCCAATGACAAATATAAACTCTACAGATTGCTTCATACTTTATAAACATAACTGCAGACAACTTAAATTATTATAAGGAAGAAACACCCATCTTGGAACTAATACATATCAAAGATGGACCACACTTTCTAAATATTTATTTAGTTCCTTAAATCAATAAGATTAGTCCTCTTAATTCTGACACAAGGAAGCAGTTATATAAAGTAAAGATTAATGATTTCCAGCAAATCCAGGGTTTTTTTTTTTTTCCTGCTAAAGAAAAAAGTGAATTAAATACTGTCTGGTGACTGTAGGCTTTGTAAATACCTAGTTTAGATAACCAGTTCAAGCCCCTATTTTCCTAAAATGAGGTAACTTAGGCAAAAACCAATAGTATGGGAGTTTTGCCTCTTTGCTTGAATTGATTATATTAGTATGACTTTAAACACCTAACCTAAAAGAGCAACAAAGTTGCATGCAAAGGATGGACTCTTTTAAATGTTCATTTTCATTGACTTTCCAGATATTAATGAATGCGTACTGAACAGTCTACTTTGTGACAATGGACAATGTAGAAACACTCCTGGAAGTTTTGTCTGTACCTGCCCCAAAGGATTTATATATAAACCTGACCTAAAAACCTGTGAAGGTAAACCATATTTTTGTTCTTATACTATGTACTTTGCTGCCTTTTGGAATGCCATTAGGAAACCATAAGAATAAATTGAAGTCACTTGTAATTTAGACAGTGATGTCCATTTAGTTGAAATTCTGTTGTCCTAAATGGCACTTGTATGTAGTTTGTAAGCCACTGATGGTATTTACCTGCAACTGGAATTTTATTTGCCATGTATTATACACTTAAATGCCATTTAAAAGTTTCATTTTGCAATTTTCTTCAACTGGCATTTATTTGCCATAGTTTAATACATTAAGAAAATATCATATATGCTATTTGAATTAATAACTCAGAAATAATTAGCTCCAGATTTCCTGAATAAAAAGATTCAATCAAGTGCTGCATTCTAGTGTGGAGATATGCTCAATTACTATTTTGGTGTTCCATCTAGTCTAGAAAAATCTATTTAGGTCAGCTTTGCTATCTAATGAAAAAATATGTGGTAGCAATTCAGGCTTACTCATTTAGGCCCAGGAGTAGTTTTTAGCAGTAATGTAGACCTATTTTTGTTTCAGACATCGACGAATGTGAATCAAGTCCTTGCATTAATGGAGTCTGCAAGAACAGCCCAGGCTCTTTTATTTGTGAATGTTCTTCTGAAAGTACTTTGGATCCAACAAAAACCATCTGCATAGGTATTTATCTTTCTTAGAATGACTTTTCTATGTTTACCAATGCTGCTGTCCTTAATGTCAGCTTTTACTGCAGAAGGGTTTAAGTGTGAAAACAACATTAAAAACTATCGTTGTTGCTTGTTTCATGGTGCTGTTCTTGCTGTAATCCCCATGTGCATGTTTAGACTGTTGACATAGATTCTATTAAATATCTGTTGACTATTATTTCCTTGTCTGCAGAAACCATCAAGGGCACTTGCTGGCAGACTGTCATCAACGGGCGGTGTGAGATCAACATCAACGGAGCCACCTTGAAGTCCCAGTGCTGCTCCTCCCTTGGTGCTGCCTGGGGGAGTCCCTGCACCCTGTGCCAAGTTGGTAAGAGAAACCCATGCTGGGGCTCCTCTGCCACCCTTTGATATCCACATAAAAAGGGGAAGCCCAGTACTGTGTTTATTTAGGTTCACAGGGGAATTTTACGAGCCTTACTTCTGATGACCTCAATGAAACATACTGCTGCATGGGAAATAAGTGTCAAGGACAATAATTTTATGTGCTGCAGTAACCACACCGTAATGCGGTTAGCTAGGGCTGCCTCCCCAGAGCACGAGTTCCTGCTGGCTCTCTTGGGAACCTCGTGGTTAGGGGTCCTGGGCCTGTTACAGGTACAGATTCTCTTCCAAAAAACTAATTGGTGCAAAGAAACCGGTATTCGTGACTAAACTTCCTAACGATTTCTGGGGAACTTCTAAGTCTGTTGGGAAGCTGAGGTTTGAGAGTCTTTTTCAGGGTTTTGTGGATTTAGTGTTTGAATGTATAAATGTGTGAATTTATGTAGTGTGAATGCTGCAGGGCATGAGATCTCCAAATGCTAGACTGTGTTTTCCGTATTTATGTTGCAATATTTATGTTGCAGTAATCCTATGGTGGGATTCCTGTTTTCAGGATAATAGGAAGAGAGAAATCTATATTCAGTTTCCCTCTTAGCTCTCACCTGAGCATGATCTACAGGGTACCTTTGTGTCTTTTAGGATGTCTTAGAGGAATTGAGCTTTATTGGAGGAGACATTTCATTATTACTCTTCCTCATCTATGCGATCTCAGAAATACTTTGTTATCTCATATTTATTCATAGAAACAAAATCTAATTCAGGTTCCAGGTCATCTCTCATGTTTCTTATACTATGTCATAACTACAAAGTCTGGATATTGTTATCTTAAATTTGTTTTTTGTTTTTTTTTTTTAACAGATCCCATTTGTGGTAAAGGGTACTCAAGAATTAAAGGAACACAATGTGAAGGTATTTCTGATTATTTAGAAATCATACATTTTTCATGCATAAAGAATGCTTGTATTAGCTTGGACTGGATAAAGCTGTCATATAACTTCACAGTGAGAAATGCATAGCAGAGGAAAAAAAAATAATAAGAACTGCGGAACAGAGCAGATGTTAATTTCACAAGCATATATATGCTATTGCCAGTGTCAGATCACTATGGCCAAAGAACAGGGTGGCTGGAAATGTTTTAGGCTGACCACAGCTGACCTGCTATCTATCAGGAAGAGACAGACAGGAAGTTTTTGATGAGGCTTAAAATTTGCATTTCTCTTGGTTTGCCCTGGGGTTTTTTGTTTATTTGTTTCATGGTCTCGGATGATTTAGAAGGATGCACTCCATTGCCTCTTTTCTGAAGGTCTACGTGGATTCTCTCCAGTGTGCTGCAGTTCTTTCTCACGGAGTCCCAGATAGACATAGGTCATGGTGACTAACACAACCTGACATGACACAGCAGCTGAAAAATTTTAAAAACAGCAATTAGTCCCATATGTGGGATGAAATGAAGTTTTTTTCCCTGCTAAAACAAAGAGGAACACTACAACCCCCACCCAAGGTCTTGCTTTCCAAATGATGACTGAATCCTTTGGCCTTTCTCTGGTCCAGACCCACTGCTAATATAATAACTTATCTGACCTCAGCAGCACATTTTAGTATATAAGTGGCCAGAACTTGTTACAACAAAAGAACCCAAAAAAGGTAGATTCTACCCCCCTCCCCATATTTATTTATCTCTCTTACAAGGAAAGATTTAGAATTTTTTTTTAACATTCCTGTCTTGGAAAGTTTTTTTTTTCTAAATAGAGACATAGTGTGTATGAATTCCTTAGCTAATATTCCCTTTTTTTTGGCATTGGAAAGTAAGTGCCTTTCTTTGGATTAACTTGGTGGTGAATATTTTTCCAAATTAAGTGCAGAGAACATATTGCTCTCTGTTAAGCAAATTGGGAGGGACTGGTACGTTTGAGAGAGATTGGGTCAACGATGAATAAATGAACATGAGCATCTTTTGACTCTCCTCAACCCAAGCTGGGACACCACCAAGGCCGTCTCAGAACGGCCTGAGACCATTGATGATATAGAATTAGTTACATATTTTCTGATGACTTCTCAACACTTCTTGAAAGAGACCCTTCACTGGCCCACATAATACTCAGTGGGAATTTTTTCTAAGGTCACCTTCAAGCTGTTTCTGTTTTGCTAGTTTGAAAGACCGGGTTTTTGTCTCTCTATTTACTTCCAGACATCTGGTCTCATAAAGCAAATTATATGGCCCCTGGTAACCTTACCTGAGATGTCCACAGCTTAATAGAGCTGTCCCCCAAAACCCACACCAGCTCTCTGTCTCTACAACTCAAAAGTTATTCCTTGAGACCGAGAGACAAACTCTTATACCTTTGGTAATAGGAGGGCTCGGTCTAGTTGCTATTCAGACATCCCAGAAATCTTACTTGAACTATTTGGGGGCAAACTGGTTTTGTGAATTTACCAGGTTCAAAATGGAGAAGAATTATGACTCCATGAGCGTAATGAGGTAGAATGATATTATAAAGATATGTTAACATCATGCTTTTTTTTTTCATTTTTAGATATAGATGAATGTGAAGTGTTCCCAGGGGTGTGCAAAAATGGCCTCTGTGTTAACACTAGGGGATCGTTCAAGTGTCAGTGTCCCAATGGAATGACTTTGGATGCCACAGGAAGGATCTGCCTTGGTAAATACTGAGCTTGTTGTTTTTGAAATAATCATTTCTTAAAGATTGTTAGAAACTCAGTTAACAAAATTCAGTTAGCCAGACATCTGTTTTGAAGTACAAACACCCCCGAACTCAGCCTGCCCATTAGGTTCCACGACGGCTTCCTTGACCACAGTCTTCCTAACTCAAGCTCTTTGCTTTTTGTTACTAATGTGTTTTCAACTTGACAACTGTCAAGACCGTGTTAGTGAGGAACAACTTTAGTCCTTTCCTGGTAATGTAACTATTTCTTAAATCACTACCACCAGAGTTATTATTCCAGAGCTCTTAAAGGTGCCCCTGTACACCAGGGACTATAAAATACAAAGTGAGTGGTGGGAAGAAGAACAACATTTACACATAACTAGAAACTGCAGCCCATGTCTTCTACTCATGTCTGCCATCGACCAGAAGGACAGGTCCTTGCAGGAAACACTGTGGGTATCAAGAGTGAAGGTGCCACCGCCCTGAAGAGTGAACTTGAGGGAGCGCAGGGCAATTGTCACTGCTGGTTGTGATAGGATTCTCCATGCCAACTGCTAGAACCCAAGTGGGGTCCTCAGGCCCAATCATTTTATCTCAATGTTATGAAAGAGTCTGGACATAGAGCCTAGAAGTCTAGGTTCTTAGACTCTAAATCCTAAGCCCCTAAAGGCTCGTGGTGGCAGCAAGTTTGAGATCCTACAGTCATACTTTTGGGGTCTAGAAGACTTATTCTGGAGTTACTACTATGACTTCTGACTGCCTGGAATATGTCCCTTGGATCACTGATTTCTGAGTATATGACTCTAGAAATGTTACTCTGCTGTACTGAGTATCTGTAACCACATTAACTCTGAAGAGCAACCCTGGTGAAGACCACTATAGGTGGTTAAAAGAGTGCTATGTAGTTAAGGGATTTTGATCACATATAAATCAGAGCTAACAACCCTTTAGATACAGAACTTTATGCTTTTTTGTGTACGTAGTATGGAATAGAAGAGGGATTCAGAGACTAGAGTATTTTTGTAATTCAGGTTGTCAGTTAATCCCATTTTGAATCTTAGAGAGTTTCTTTGTTTAGGAGGGATCAGTATTTAGTGAGAAACTTCTTCCAGGTTCTACAGTTGAAAGATGCTTCAATGTTTTATTTAGGATTCATTTAAAAAGTATCTCTCCTAAAATAGGCAACCTGAATGTAAAGCTTCCCAGCAGGCTTTAAAAGCTTTCAACTCAGTCACTTAGGTGAATTGTTCATGACCACACTGTGAAGGAGAAAGAGAAAGAAGATATGTTTTGCGTTTTAATTACACTTTATAATGTACATTTCAGGTGCATAATCTCATTTGAGCTTCACAGCACCTCCTGAGAGATGGGGGCAACATCATTTAACAGATGTTGAAATTCAGGTTCAGAAGTGATAATTTATGAAAGACGAGTGACTTAGCTGCAGAAAGACCAAGATCTGGGTCTTTTGACCTGTGGTCTTTCACCTGTTCCTCACAATCCCATGAATTTGGGGTTGGGGATAGAAGTATCTCACGTGTGTCCTGAAGATTATGCACATAAGCACGTGTTGAGGTGAAAGAAATATTTGAGAAGAAGAGTGAATAGCTCTTTTTGGGAGGGAGTTTTTCCTGTTTAATCTCAAGTAGGGCAGTCCTCATTCCGTAGTTCACCATTCTACCTTGCCAGAAGTGAAGTGGGTCTGAGAAGAAGGTGACTGAGCTAGCTTGGACATGCTCCAGCGATAAAGAGTGCAGTTTGCTTCTAGCTGTAGAAGAGATGCCAAGACATCCTGGGGTGCAGACATCATTGATAGGCGGGTCTATACAGGAGAAGACATCTCCCAAAAGGGCGCGGTGCGATCTCTCCCAGAATACTGCTGCTCATGTAGCATGACCAGAAAACACCTAAAATGGAGCGGGAACTTTTCAGAAAGAGGAAGTGCCAAATATGGGTTGGCAAAGAGAAGAGCGTCTTTATTAAGCAGGAATTCCTACCACATTTCTTCTCATGAGGGTTTCTTATGAGGAAAAAAATTAATTCCAGTCAGTTAAGTATATAGCGAATTGTTTTGTATGCTGTACTTTGCCCAACAAAATGTTGGCAGTCTGGGGCAGTGAAAACAAAATAGCTCTCCTCAGCCTCCCTCGGTTCCATGTGACAGATATCCGCCTGGAAACCTGCTTCCTGAGGTACGAGGAGGAGGAGTGCACCCTGCCCATTGCTGGCCGCCACCGCATGGACGCCTGCTGCTGCTCCGTGGGCGCAGCCTGGGGCACCGAGGAATGTGAGGAGTGTCCTGTGAGAAACACCCCCGAGTATGAGGAGCTCTGTCCCAGAGGACCCGGATTTGCCACAAAAGAAATCACGAATGGAAAACCTTTCTTCAAAGGTACAGTGTTTTCAATAGTTGATCGCTTTTGTTTTTAGACCAACAGGATGCTTTTTTTATGATCCCAGAACTTTACTTGATCATCTCAGCATGGATTTTTTTTTTTTTACTTTCTGAATTATATAATTACCTTTGTGTAGAAAAGTATAGACTTCTTTTTTTCCCCTCCCTGAGATTTTGGTCCCAAGAAGCCCTGGGGGTTAAAATTGTGCTGTGTGGAAAGATAGTTTCTAGATGGCCTCCTTAAATGTCTTTTAAGTAAATTCAGAGGAACTTGAATAATTTGCCTCCAAAGGCTGTGGCAGTTCATTGCTGCTGAAGGACTTGATGTTCTTGAGATTGGATCTGCCAGTTCTGTCTCACATGGCATTAGGTAGAAATGAATTTGTATTTCTTGAGCTGTTGGTCATGCTTTGGAAAGGCTCCTGTAAGAGGAAACTCGGGTTACATGTTACATATATGCAGAGTCCTCTAGCCTACAGGAAGCTCTTTAAATTATATTAATGAAATCTTAACGGTATATAATATTGAGAACATGTTTTTTAAAGAGTACAGGTTATTTGCAAACAATTTAAATTATAAATTACATCTTTTAAAATTCTTATATTTTTGGTATATCCAAAAAAGCATCAAAGAATATTGAATGAATATCTCATTCTACTACACATTCCACTGGTTGCTGTGGGACAGTGTATTCTAGTAATCTTCTATTTGCTTTTTAAGTACAGTAAATTAAACTTTATTGATTCTAAACTAAGAGTCTAGAATGTTTTATTCATTCAGCAAATAGTTTTAAAGTGTTCACTATATATCAGGCACTGTTCTGGGCCCTAGAAGTCCAATAAACACACTCTTGGTTTCTCTAACAATGCTTCATGGAATGTAGAAGTTTAAAAGGCCAGAAGTGTTTACAAAGTTGCATTTCTCACGGATCATCACACATTCTTTGAGATGAGTATTGCCAAGACCTTAAGTCAAGACCTTCCAACCTTCTGGTGTAAAATGGCAGGTGCCGAGACCTCCTAACTAGTTGCTCATGAACTCCCCCCCCACCACATGTTATTTTTCTTGAAGATATCAATGAGTGCAAGATGATACCCAGCCTCTGCACCCACGGCAAGTGCAGAAACACCATTGGCAGCTTCAAGTGCAGGTGTGACAGTGGCTTTGCTCTGGATTCTGAAGAAAGGAACTGCACAGGTCGGTGAATGGGCCTCAAGGGGCAGGAGAGGGGACATCCGTTAAAATTCTTCATCTTTAACATATCGCCACAAGCATTGAGGTTGTCCTGATGCTCACTGGCTGCCACTCGCTGTCTTCGTGCAGACATTGACGAATGCCGCATATCTCCCGACCTGTGTGGCCGGGGCCAGTGCGTGAACACCCCAGGGGACTTTGAATGCAAGTGCGACGAAGGCTATGAAAGTGGATTCATGATGATGAAGAACTGCATGGGTGAGTGTGTGGGCATTGGCTCAGCACGGGAAGAGGAGTCCATGAAGCTTCCATGACTCAGGGCCTGTATCCCAGGTTCTTCCTGCTGCCCCCAGTAGCAGGAAGACCAGTAAGTCAGGAACCGGTCTGCAGCAGAGGGAGACTGACAGGCCGAAGGAATGAGGGAATTCGTGCTGTGGGGTTGAGGGTGACCTAGGAGACCAGTTAGTTGTGGGTCCTTGAGGGGTGAGTTTAACACCTGGAATAGACACCCCCAGGGGAAGAGAGAACAATTCAAACAGAAACTGCAGTAGAGGTCCCATTACAGGGTTTCTTTCCAACATTTCTAGAAAAGGAGATTGATTAAGCCGGTTGCTTTAGCTCCAGGTCCCTGGAAATAAACTCTGAAATGGGAATTCTTACAAAAAGTGACTTTTGTTTTTTTTTTTGAGGGAGTGATCTCAGGAGGAACCTGTCAGGAAGTGAGGGAAGTGGGTTAGTGCAGGGCAGAGGGAGATATGCCATGAGTTTGGCTGCATTTTGGCCTCAGTCTGATCCTACAGGGAGCTCTGGAGTGTGAATGGCAACAGAGTCGTCCCACCTTGAGACAGGGAGGTGAGTCAGGCTTTATAGTCCCGTGTCAGTTCAATCAGTCATTGGCCATGGGTGGTCCCCAGCATGGGACAAGGCTATCATCTCTCACCTTCCAGGCATTTCTGAGTGAGCTGGATAGCAGTTCTCCAAGAAGGGAGCCTGTGAGCCCTTGGCAGCCAGGACTTGCAGCGACCGGGGGTTGGTGCTCTGCCGGGTAAAGGGGACCAGGACACCACCACCGTCTCCAGCACAGTCATTTCCATTTTGCAGACATCGACGAGTGTCAGAGAGATCCTCTCCTATGCCGAGGAGGCATTTGCCTAAACACAGAGGGAAGCTTCCGCTGCGAGTGCCCGTCTGGTCATCAGCTGTCCCCCAACATCTCTGCATGTATTGGTAAGGAGCAAGGCTTTCACACCTCTTCCCTGTGCTCAGTCGTTGGACCCACGTCCCTGCCAGAGCCAGAAGCTTACGTTTGGATGTTTGCTCCTCTTGTTTTCTCAACAGACATCAACGAGTGTGAACTGAGCGCACACCTCTGCCCCAACGGCCGCTGCGTGAACCTCATAGGGAAGTATCAGTGCGCCTGCAACCCCGGCTACCAGTCGACTCCTGACAGGCTGTTTTGTGTTGGTGAGTTCTGTGTATTTTATTTCACTTTATTTCATTTAGTCTCTTTCTAAAACACTCAAGCAATGGACCGTGAGTTCTGTTTTCACCACCGTTGACTTTTACTTGATCTTTCTTGTTTCCCTGTAAGCAAAATTCTTTTTAAAGAGTGGCTCACAATCTTTGGCTCTCACCTCCCTTATTTGTTTAAAGAACCAGTTAAATGAAGGACGTAGGATGTTGTAGCTCTAATAAGGATTATTTGACCCATGCTGTTTTGAGTAGTGGACAGTGGCATATACTTAGTTAAGTGATACCTAACTCGGTGTTCGTTTGCTGCCTGGCAAATCAACAAGTGATAATTAACCACCTGAAATAAACTAAACACACTGAGCACTGTGGAAAAGACAAAAAAAAGCATAGGGGGGAAAAAGACAAAAAAGTGTAGGGGGAAATTTCTGCCCCTTAAGTGGTTTAGATCAGCTGAAAGATTTCAAAGAATAATTGTTGGAAAGAAGACCATGGAATGTCCGTATCTTAAAGATGGGTTTTTGTGGGACAAGCATTTTGCTTTGTGCTTGGCCCCCTCTGTAGATTTCGTTGTGCTGCGAAGAGTGGCTTGTGGCTTTATTGTGCCCCAAGTCAAAGTGAAATGTGAAATCTGCCAATTTTTGCCTGGTTTGGGGTTTATACCATGTGGAACTGCCAAGTCTCACATGGTTTCCACCCAAAACCATAAATCAGCCCAAATTCTTCTGAAACATGGCCCAGGACAACTCAGAACTCCAACAACTCAGGTTCTTGCGAAGGACTGGAACCTCAGCAAATCACACAGAATTTCAAGTTTTTAACTGAATCTGTTACCAAGAGAATCTCACCATGTGTCCATTATCATGACTGGATATGTTTTCCCAGTACCGAGTCCTTCTGCACTGCAAGGGGCACATTATGTATCATGCATTTAATTGTTTGTCTGTCTCACAGACTGCAGTCTAATCATTATAAAGGCAGAGATAGTGTCTGTCTCATTTACTATTAGATTCTCATTGTAGGTGTGTAGTTAATATTTGTTAAAGGAATCCAACAGTGACTTCCAATTGCCCTGGGAGGCTTTTTTTCCCCCCTTTCCTTGACTGATGCTTGGAAACCTTAAACATATGCCATGCTCATAAACACAGAGGAGGGTGTCTTAGCCCATTTTTGTGATGCCTAACAGAATACCAGAGACTTGATAATTTATAATGAACAGAAATGTTTTGGCTCACAGTTCTGGAGGCTGGGAAATTCACTATCAAGGTGCTAGCGTCTAGCATAGGCCTTCTTGCTGCATTATCCTGGGGTGGAAGGTGAGAGGGTAAAAGAGAGCAAGAGGGAGCTGAACTTGCCCTTTTATAAATGGGTGGAGCCCTCATAGCCTAATTACCTTGTAAAGGTCCCACCTCTTAATACTGTTACAATGGCAGTTAAATCTCAGCATGAGTTTTGGAGGGGACATTCAAACCATACCAGAAGTTGATATTAATTTCATTTCTTTCAGACATCGATGAATGCAACATAATGAATGGTGGCTGTGAAACCTTCTGCACAAACTCTGAAGGCAGCTATGAATGTAGCTGTCAACCAGGATTCGCACTAATGCCTGACCAGAGATCATGCACTGGTGAGTAGGTTTCAGCCTTGTGTTGAAATTTCTCAATAACAGGGTCCCTAAGTAGAGTGGTTCTGGGCCCAGTTTGGAGTCAGACCGACTTGGGTTCAAAACTTTGCTTGTCACATATTTTAATTTCATGTCCTTTAATCAAGATACTTAGCATCAGAATCCTTATCTATAAAATGGAGTTCAGCTTACCCATGTGAAAGGGTATTTATAGAACTTAGCATATAGTACCTAGCACATAATAATAAATGGAATATAAAATACATTAGCCTTCATTGATCAGAATTTTAAAGAGTTTAATCTTTTGGCCTAATTCAGTGCTACTCCAGGCATATTCCTTGCACGGCAACATTGGCATCACCTGAGAACATGTTAAAAATGCAAAACCTCAGGCCCCATCCCAGATCTGCTGAATCAGAAACTGCTGGGGTGGATCTCAGTAATTCGTGTTTTCACAAGCTGTCCAAAAGGTTTGGATGCGTGCTAAAGTCTGAGAAGCACTGCTCTAATTTACACTTCCTGTTGTATCATCCTGAGCTAGCAGTGCCGTGCAGCCAGCTAGAGCTGAGAAATGAAGTGGGTAAAATAGATTTTGATTCTGGATTAGGTTAAGAAGAGAATTTGGCCTTAGGAACCAAAATTATTTTATCTGACCTAGAAAAACTTCTCTAAAAAACTCTAGATATAAATTTGGCTATAAAAATTAGTTGTTAAAAATATTATTACTAAAAGTGCATCTAAGTAGATATTCTTATTTCAAGTAATTTTCACCTTAAAATATCAGTAAAACAGATAATAGACCTTAGGCATTTAGAATTTGACAATGCGGAAAATAAAATTCATAATCATTTTTGAATGATAAATTCAGTACGAGATAAAATTTTTAATTTAGTGATACACATTTAAGCAGGTCACTGTCCTCGAACAGTATACTGTGAATCTTGAAAATGGTTCTCCCCTTTTTTACTGAGAATAATGTGATGGTATAATTTATGTAAAGCTTTATTTGGATTTGAGAGTTAATGGTCTTATGCTAGTATCTTGAGTTTATTTGACTTTGGTCAGTTAATGTTTTCTCACTGTATAATGGAACCAATATCAACAACATGTGGTTGTTGGTTTTATTCTTTGCAGACATTGATGAGTGTGAAGATAATCCCAATATCTGTGATGGTGGTCAGTGTACAAATATACCTGGCGAGTACAGGTGCTTGTGTTATGATGGATTCATGGCATCTGAAGACATGAAGACTTGTGTAGGTAAGCAAAGAAGCCAGAATTTTCCATCTTGTCTGATTGTCTGGTTATTCACAAGCATTGTGAATTACATAAAGGTTAGTTTGAGTAGTTAAAACATGGATTCTATAAACAAGTAAGAATATTTAGGGGCACAGTACCCATAATTTAAAGCCAGCATTCAAAGAGCAACTTTCTTGTGGCTGTGATATGATGCTCTTGTCATATATGTTATGTGGACTGAACTGACCATTGGTCAACTCCAGATGGACATTTCTTTTATGTCTATCCATTATCTCTGTCCACTTAACCCTCCTTCTTCTGTGACTAGAGTTTAGGCTTTTAAAATGCTTGACTAAAGGCAAGCAAAATTTATCTCTGACAAGAATGCAGTAAACTCTAGAGCTGACCATATTTGTATTGGATAGTTTCTATTGCTATGCCTTCAAATTTGTTAAACTTTCCTTCTATAATATCTAATCTGCCTTTAATCCTATCCAGTGTACTTTTCATCTCAGATATTGTAGTTTTTATCTTTATAAAAGTTTTATTTAGGTCTTTTTTCATATTTTCTGTATCTCTACTTAATAAGTTTAATCATTCCTCTAGTTTTTTTGAACACATGGACTACAGTTATAATAACTGTTTTAATGTCCTTATCTACTAATTCTATCATCTGTGTTAGTTGGGGATCATTTCAATAAATTGAGTTTCTTCCTTATTATGAGTAATATTTTCCTGCTTCATTAAATGTCTGGTAATTTTTTATTGGATGCCGGATATTGTAAATTTTGCCTTACTAGGTATAGATATTTTTGTATTCCTAGAAATATTTTTGAGCTTTGTTTTGGAATACAGTTAAATTACTTGGAAACAGATTGATCCCTTTCAAAGTCTTGCTTTTAAGCTTTTAAGCAGCAGTTAGTCTAGGGCTAATTTTGCTCCATCACTGAGACAGATCCTTCTGGATATTCTACCTAATTCCCTGTGAATTATGAGATTTTCCAGTCTGGCTGGTCGGGACAGGCACAATTCCAGGCCTTCTGTGAACTTTGAGGATTGGTCCCTCTAATTCTTTTGGGTAGTGCTTTTCCCAGCCTCAAGTGGTTTGTCTCCTTGCACAAATGTGCTGATCACTACTCATCTGAATACTGAGGAAGACCCTCAGCAGAGCTCTAGAGCTCTCTTGCTCTATGCAACTCTCTTCTGTCCTTTACTCTGCCCTGTGAACCCTAGATACGTTGGCCTTTAAGGACTTTCAGATTCATCCCCTCAACTCAGGGACACTGCCTGGTTCCATTTGGCAATACCCTCCCTATGCCACGGGTGTAAAACTCCCTCTACTCAGTAATCTGGGGCAATTGTAGAACTCGCCTAGTTTGTTTTCTTTCTCTCAGGGATCACTGTGTTTTTTTGCCTAATGTCCAATGTCTAGAAAACCATTTTTTATATCTACTGTCCTTTTTTTTAATTGTTTTACCTTGGAAAGTCATTTCGATCCCAGTTAGTCCATCTTGGCCAGAAGTAAGAGTCTAGAATTGATTATATTTATATTTTTTATCACATTTATCTTCTGAAAACCTTTACTGAAAATGTGTGAAGTCCTAGAGTTTAAAATGAATGTCATAAAAAATAATTTTTCATTTGGGAAAGAAGTGAAGTTTGTAACTACTTGCACTGAGACTACCAGTTCATCTATCCTTTCTTTCAAAATATGAAAACTAAATTGTTAGCATCTTACAGACTGAATTAAAATTTTCATCCTGCAACAGAGTATGCTGTTTTAAAGAGTTTTCTAGACTGTCACATAAACAAGCTCCAGACTCTGCCTGGAGTCAGTCAGTTTGAGGACGTGACCCACTGCTTGTGGGCCAGATAAAAGGCAGTCTTCGTGAGTACCTGGTGATATACAAAGCAAATGTCAATTGGCCTCCTTAAATATAATATTGATATATTTTCTGAATAAAAGCATTTTACTGTTTCTAATTTATTTGTCATAGGTATTTTACTTCAGGGAAAGATTATTCAATGATGTCAAACGGTCACATGTATTAATAACGTCTATGTTTTTTTAATTTTTACAGATGTCAATGAATGTGACCTGAATCCAAACATCTGCCTAAGTGGAACCTGTGAAAACACTAAAGGCTCATTTATCTGCCACTGTGATATGGGCTATTCTGGCAAAAAAGGAAAAACTGGCTGTACAGGTGTGTTTTCTTCAAATTGAACAATAAAAGTATTAAGTAGTTTAGCAACTGGTATCATAATTATAGACTAATACAAGTTTTAAAACTATTAACATTTTAACTATATCATAAAGCACTTTTCATAACATTTTTTATTAATTTTGCTTCCACTTCTTTGAAGTTTGTTGTACTTTATATTGAATCCAAGTTAAAATTTTTTTCTTTAACCTGCTTTTTTCTTTAACCAATATGCCTGTGAAAAAGGCATATTGAATAAATTAACACTATAAATAACACATTTTTATGAGATTAAAATCAAATTTTCATATCAAAGTTGTGAACATGCTAATTATGAAATATTCATATTCCTTTATTGAAGAAAGCTTTTCCCAATAACTGCCTTTGCCAACACATCATTTAAAGTTTTATAATAAATTACTCTTTAAAGAAACACATCCTATAATTCATATACTTCATCAATTCTCACCAATCTTCCAGTTCCCTAAGTCAGAGTGCTTTTGGTGTATTAAGTTGCATTAGTCCTGTTTTTCTTCACAGGACTTAGCAAATTTTATGAAGTAATAATTGACCCATTTGCAAATTAGCTTGTCTAATACCAATAGCATATGAGAAAATATCTTCACACCGTTTGTAGGAGATGGTCCTATTAAATAAGAAGAAGTTACTCTGTGGTAATGACATTGTTTTATAAGTGTTTAGTTGGTATTTTCAAGTAGGAGACAATGATTTTAAGTACATGGAATGATATAATAAAGTTTTACTATAGTTATTTATGTTAATGTAACAGATTATGGCATATAACATAATTTAAAACATAATGTACACCAGGGTGAGCTTGAATTAGGTAACTGTATGATTTCTTTACGAATAATAGATTTTAATTCCAAAAGCCAGTTTGGCAAGCCCTTGTTATCTAAACATTAAAATATTTGCAGATTGACAATATGGTAAATGTAGAGATATTCCTCTTAATTTTATCAACATATTTCAGAAAAAAGACCAAAATATGTTTATTACTAATATTTTTGCAAACTGGCCAATAATGCTGAGTTCCAAATTTATTGATAAATAAGGGCAATATTATTACTGTTGTTTCAAAAATAATAGGTCCTAGCTAATTTATGAAAAGAGGCATGAAGCTGGAATATTTTCTTGCTCTCTGTGCTGTTCTGCCATGAAGGCTGGCTTAGGGGTCCATTCTGAGAAACGGCACAGCGTTTAAACTCCCAACTCCCCATACGGCTTCTTGGGTACAAATGGTGCTTAGTTCTATATCTCCATGGGTTCAAGCTTTATTTTTAGATTCCAGAATGAATGTAGGACTTAATAAGGGATGGTGGTCTGGCAGTAAGGAAGAGGAAGGTAGGATAATTCTATATTGTGTTTTACCTAATAGAGTATAATACTATTCTTTGCCTAAACTGAGCTCCCCGAAATTCAGCCCAAAGGCAGTGATGGTTATGAAGGGAAAAGTTAATCTCATGGGACAGTCTTCATTCCCTATAAGAAAAAGGGTCTCTAGAATTTCACGATCCAAATTCCAGCTAACTGGGGCATGTGCAGCAGCTGATTATTTTAGACCTCTTACCATGAAGAAAGCTTAAATTTCCATACTATAGTAATATAGTTTTAGGTAAATGAGATACAATGTATGTAACACCCTTGGAACAGTGCTGGTCAATGAATGAAAACTAGTGTTATTATATTAAATGAGTCACAGACACATTGTGTGTAGAGGCCATTTTAAGGAAATATCACTTCTAGCAAAAATTCAATTCTGCTCTTTAGTGATACATGCTTGAAATCAGTTTATGAAAGAAAAACCTTACTCTGTGTGTTGATAGCCTTGTTTTTCACAATTGAATTTGCACATATTCTAAGACTGTGGTGACAAGAGCTATGCACCGTGTGTTAGATTACATTAAGAACAGTAGCCTTTCAGTAAATCACATGAACAGAAACGTAGATTTGAAGTCAAAGAAACACTCGGTCCTTTCCCAAGAGCAGATATCTCCCACCATTATTTTAAATTGTAGCCTAAAATGATTTTTCAATTTTATAAAATCCAGCTTGCACTGTAGGAAGAAGACTAGAGTTTCATATCCTTTTCATATCACAGTAGCATGACATGTGATATTTTCATCTAAAGGAGTAGTATCCTGAATTGTAGTCCTAGTTCTTTTACTGGTTCATGATCTTGAACAAATCACCAGGGTGCTCTGCAGTTGTTCAAATGTTCCCCTCGGGTAAGTAACACAGCCCTGACCTATGGAAGGAGGAGTTGTATTAAAGAGAAAGAAAAAGAGATCCTCCATTAATACTGTTATTAAAAACCAAGAGTATCACATTTGATTGGAAATGACTTAAACAAGCAGAAAGTTTGGTACACTTAAAAACAAGTTTTAAAAATCTAGGCCAAAATATTTTTTAAACCTATGTTACTAGGGCACTTTTAGTGTGCTTTTAATTTAAAATCAGTGTCATTCACAACTTAGAATACCATCGGGTTACCTTGGTGATGGTCACATTAAAGGCAAATGTTTGTAATGTTCCAGGCAACTAATGTAAATAGAGATAGATATCTTGCTTAATTGGATAAGCAAGCCACACAACAAATAATAGCAAGAACAGACCTGGAACTGTGTTTTGATAACAGATAAAAGAAATGTATCTACTTATTTATTTAGATAGATAGATTTTTTTTAAATGAGCACCCAATAAAAGAATTATAAAAATATGTATGCTATTTCATAAGGAACTAAAAAAAAAAAAATGTCTCTTGTTTCATGAGAACTAAAAAAAAAAAAAAAAATGTCCTCTGGGCTCCATTACAGTTTTGTCTAAATATTTCAGCTCCCTGTCATTACTGATTGTTTCCATTTTAACAAATAAACATGTTTTTTTTTTGCCCCAATCACTTTAGCAATGTTCAGAATCCACCCACTGACTTACATTCTCAGCCCACACAGATGCTAAGGCTTTCTTTTTACTCCTTAAGCTTTGTCCAAATTGTGGGTATTGCTGAGAGGAATGTTCGATTTAATGGAGAGAGAATGTACATTTGCTTGAAACCTCGAACATAGCTCTTTCTGTGACCAAATGCAAGGCTTCTGCTGCTCGCTCTGCATAATTATAATTAGACAACACATTGGAAGAAGAAAAAATAAGTCCCTGTTGTGTACCATCCTTGCTGGCCCTGACTTTCACGAGCTAATTTGTAAGAGCTTACTTCTCACTGTGAGCTCACTTAGTCAGTGAATAAAGCATACCATTAAGTAGCACAAAATCCGAATTGTGTTCAGCCAAAACAGCAGGGTTTCTAGATAATTCCATTTCTCAAACTATAGGATTCCTTTCACACGAGAAATGTTTCTGATGGGTCTCTTTAGTCCATGGCAGAGAATCATATATTTCAACCACCAGCAGTCAGTGAGAATTTGTGTTCATTTCCTTCCAGTTTCTTATCACTGCTAATTCTCCCCCACTGGCTGTCAGCCTGTGAAAACTCCATGGGTGTTCAGTTAATAGTCTTGGCTCAACTTGGGATCCAAATTAAGAAATCCAAGTAGCCTTCACGTTTGGCCTCTCCATTCACTGTAACGCCCTCTTCCTCGATGCCTAATCAAGGAGTTTCCGCCCTGTGCCAGTTCTGCGAGATTAGGAGCCACTGACGGAAGCCCCAATGTCAGGGAAGCCAGGTGTGTGTGTGGCCTCTCCCTGCATGACTATAAGAGGAAGCCATCGCAGCTCAGAGTACAAGCCCCTACTTGGATGGCAGACTCTCCTGGGACATATACCCAGAGCTTGTGCACGGGGTCTGCTCAGAACACACTCTTGGCCCTCAAGAAAGCCATGCACACAGGACCTTTGAGTCTTCTTGAGGAAGGCTTGGTGGGGTTAAGGAGGTTGCAGTGTCAGCCTGAAATTTGAATTTCTTTGCTTTTCTTGGCTTATGCCTATTCTTAATCTTAAAAAGGAATTTTCTGTCTGGAGCAAACTTGTGAGGGAAAGAGAACATTTGTACAGAAAGAGATGTTCTTGGCAAGCATGTACTGTGTTTCCTTCATATTATTGAAGAGTGTTTCAAGGCAGTGTTTTTATTTGCTTGTTTTCCTTATGGCTCAGTTTCCCCTTCTGTTTGCTTTTGTAATGAATTACAGTCCTAGGCCCAAGTCCGCCATGGAAACGATTAATGAATAATGGTTGGCGCTCGTATGCACATATAGTCATGTGCAAAAACCTTTTATTCAGAGATCCCTTTACACTTTATGACCACTTTAAGTCTTTCTAATTCACTTGTTACATAGTGAGAGTGTGAAGCATTGAGATCATGACTTACACAAATATTCAGGAAATGGAGAATTGAATATGGGATCCTGAGTTACTCTCTCCTAGGACCCCAATGCCCATGATACACCACAGCCTCTTGCAAATACAGTTTCTTTTCATCTTGAAAGCATTGCAGTAAAATTGAAAACATTTTCTTGAATTAGAAATTTATATTGGCATATTATTGGTGGTTTTAAAAAAGGAGGGAAATGCTCCTTTTAAAAGAAATAGTAATTTTCTTAATTGCAAGATTAAATATGGAACATGAAGACCATATGAAAGTAAGGGTACCTTTACGCATTAGCAAATTGAAAAGACAAAGATTACAAATTACCAGATTAATAGGTTGTAATCATCTCTAAAAATTGTATTTAGTAGAAGAAATTAGTGAATATTTCTACGTCTGTTAATATTCACAAATACATTGAGAACTCTATAAAGCAAGACAGAATAAAGTCCTGATGTGACCCAGAAAATGAGCTCAGTTAGGCAGCTGTGGCCCATGGGAAAGAGTGGCAGACAGGGAAGATAGGGAAACTGCAAACAGCAGACAGGGAAACTGAGTTCCAGGGTGTCCTGGCTCTGCCCCTCACTGACCGTGGGGCCCCATCTCTGTGTCCTCGGAGAAACCAAGCATTGGGAAAGTAGAATTCTGAGTTCTTTCCACCGGACTCTAACATCTGGAGGCTTCGATACTTACACAATTGAAACTCATTTTTTCCACCTAAGATGATTTGTCAGAGATCATGCCAAATAAGAGAGAGAAAAATTAAGGCCGGACTCCACAAAAGTGGTGGTTTGTGTCATTACCTCTGAGGGGAGAGATTATCTGAGGAAGAAAGATGTGTCCACAGTCCTGCTTGGGGACACCTGTAAAAGTTCTGCGGAGTCTGTTAGGTTCTGGAAGGCTTACTTTCTTGAGTTCCCGTGCCTACTTACCACTGTGATCCCAGGGCTGGCCTTCCTCCTCATTCCCTTGGAATGTGCCATGCTCAATTATTCACTTGGCTACAGCTCCCCGGTCACAAGTCTGAAGCTGTGTGCCTCTCTTGACCTGCCACGGTAACTCCATAGGTTCGTGTGGCTGCCAAGGTTACATTAAAATCCACCTATATAAGACGTTTAGGCAAGGACATTCTTTCAGGCCTGTTTCCATTTTGTGATTTTTAGTGATATTACAAGTTTTTTTTTTTTATAGGAGAAATCTATCATTGTTTTATTTTATGTTTGCTGTAGAAGTTATGAAGAAGCCAAAGATCCCGGGACCATTTCAGAACTTCAGATGGAACATTTGGCAGGCAGCATGTTTCCAAACACTTTGAAATTATTTAATTGGGCTGCTTAAGTAAACAAAAGGGTAAACATGAATCACATGCCCAGTTTCTTTTTCATGCCACTATTGAAGTGATCACTGGAAATTCTTGCAACATTTTGTGTGTCCAAATTGTCCTTCTTGACCTAAATTTTGTGTTAGATATTGGTTTCCATATAGTCATAGTATCAAAGCTATGAGTTCTTATTCTGAGTTTATGACAAAGTTGATTACAAGGGTAACCTATTATATGGTTGCTTTCAGGAAACCAAACATCTTTCACTTCATACTTTATATTCTTTTCTGTAACAGTTTTATGTTATAGTGTCTATCTTGGCTAAATTTGGAATGAAATTTTAGGGAATGGAGAATTTTGTAGAATTTGGAGTCTTTTAGTAATGTGACCCTAATTTGATACTCCTTATAATCCAACAAAATCTCCACTGGATTGACTTTATTTTTATGTGAAATATATGAGAAATCTTGGCACTCCAATGCACTAGAACTCTAAGAAGCTAGAGAAAAGAAGCTAAGAAGCTAGGGGAAAGATCGTTCATATACTGCCTTAATAGGGAACATTTTCTGTAAATGCTTATATTAGGAATACCTAAAGTAAAGCTTTTATAGAAATAAAGCATAATAAAATATCAGTGTCTTAAGTTTAAGATTAAAGTATATTTAATATGCAGAATATGATTCAAAAGTTTTCTAATATGCCTACAATACTGTATTACCTTGTCTATACAAGATATGAAAACAGTGTGCATGACTACTCTATAGTTGACTTATTAAAAATATTGGTAATGGAAACATATGACCATGAGTGTTAATACCACAGAACATTAGACACTCACTTTTTATGGTCTTCAGCTGTAATGAGGTTCATTTTGCTTTGCAGTAACTGGACTCTGACAATAAAATATGGAAAATAGAGTTAATAATAGCAAGTATCATTATATTGTTCTGTCTTTTAAAATTGAATTTTAACACTTCAGTATATGTAGAGTTTATATATATAGATGCTAAACCAATCTATACTGTAAGAAGTGTGAAGGTAAGTCATCTTTTGAATATTGCTAAGTTATTTTAAAGACCAAATAGACATTCACACTAAAGTTTTTTTCTGAATTGCTGGTTATTTTTCTAGACATCAATGAATGTGAAATTGGAGCACACAACTGTGGCAGACATGCTGTATGCACCAACACAGCAGGAAGCTTCAAATGCAGCTGCAGTCCCGGCTGGATTGGAGATGGCGTTAAGTGCACTGGTGAGTTGGGAAATGACAGAGATTGCTTATCATGCACTACATAGGTTATAAATATGATGTTAATTCTGCAAAGTCAAATTTAATTTGTGTAGTATTGCTTTTAAGTGCCACACTCTCTGCTAATAATGACATAACCTTTTTCCTTAAGATTTGGATGAATGCTCCAATGGAACCCACATGTGCAGCCAGCATGCAGACTGCAAGAACACCATGGGATCTTACCGCTGTCTCTGTAAGGAAGGATACACAGGCGATGGCTTCACTTGTACAGGTAGGCTCATGCTGGCAACGACTGTCTACATTACATCAGTCAGGGAAGCAAGGTGTTCCACATTTCTCAGACCATCCTTTTTTGAAGGTTGGGTCAGTTAAGATAAAAGATTAGTTATTTGAGACTAGAGTCCTGTGGAATAAAAATGTGGAACCAGATCATTATTTGGAACCAGATCAGAATTAAGGAGTCCTCAGAAGCTAACACACACACACTCTCTCTCTCTCTCTGTCTCTCTTTATCTCTGTATATATTTATATATACATACATGTCTGTATCACTGTATATAATGATGTCATTTGTTTAATACATATCATACTTTTTTTATTAATATATGCCTCAGCTTTTATATTTTTGTGCCTATTTCTCTCCAATTACTTGCTTTCCATACCAAACACAAGGGTAAGGTTGCTGCAGGAAGCTATGCAAGAAAAAAGATTCAATGTTCTGGATTAGGAGAACAGCAGATGTTAATATTTCTCTGAGTAGCCATCATCAACATTTCATATTGGTATAAGTAAGAATTTTTCATAACTGCTTTTTAAGGAATTCATTCACTCCCAGTTTTACAATATATTAATGAAATTTTCTTTTTGGCTCTAATTAACAGTCATAGAATTAAAATAAACTGCTACATATATTTAAACATATATGATTAGAGATGTGGATTATATGCATTATAAAAATACATGTGCGCGTATACACAGCACTTTTTATGTCAGGGCTTTGGGATTAAATAAAATAGATCCATTACTCATTGGCTATGAAGTAGTATAGCTGCTCATATAACTTGATGCATTAATTTATCCTGACCACTCTGCTCATACAAAGTCGTTTAAGAACTAAAGAGACTAAGGCCAATTAAGTCCCAAACCTGAAATTATTCTTAACTCGTTGAAAGTTTTATCATAGATGAAGTCATTTCTGCCTAACTCAGTGATGTTTTGTTAAACATAAATCTCCCATTACTTTCAAGAATATATTCAGATTTCATGTATGACGCATGGATGGCTCATGTGTTTGATATTTAATGCCTGTGATCATTGTGGAAACAAGATAGAGATTAAGCAGATGGGAATTTTCAGCCTCCTCTGTAGTCGCCATTCTAGTTCTTCTGCTACCCATCTGAGTTAATGAGAAATAGGCGCAAACCACGACATGTTATTTCCTGTCATGCATGTGCCCTCCATGTGGACGGCCCTTCTCGAAAAGGCCTTCGTTTGAGTGATTCCCTTGGTTTATTTATCATTTTGCATCACGAGGGAGAGTCTAGCATTCAGGATTCTGAATCTGAGCCCCACACCCATCGCACATTCCACACTAGCATCCAAAAGAGAGAAACAAACGAGTTTAAAATCTGTCAGATAGAAGGAATGGCGAAACACCGCTACACTTGGGAAGTCGACACCATAAAGATCGTCAGATGATTTTTAGTGATCGGAAAGCTCCGAACCGAGGGAGAGTAACTTAGCTTCTGTTTCTTTCCGCCTGCAGACCTCGATGAGTGCTCTGAGAACCTGAATCTCTGTGGCAACGGCCAGTGCCTCAACATCCCCGGAGGGTACCGCTGCGAGTGTGACATGGGCTTCGTGCCCAGTGCTGATGGGAAAGCCTGTGAAGGTAACTAGCCGCTGGGGAGGCTGCCGGGAGCCATGCAGGCAGGGCTTGGTGAGATTAGGTGATTTAAACATTCCTGATGCTTTTTTTTGTTTTTTTTTTTAACTGAGGTGTGTTCTGGCTCCACATCTAAGCTGGTCAGTTCGGTCTGTGGAGAGGTTAGGTCTCCAGCTGGACCGTTTCTCTGTGTGCAGAGAACAAGTCAGAGCTCTGGCCACAAGCTGCCCATCCAGCCTTGGCCGGAGGATCTGCACGGGCACACCCGTTGGACAGAGATGAGGGAGGGTCACCAGGTGTGGTTAACTCAATGAACCCTTTTGTCCCCCTATTGATGGGGAACAGAACTCAAGGTGCAGGTCCCCTGATGATGTCCTCTTGGAGGATTATCTTTAAATAAGGAAAAATGGCTTTTAAGCTCTGCTATGGTTTGGTTTCTAGAAATAAAGGCTTTAAAATAACAGGAAGAGCAAAACAGTCTTGTCTATGACAGTCTTGTAAAATAATGTCCAGGGTATGGCTCACAGTGTTCTCTAAATATCTAACATATGTATATGAACATGGAGCAGTCTTTTTACAAATTTGTTCAGTAGGGTATGCCTTGGGATAATGCCATTTGTCACGGTGTCTCTCAGCTCAAGGCTTTGTGTCTTTCTGATAAGTGTTGGTTGGTCAGACAGGAAGAGTCCTGGGAACCTGTTGCCCAAGTATGAATCCCATTAGGAAACACAAGATTCTTCTCTCTACCCAGACTTATCAAATTTAAGCACAGTCTCTTTCATTGAAAAGAATTAATGACTGCAGTGAACTAAGACGATTTCAGTAGAAATAAACAAATGATAATGATTGTCAGCAGAAGTTTAAACAAGAGCCCGGTTAATGTATTAGCTCATAGTTGTTCCTTGTTAACAAGACATGAACTCAGTGTCAGTCTTAAGCTATGACATGTGTATTAAGTCCCTCATATATTTCTATGTAAGTACTTCTCTTTGTTATGAAACCACTGGGTGCTCTTTACACAGTTTATATTAAATATGAAGAGTTTGATATAAAACTCCCCCGAGGCAAGGAACCAGATTATACTCTTGATCATGTGTCAAGTGCCTTGTTTACTTTTGTTACTCTGGATGTCCAAGGAAAACAGGTACCCTGCCACCTCTGGTAACAAAAATGGTCACAGTGAAAGTTTCACTTCTCTCATTGCTATAAGGGAAGATTTTGTTTGTTTGTTTATTTGTTTGTTCTTAATATAAATCATCGCTGGCAGAGTGGTCACTGCTATTTAAAGCTAGTCTCAAGCCTGAAAATGTGTTCACGTGTCAACTGCACAAGCAGAATGTTCACATGAGGCAGGTATAGGGGCCTAAAGAGGCACAGTGAACACACACCTTGGTACTGGAGAATGGGGAATTATAAAACTAATTATGAAAGTTACCACAAAGACTTAGCGGTTCTTAAAATTTTAGCTCACAATAAAAACAATGAATATATAGATTAAAAAAAAACAAAGAAATTAGTCTAAGGTGGCTTGTTTGGCTCCTCACAAAAGTGACATGGACCTATGTGAAACATCATAGACACGTTACATGTCTGCAGAATGCCTTGCCCACTGCTTGGCATGTAATAGGAACATATCCTATCACCTGCAAGACTTCCCTGTGTGTCACAAATCATGAAAAAGTCTACAGGAGAAGAATCTAGATTGATGTCATGTAGTCTTTGTTTTCTCAATACTTATATCAGTTACCTAATTATATCATGCAGGGTTGTTTTTTTTTTTTTAGAAAAACATAAATTTAACTTCTCCCCCTTTTTTTCTCCCTGCCCCTAAGATATCGATGAGTGCTCCCTCCCGAACATCTGTGTCTTTGGAACTTGCCACAACCTTCCTGGGCTGTTCCGCTGTGAGTGTGAGATAGGCTATGAGCTGGACAGAAGTGGCGGGAACTGCACAGGTAAGAATTTGCATTTGAATCTGCTCCCAAGGGTCCCAGGGTCCAGGCTGTTGGAGCCTCGCTGGGACCACACAAGGGTAGTCCACAGAGAACGAGAAAAGCAGAGGTGAAGTATTAGGAATCACAGAATACATTTTCTCAGACCTGAAACTGGATGTGAGGATGCAGAGGGAAGGGTCAAAAGCAGTTGAAGGAGCAGCATTTGTAGCTTTAGAATTGAGCTTGTGGCTACAGAGGGAATGTTCTAGGGGTTCTCCAGCTACATGGCTTCCCAGCCATTTCCTTTTCTCCTTGGGTACATTTTCAGAGAGTTTCCTTTTGGAAGCCCTGTCCTGGGATCATGGGTTTTCTCCTCCTCCTTTTCCATTGCAATACCCACTCCTTTCCACCACTGCCCTGCCAGTCACCAGAGCACCTGGTACATAGAGCTTATCCACCCATGTCTGGTGTATGAATCATCTTCTTGTCAAGCAAGGGACTCTTAGAGAACATTAAGAAAAACAAATTAGAAAAGCTGTAGGTGCCCAGCAGACTGCCATTCAGTTCTCTTTGGCACTGAGTTAAGACGTTGAAAGCCATTTGCAGTTCTCCTTCCTAGTCTACCTACCCATCTGCTCAAGGATACTGAGGAAACCAGTTCTATTCTAGATCAGCTCAGAATTTCAGAAAACAATCTGGTCTTCTCAGCCACCTACACAAGCCACAGCTCAGTGGCTCTCTGGATGAGGACCACCGACACCGCCCTGCAAATGCTCTGGGCTGGAGTATTCTCCCCCGCCAAACACTCGTCCCTTGCTTTTCCTAAGCATTGTTATGATACCAAGCTGGGCCTCGACGTGCCTTAGGAAGTCACCTCTCATGTGGCATACCCTCTCCTCAGTGCTTCAGATTACTATTGGCATCATTCTGTCTAAACTCATTTCTGTTAGTCTGGCCCTGTGCATCCAAGTTCACATGCCATTTGAACAAAAGCATCATCTGCAATGGAACCCGCAGGAGGGCTGGACCCGAGGAGAAGGCGTGGTACCCATTCCCCAGCCCTTCCTCTCAGAATCCATTTGTCCACTCTTGAATATTTTGTAAGTGTTCAGAACAGACAAAAGGATTGTACAGTTTGGAATTTGCCAAAAAACCATGTCCTACATATCTGGGATTCTGTACATATTTTTGGAACACAAACTGAGAGGGAAATCTTCAACTCAGCATCGATGACAGGAGAGAGACTCTTTACTGGCTTGAAGAAACATGCTAAGCCTCATGCATGTGTCGGGGTGGGGGGAAGCATCAAAAGTCGCCTGTTCCCGAGAATTTCCTGGGACATCTTGCTCTAATTTGACAAAATAACAAGCCACACATATTAAATATATTTTCTTAAAACCTGTGTCTGAGGTTTTGGCTGACCCAGGTCACAGCAGTGTTTTGCCTTCAGTTACCTTGACTGAAATATTTTTTTCCTAGTTCCAAAGTTATCTTTTATCCTGATAACAGATTTGTATGGTACATGTATGCCAGAGGGAAAAAGACCAAAGACTAGGACATATTTCCTTCCTGAGGGGTTTTATTTCAGAAGTGGAAGATTGTATTTCTAGGGTGTAATTACATGCAGTAACTTAAAAATTCTTGTTTGGAGCCCTTGATTCAGTACTGCTGCGTTATGGTGACACCTGTCCTACGTTGGCTCAGGTGATCATTCTGCCGCTTGCTGTTTGGTTTCAGATGTTAATGAGTGTCTGGATCCAACCACGTGTATCAGTGGGAACTGCATCAACACTCCCGGCAGCTATACCTGTGACTGCCCACCCGATTTCGAGCTGAATCCAACTCGAGTTGGCTGTGTTGGTAAGATCTTAAAAACTTTCCAGAGAAGCCTGCCGCTTATTATTTTGAAAGCAGCATTGAACATTCCATTGTCAAGGTTCTCGGAAGTAACAATACAGAAAATTAGACATTTCCTAAATCTGGTTTATACTTTCAGATACCTTTTCTCTAAGAAAACACCCAGTACTACGTAATATCTGTGGGCACTTTTTAGTTCCTTAGTAAAAGTAAATTACGGGTTTTGAACAGTTTCTGACACGGGTTTGAATTTTCAACCCTCTAGTAGAAACAATCCGCCTGACACTGTTTTGTTTGTGTATGGGAAATAGATACCCGCTCTGGAAATTGCTATTTGGATATTCGACCTAGAGGAGACAATGGGGATACAGCCTGCAGCAATGAAATTGGAGTTGGTGTTTCCAAGGCCTCCTGCTGCTGTTCTTTGGGGAAAGCCTGGGGTACTCCCTGCGAGCTGTGCCCTCCTGTGAACACGTGTAAGTGGAAAGCCTCCTGTTGTTTATTGTTCCAGCTCAAGCCAGTTCTCCTTTCCAGATCCACAGAAGGAGGGAGCCGCCACTAGCCTTGACTCTTAGATCAGGGAAGGCAGACCAGTCCTCTCAGGCCTGTTGAGGGACTTCACTTCCAATCTGGGAGTCAGAAAATGTCCCCTGTTGGCTTGCACTAAAAAGAATCAGGTGATCTCATTTCTATCAGAGTGAAAAACAGATAGTGTTACTTTAAATATTTTCTAGGCTAGGTTAGCTAGACCATATCTCTTACCTTCCAGGGACACATTGATCTCTCCTCTTGTCATCTACTGGCTGGTTTTGAAATCTCTAGAACAGACTCAGTGTTCCTGGGTGGAAGATAAAATTAGTTGAGCAACTATGACATGGAAGATCATTCCATTCTTTTATGATACGGCCTGAAAGAAAGCTTTAGAATATAATTTGAAGGCTATAAGTAATGTTTCCTTAAAAAAAAACAAAAAAGGCTTCCCGGCTTCCCATTTTTCTAAGTGGGTCTTGCATTATGATTCAGAATCAAGTGTAGCTTCTTTTTTGGCAAAAGTCAGTGGCCCCTGTTTATAGGGTATATTGGAATAGGTATTGATTCTTTCCTTGTTGAAGGGTCATTTATTCATTTCTACGTATTTGTTGGCTACCTAGAGTCAGTACTTTGGATGTGCAAAAATGAATTGGACTTGATCTGGCCCTCCAGGATCATACAGCCATGTAGGCGAAATATGATCCAAACATAAGAACTAGAATTCAATCTAGGTCTCAGAAAGAAAAGAAAGAAGAGCAGACACAGTGCCATGCTTGGTAGAAAGAGCACACCTGGTTCAAATTAGGACTCTACCGATTGCCACCCATGTAACCTTGGGCAAGTTACTTAGCATTCATGAAATACCTCATGGGATTAAATGAAATCACTCACGCTGAGCACCTGGCTCTGGGGCCAGTGCTCAGCAGGCCCCCCTTCCCTCTTCTCTTAGGACGGAGAGATTGGTTCTGCTTGGGAGAGGGTGGTGACTTTGTTCATTTTTTAATTGGGCCTTCAAGAAAGGTGTGGCATGAAGAGAAATCAAAAAGAATCGGTTGGGTGATGGCAGAAAGAGGAGAAGAGAAAAAGTAAAAGAGGAGGACAGTTCATTTTAACTGATATTGAAAGAGGCAAACCAAAATATTCAATTGGAGGGGGCCAGCTCTATAGATTAGTAATGATTAGCAAAGCAATAGACATCTACCCTACCCCCAATCTAGATCAGAGTTAGAACTGGAAAATATATCTATCTGTCTATCTATATATACGCACACACACACATACATACACACATTTGTATGTGTATACATACAGTTTCAGAAAGCCAAGACAGGGATTATCAGATTCAGAAAGATGAAGATGATTATGAGAGGACTGATCTTATAAACACTTACCAGGATAATGCAGCAGATTAGGGTCATTATTATTCATGTGTTCCTGTATATATCACAGTGCTGGTATATGGCACGTAAATAAATGGGGGTTTTTTGGGGTGAAATATGTGGATGAAAAAAATCAGTGGGGGAAATCCAAGGACATTGTAGAAAGTTGTTTTTGGAAACCAGGGAAATCAGTATTGCCATTGGTAGAAACCAAGGAGCAAGAAAGATCATCGAGGAGAGAAGTGGGATGGGGACCAAGAGGGAACAGCTTTCCCTAAGGCTCCGTTTGGAAAGCGTTTTCGAGACAGACTGATTCAGATTATTAAGGGAGGCTGCAATTCATAGGAAGTAGGGCTGGACACAACGTAAAAATGGAGATGGAGTTTGTCAGAGAACAAAAAGGGAAAGAAGATCTTTAAAAAAAGAATGGTGATGGAAATAGTTCACAAGCACATAAGTCCAGGAGAGTAGCTGGACAGCTCAAAGACTGAGAAAAGTGGCCTTACATTGGGCACATACAGTAAAAGCCACTTGAAAATGACAAGTGTCCGCAAAGATATTAACTTGCTTCAGATGGGTAGAGGGACAGGTAAAGATTCCTAAAAATGAATGCTTTTCCATTAGATATTCCAGTATTTCTCTCGAGGAGACTATTTCACCTACAGATTTTTGATGCAAAAGAACTCAATTTGAATTTTTTTTGTTTCAACAGCTGAGTACAAAATTCTTTGTCCTGGAGGAGAAGGCTTTCGGCCAAATCCTATCACTGTCATATTGGAAGGTAATTCCGTTTCCTTCATCTTAAAGTGCGCACGTTTTGGATTTCCTTGGGTTTATTTACAGTGCTGAAAAAATTTCTTTTGTTTTCATTTTGGTAGATATTGACGAGTGCCAGGAGCTTCCAGGGCTGTGCCAGGGAGGGAAATGCATCAACACCTTCGGTAGTTTCCAGTGTCGCTGTCCGACGGGTTACTACCTGAACGAAGATACCCGAGTGTGTGATGGTAGGTGGCCCCCGTAGGATGGTAAGTTCTTCCACATATTCAGAACCGAGTTCAAAAACCAACGTGCAGTTATCAGGAGAACTGGGAAGCTAGCACTGTAGCACAATGGTCTGAACATGAACATAGGTAAATATGTCACACATGCAGCAGCTTGCACTCATGTTACTGAGATGATGTCATTTCCAATAAGTCCTAAATCTCCCTCTTTCCCCGAGGAAAGTGAAGTTTTATTATGCTGGGCCATAGGCCCATTTATGCCTACAAAAGAGTTTTCCATGCTCTTCAGAAAAGCCTTTTTTTTTTATTAGAGTAGCACAGGTCCCACTTCAGTAATGTCTATATTCGGGCCAGTCCTGGGCTTCTCCTCTTACTCTTCAGCACTTATCATCTGTACTAATGCATTTAAATGAGCTTCTCTTGGAAGCCAGCCCTGTGCCATTATGATAGAAGTAATGGCTGCTGTTCATCCTGTTTTACTGGATGGAGTATGATAAAGGCAGAGAATGTTCACAACTTTTAGGTTTCAGAGCATTTGGGCCATGGACCAACGGGAGAGAGGTGGTTTTAATCTGCAGACGGGAATCACGCACCTAGTTAGGAAAGAGACCTCCTTGTATTCCACTTAAGAAACATTCCCCTGGCTCTCCAAAAGGCTTACTAGGTCACCTAGACAATGATAACCTTACTGAGTATTCATTGAGCATCACAGTATATGTGACACAGCTCTAAGACTCATGCAGTAAACAAAGATTCAAATCAACCCCTTTGCTTGAAAATGGGGTTCTCATGCTGCCTGACCAATGCAGATCCACAAAGCCAGTTGTCAATGGGTTCAGTGTCTATCATACCCTTCTGTGGATCTTGTAAACATGTAAAGTATATAATTGTCTTTCTGAAAGATATTTGAAAATTTTAATTTCTCCACATTTCCATCTCTGCATGCCTTTGAGGGTGTTATGGACCCTCATTATTATTAGGAGACTTAATATCCTGTGTGATATACCACCATATTAAGGAGACAAGTATTCCTTTTCCAAAACCTTCTTTCCTAAAGATGTACACATTTGCACAGAGACACAACACTGATAAACCACGTATCTATTTTTTCTCATCCGGATTTCAAAGTGCCCAGTGGATTTTCTCCTCCTTCGTCAACATTTACATCGACACTGAGTACCAGGCCATTCCAATGAGTGATGTTTTCATATTAACATGCAGCTTTCTCTTTGGATTATAGATGTGAATGAATGTGAGACTCCTGGGATCTGTGGCCCGGGGACATGTTACAACACTGTTGGCAACTACACCTGTATTTGTCCTCCAGACTACATGCAAGTGAATGGGGGCAATAATTGCATGGGTAAGTGCTGGCTTTTCTCAGGCATGCATGTTTGTTTTGTTCTCATCTGCAAAGAGGGAAAGAGCTTCCGAGTCCAGCAGTTAGTCCTTAGTGTGATGTTACGCATCATTAGGCCGAGTACTGCCACCCTGTCACTGTCTTGGTGAGAGCCTCCTCCCCTGTAAACCATAAGCTTGGCATTTTTTCACCACCTCCTGTGTGTGGTTGGGAGTTTTCTTTAAAATGTAATGTTGGAAAATCCCAAACAACAGTTTCATAGTACTTCTTTTGTTTGACTTTTGGGTGTATCTTCATACAATTATATTTACAGCGCTGACCTACAGTATTAAAACATCATGAGTCGGAAATGAGAAACTTAACTGCCAAATAGCAGTGGAGAATTGTTACTAGGAGACCTGGCAGAGAATCATTTAAAGTTTATTAATGCTACAGCTACATAATGGCTTAGTTCTGTGGCACAAAATACCAAAGGATACATTTCCTAAAGTCCTTGTAACTTGTAGCAACATAGGTAGCTAGAAAGTTGGGTTAAGAGCGGGTTTTCTTCTGCCCTTGCCGAAGTCAAGCTTCATTAATGCAATTCAAAAAAACCTTTCTCTCTGAGTATCCCCTTAGAAATCTGTTGTGATTTCCCACATGGTATCACCAATCTCTTTTTTTCTTTTAGATATGAGAAGAAGTCTGTGCTACAGAAACTACTATGCTGACAACCAGACGTGTGATGGAGAACTGTTGTTCAATATGACCAAGAAGATGTGCTGTTGTTCCTACAACATTGGCCGGGCCTGGAATAAGCCCTGTGAACAGTGTCCCATCCCGAGTACAGGTGAGTTTTAGTTTTACCATTACCAAAAATTTAGGCTGATAAATTACCCATCACTTGTTGGGGGAAATCAGTCTTAGCAAAGGAAGAAAAGTGTGTATTGTTTATCTTCATAAGAAAAAAAATGGCTCAAGAAGGCAAATATTTAAATTCACAGTTGATCCTGGTCCTTCCAGCTGCAAATTGAGTCACAGAATGTGATAATTTATACCCTAATATATAACCAGGCTTGTACACTCAGCATATCATAATATAAACTATAAACATTGTTATCATTGTTGGGTTTTCCATTTAACTAAAAGTTTATAAACATTAGGCAAACCAATGTGACAAATAGGTGAACCATAGTTCCTATTGTTTTTACTTCTTTAAAACTAGTCTTGTTCTAAAAAAGATTAAAGGCAGCCTATGAAGATGTAAATGTAAAATAAGAAATAAGCATAAGGCAAATGGCAAACAAGAGTAAGAAAGTTAGAACAACAAGCAAAGCTAATACACAAAACCTAAACCAGGAATTCCTACACATTTGCCAGAGGTGACCAATAACTTTAGCTCTAAACTTTCAAGCAGCTCATATGAAAAAAGAAACATAATCAAGTAGAAAATTCTCAATAACCATACAACAAACTCAACACTAAATGAAAGTGCAACTTTTCTTGATAGTGAGATCCGAGAGAAGTTTATTCGTATACTCTCATAGAGAAAAAAACTGTATAATGTTATTTGTCTTTAAAAAGTCTAAATTACATCCTTTTTGAGTAAATGAAGACTTTGGCACAGTGTTCTTATATCATACAGTATGTGTATGATATATAGCATACATATTATGATGGCATCATTTTCCAATGTTATGATCTGGATTAAATGAAATTTTCATGCAAGATATTGACTGAGGTATTCTGTAGGGGAAATCCTACCCCATTCCCATTAAATCTATTGTTTGGCATTACTTAAAAGTGCCTGTAATTATTTTTTAGTAAAATATACCATTCCATCCATTGTTTACTCCAGAAATAATATAATAACCACTGCTTAGTATTATGGTTTACCTCTACCCTGCAAAATGCTTCTAGTCCAGGGTTTGGCAAACCACAGCCTATGGGTCAAATCCAGCCCACCATCTATTTTTGAATAGCCTGCAGGCTAAGAATGACTTTACATTTTAAATGGTTGGAAAAAATCAGACGAATACTATTTCATGATGTGAAAGTTACATGAACTTCACATTTTGGTGCTCGTAAATAAAATTTTATTAGAACACAGACACTAATTTATTTACATATTATCTATGTCTGCTTTCATGGCAGAGTTTAGTAGTTTTGACAGAGACTATACCACCTGCAAAGCCTAAAATATTTACTATATGGCCCTTTAAGAAGAAGTTTGCTGACTCCTGGTCTTGAACAATGGTCTTTAAAATTTTTGATCATATATATTGATTGGTAAAAAATTGGGGGGTTATACACACTTGGTGTGTGTGTTTATATGTAAAAGTATATGTGTGTATGTCTATATGTATGTGTATATAATTTGTTTTCAATTATATGGAAAAATGCATATATTATATTTTTGAACTGTTCTAATATAAAATATACATGAAAGTAACTTTTTTAAAGATTAGGTTTTCCAAAGATAGAAGTCCTAGTATTTTCTTTTTTCTCCTAATGGATCATTACACACTCCTCAGGGGACCACTTTGGACACCCTTGGTATAGGCTAACATTTATTTTCAGAAATGACTGCCTGAGTTTTAAAAATCTATATGCTCTTACATAAAATGCAAGATTTTTTCTTTATGTTGAATACTCGCCAAATCCAGCCATGGATTATCCTTAGCTATGAGATCTGCACATGTTTTGGGAGCCTCTGTAATTTCTTTGGATGAACAATGTCAGCTGGTGTTACAGTTATTGAAAGTGGACACTCATAGTTTAAGGAAATGAAGCACTAGGAGAATAACATTCTATATTTTCATAAAAATGCTTCCAGAAATTTTTTACTAATTTTCACTAGGTGTGACCAATAAGACAATGGCCATCTTAAGCTTAGATTGATACCATATACAGTCATGATCTGGACTTACAGAATCTCAGAGTTAAAAGGGACCCCACCAATAGCATTTAGTTCATCCTTTATTAGCTATCAAGTTTAATGAATTTGGGCAACAGAGAGACAGAGAGAGACAAAGGGAGAGAGAGAGAGAGAGAGAGAGAGAGACGGAGAGAATATGAGAGAGCTATACCCAATGAAATCCAGCTCCAAAAACTGAAGAAATGGTGAAAGTTGGTTGGTTTACCCAAGTTAGTCATTGATAGATCTGATGTGCAGAACTTGACTAGATTTGCTGTGGTCTCCCTCAATCTCCCGAGGAAATGCCTTTTGTGAGGATTCATCAAACCTTAGATCTCTTAATGCAGAGTAGAGAGAGGCCCTCTTGCCAGTCTCTGAGTTCAGAGCTGAGCAATATCCACATGGAAACCCAGACTCCTACAGACAAGCTCATATGAGCGAGTGGCACACGCTTCGGGGAGACCTCTGCTTTTCCCTCGTTGTCATGGCAACATGAGGCCAATTTCCCTTTGGATGCTTGTCTTACAGACAAGGTTACTTACGTCGGCAGGAATTTTCAGATTCACCTTTTATTTTAAATTATTCAAAATACAAACAAATGCCTTACAGAAATGCTCACAAAGTAACTATTGCTCTTTGCTGACCCCATCCACCCCCGACACCTTTGTTTAATCATTGCAGATGAATTCGCTACCCTCTGCGGAAGCCAAAGGCCGGGCTTTGTCATCGATATTTACACCGGTTTGCCCGTCGGTGAGTTGCGACAGCGTTGCTGGAACTTTCTGTTTTTTTGCCTTTGTGTCAGGAAAAGGAGTACACGCCATTATTTTCTCCATTTGCTTTTTTTTTTTTTATTAGAAGGAAAATTTGTTAAACAATGCCTTTAGCTTTACAGAGACAACTGATTCTTGTTTGAAGCAAACTGTGCAAACACCCTGGGTAGCTCCACCTAATTGGCAGCAGCAGCATTTGTTGCTCATGATTAAGGAGACTGGAAAGCTTTTCCCAAAATTACGATCAAACTTAGTTAAACCAACCCTGGGCATCCACAAAAGGAGAGATTTTGGGAGCATGGCCAGTTGACATGCAGTTTCCCACTCCTTCCTTCTGACGGGGACAAGTATAATATGACTTTTCACACCGATCCTTCCATGTACGTTGTTCACATGAAGCCCCCCTCCCCCTTTTTTTTTATCTCACATGGAATCTCCTCAGGTCATCTGCTTTGGGGATTTCAGCTGTGAAATAAAAATCTTTTCAATCCGAGGCCCTGTCTGGTAACTGAAACAGAGACCGCAACAGTGGCAGAGATGCTCGTGCGAGATTCAGAAGTACTGCACAGCATCCAGCCAACGTAGGCAATGCCCTTGTGGTTTAAAACCAAGTAACATAAAAGTAGATGGAAAACTATCGCATTCTCAGAGTTCTTCCCCAGTGTGATTTATATGCATCCTTAGATGCCCTCTTTAGTCCGAGCAGTTGTGTCTAGTAGCAAACATCACCACTTGCTTTGTTCCCCCTTCTTCCTAATAAGTAAACTGAAATCCACATCAGCCTTTCCAATGACCTTGTTTAAGAAAACAAGAGTCTGGTCCAGCAATCAGCCTGGCTCCCTTAGTGCCAAATCCATATGGCTCCATGGTCTAGTCAACGTCCAAAGAAACTTCATGGTTTGGAAAGAAAAACTGCTAAATGACATTGGCATGAAACACCTGGCCCTAGCTACTTTGTTTTTCCCCTTCCCAAAACAGATCTTTTAGCCTTCCTAGAATCTGTGATCGGAAGATAAGTGGTCTGTAATAGTAATGGTTCTCCACGGACGGACCAGGCATGTACCCCAGGAAGGCTGCCCTCCAAGGTTGGCAGTAAGCGAGGACTCAAAACAACATGAGCATCATCCACTAGTAGAGCTGGAAAGTCCTCAAACATTATCTAGTCCAAATGCCTTGCTTCACATTTGAGGGCGCAGAGGCCCAGAGAGCGGAAGGGACTCATCCAAGGCCACCTAGCTAATTAATAACAGATCTGGGACCAGAACCCAGTCCTGACTCATAGCTTACTTTGCCTCTAGCGCTTGAAAACTGGAAACCTGATATTTAGCAATGTACTTATTGTTACCAAATTCCACCATAACAAAATATTTAGATGGTTGAAACATTTAAGCTATATACTCTTCTTTTGGAAGATCTTAAGATTGTTGGCATGTACAGTAGTTCATTTGCATAGTGTTAAAACTATAGCACATTTATTAATCTTGTCTTAAAATATAGACTTCTCCACGTTAAAATTCAAATAAAATCCAGACGAGAAAAAAATAATAATTTTTAGTATATCCTTTTGCTATTTTATGCACCTAATGATGGGTGGAAATTTGACTCAACCTGTTTTGTTAAACTTGATAATAATACATCACTTATATTTAAAATAAATAAGTCTAAATATAATATTTCACGTTTTAACCCACACTGAACAAGTGACATCTGAATTAGGTTTCTTGTTTGCTGGTGATACACAGTTGTGATGTTATATCACGGGGCTTTTTAACAACATGAATGACAAAGGTGTGAAAAGCCTAAAAACATAATTGCCTGTCTTCAAAATTGCTATGCATACTTGGAGATTCTGAGCTGTCTTTTTTGCCATTAAAAAGATCAATTTGCCTTCAAACAAAGTATCAAGCCCTTTTTAAAAAAAAAAAAAAAGAAATCTATAGTCTGTCAAATTTCTCCTTAAAATCAGGTTGATTTAAGAGTGTGATTCTTCTAAAATTTCGGCAGTTCTTGTAGGCTCCACTTGAGTCTCTGACCATTTTCTTACAACTTATGCAAGCAAAATGTGGCCCCTGCAGAGACCCCTGACTGTGATAAGTAAACAAAGTATCTCAAGAGCAGTAGCAGAAACCTACCGACTTGGGAGGACTTATGATTGTAGACCAAGGCTTTACATACCCGCCCAGCTGAGGTGTTTTGTCAAACTCTGCCAAGGGGCTAATGGAGGGAGCCTGCAGTGTAACAAGCAAGTTGATAACAGTTTTGTGAAGACTGTATTAGTGGCCGGGCGAGGTGGCTCATGCCTGTAATCCTAGCACTCTGGGAGGCCGAGGCGGGAGGATCGCTCAAGGTCAGACGTTTGAAACCAGCTTGAGCAAGAGCGAGCCCCAGTCTCTACTTAAAAACAAAAGAATAGAAATAAATTAATTGGCCAACTAAGAAATATATAGAAAAAATTAGCTGGGCATGGTGGTGCATGCCTGTAGTCCCAGCTACTCGGGACACTGAGGCAGAAAGATTGCTTGAGCCCAGGAGTTTGAGGTTGCTGTGAGCTAGGCCAATGCCATGGCACTCTAGCCCAGGCAAGACTGTCTCAAAAAAATAAAAAGATAAATGGGAAAACATAAGGGAGCCCGGATTGCCTGTTAGCAGAGTGCTAGCATCAAGTCCTGGCTGATTGGTCTTGGCACATTATGTTCTCTGGCTTGGCCTCAGTTGCATCATCTGCATAGTGAGGATAGTCATAGTACTGAGACCATTTCATAGGGTAGCTGTGATAACTCAGTGAATAAATACAGGTTGCATGCTTGAGAAATGTACCAGGCATGAGCAAATGAGATACTATTAATACTATTACCATTATTATTACTATTACTCCTCTTATACTAGAGGACACTGACAATGGTCAGGAGTTCAAAGTAGGTCAGACAGAGATGGGCCCATGCCAGGCTGGTGAGGAGCCCTGCCCAAAGTCCCCCCCCACCACCACCACCACACACAACTGGCTGGCCCTGCATAAGCAGCCCATCTCCTGGCTCTGCTCTCACTCTGACTTCCATCATGTTTTAATCCTCACCAACCCACTGCCAGAGACTGGTTCTTAACAGATTTGAATTGAGCACTTACTCTTTGTCACATGGAGTTCTAAGGACCAGTGGTGGGGTAGCTAGGCCCACCAGGGGTAGCTAGCTAACACAGTGGTGGGGTAGCTAGGCCAGGCCCACCATATGGTCTACTGTGACAGTCCTTTGTCCATGCTGTCCTCATCTTCACAGCCAGCCCCGGCCCAGTTTACATTTCCACGCCCCACTTACCTCCTTTCTAGAGCCATAGGAAGGAATCTGAAAGACCAGAGTTCTCTGTGACCATGGGCTCCTCCTCTGTTCTTCACCAGCACACCCTCCCATTTTCGCTACATACCACTGCACACTTGGGGTGGAGAGGCTGTTTGCTTTTGGCGACCACTCTTATTCTACTCATCTGATGTAGCCACAGTGCCCCGTGGGTACAAAGATGGCTCCCACCTGTACAAAGTTGACATTTTCTGAAACAAAACCAAAAAGACAGATTCTAAATCCAGGTAGACTTGTGAATCTGGAAAAAGTGGTTATCTCTGTGTGCTATTCATTGAGGTCCCCTGTTCCCGTCACCACCAGCCCAGCGTGAGCGCACACGCATACGCACACACACACCCACACAAGCACCTTCCTGTCTTAGCCTGCATGAGGACCATGTGCTGTGTTGCCGTCACTCACGAGGGGCTGCTCTGTTTCTAGATATTGATGAGTGCCGGGAGATCCCAGGGGTCTGTGAAAATGGAGTGTGCATCAACATGGTTGGCAGCTTCCGGTGTGAGTGTCCAGTGGGGTTCTTCTACAACGACAAGTTGTTGGTGTGTGAAGGTGAGTGGTGGTGTGGCTTTGTCACATCCAGAAATAAGCCAACCAGTGTGCTGCTACTTTACCACGCTTGGCAAAACTTCACAACACTGACATTTCAGATAGGCATCGAGCTCTAGAAATAGTGAAGGGCATGGACCAACACGAAATGTCATTTTTAAAAAATACACTAACTCCCAGTGGAAAAACCAGGATGTGCGTTCCCCAGCCCCCTTCCCCCCAACACACAATGTGTTAGATTTCCCAGCTGATATGAAAAAGCTTTGAATTCCTGGGCGTGTCAAGTAGATCGCTTTTGTTTCACATTGCCTAAACGTGAACATGAGTGGACAGTCATCTTTAGTTGACTCTCAGAATCAGTGTTCTCTTCCAAATGGAGACTTTGCTACTCCCAAGTGAAAACAAGGTTAATGCAAATATTCCAAATGCATGAGAGAATTCCAAATGGCAAGAACAGCAAATTTGATTTTATATGAAGAATGTTGGCATGCATGCAAATGGTACTTTTTTCATTTTCAAATTACCTCCTGTTGCCATGTATATGTACTGTGATTCTGAGCATTCCTTATAGCACTTCATATTTTTTCCTACATCTGGGAAAGATAGTGTTCTTTTACATTTTAGTAAAAGGGACATTACTGGTTATTAAATATACCATGTGCCCTAGGATAGCTGGAAGAATTTTCTACTCAATACTTAAACTTAGGGCCTGTAGCAGAGATTTTGCTCACGCTAGAAAAGGTTATTACCTCTTACAGCATGTATCATAGCACATATGTCAGCATTTTAATGTTAAGGAAACCCTTTTTTTTTTTTTTTTAATAAACTGGAGACAACCAGTTTATACCACGAGTAAAGTTACTGTCCTAACCATGTACTTGTTAACTTCTTCTCACCAGGATTTCGGTTACTGTGGCCAAGTGGGCACATGTCCCTTACCCTGCCTGCTGTGTGGCTTAGTGGGAGTGGGGCGATAGCCAGGCAGGGCCTTCCCTAAGGAGATAGCCAATTCAGACCTTGCCCCCGGTCCCTGGGTGTTGGGAAGCCATCTAGGATCAGGTACCTGGAAAGGAAGCATGGGTGTGGACAGGAGAAAGGAACCCACGGCAGATGGTCATATATAGTGCTAGAGTTGGCTGCTTTCCTCATGGCCACTCCCTTCCCCTCTCATACATGCCTCAGGATGCCTGCCACCTTCTCGTGCCAGTTCCCCTTCTTTTCCATTCAGAAATCCCTTTGATGATGACTTTATCCAGGTACCTCTTTGCCACTTAGATTTGCTGAAGCAGCAGCCCCTGGCCAGAACCCATAGGCAAAGGCCACCCCTGACCACCAAGCCAACCTAGGCCTTACTGTATCCATGAGGTTGAGAACACTCAGCTGCATCCGTGCAAGGTACTTTGCTGTCAGGGCAGCATTCAGTGGCTATCGAGATGACTAAGTGCTCCAATTTTCGGTTTCGGTTACACAGACTATCCATCTTCAGGGTGAGTGTTCAGTCCAGGATCAGTTGCTTTCCAGCACACTCTTAGCTCTCAGACTCAGAAAAAGGAGGAGGATTTAATATATGCCGCAGCAACGCTGAAACTGGAATGGATTGCAGAACTGGTTTAGGGAGCCCGCATGCATCTGCTCTCCCCAAGCGTGCGCACTGTCAGCTGTTACATCACAGAAATGCCTGTCCTTGACACCACTTGGCTTCTCCAACGGCACAGTCTACCCCCTGTGTTTCTATACACCCTTAATTCAGAGCAGGGCAGACCCAGTGAGTGAGGTGGTGCCAGGTCCATCGTAACCCCAGGCGTGCCGAGTCAGGATCTGCCTTTTAACAAGATCCCGAGCGAGTTGTGTGGACATTAAGGTTGGAGACATTCCACTCTACGGGTCTTACAACTTTCCAGACAAAAGCAATCTTAGTCAGTCATAAACTCGCGGGGCTTTGAGTAAATACAGGGTATACCCGTATTAAGTCCTGACCCGTAGCAGCCAAATTTCATAACATTTTTTTTTAGACGTGAGCATCATTACAGTCCTTATGTGGTCATAAATCAAGTACTCGCATTTATAAATAATATTACCGAAGTGGAAAATTTAGATAATGGCTTTTTGGTCATCCGTTCTCTTTTTATTAAAAAAAAAAAAAAAAAAAAAAGACTTTATTTCCTAGTGCAAGTTTAGGTTCCCAGTAAAATTGAGAAGAAGGTACAGAAATCTTATATACTCCCTACTCTCACACACATAGCCTCCTCTATTATTAACAACCCCTGCCCCAGAGTGGTGCATTTGTTACAATTGATGAACCTACATTGACACATTATTATCACCCAAGGCCCATAGTTTACATTAGGGTTCAGTCTTGGTGTTGTACATTCTATGGGTTTGGACAAATTTATAATGACATGTATCCACCATTATAGCATCATTGAATATTTTCACTGCCCTACAAATCCTCTGTGCTCTACCTATTAATATGTATTCCCCTCCCCCAACTCTTGGCAACCACTCATCTTCTTACTGTCTCCAGAGTTTTGCCTTTTCCAGACTGCCACGTAGTTGGAATCCTACAATATGCAGCCTTTTCAGATTGGCTTCTTTCACTTGGTCATAAGCATTTAAGTTTCCTCCATGGTTTTGATATGTCATTTTCATGGCTTAATAGCTCATTTCTTTTTAACACTAAATAGTATTCCATTGTCTGGATGTGCCACAGCTTATTTATCTATTCACCCTACTCAAGGACGTCTCGGTTGCTTATATATTCTAGCAATTACGAATGAAGCTGCTGCAAACATTTGTGTTATCTTTTCAATAGAACGGATCAAAGTAAGAAAATACACATCCGTTTCCATGTGAGAGGCTTTGTTGATTGGACACCAGGTTCTGTTCTCCTTCGAATTAGATTCTCTTCTGCTTGTAGATATCGATGAGTGTCAGAACGGCCCGGTGTGCCAGCGCAACGCCGAATGCATCAACACCGCGGGCAGCTACCGCTGCGACTGCAAGCCCGGCTACCGCTTCACCTCCACGGGACAGTGCAACGGTATGTAGTGCCCCCCTACCCAAGAGGTCATCGTCTTCAAGGTCAGATGCCTGGATTTCTTCTGAGACAGTTAGGTTGAAAAATACATGAGTTAACATTTAGATTGGTAAGCTTTAGTAACTAAATTGGAAAAAAGGGAAATTGTTAAAATGCCTAAACACTTAGCTTTTTTCTTTCTTTATAGATGAGATATTTACAAAACAAGAACTACATCATTTACATAAATAGATTTCATGTTTGCCTATCTGTTGCCCTGCTTGCAAACACTTACCCCTGCATACAAACACACACACACACACACACACACACTCCCCACTAATCAGTATTGAGGACCAAATAGGTTGTTTCTTTCCACAGAATCCCTCTTAAGCAGATAAGGTTTTCACCGTCTTGGCCATATACCCCAAATCTACATGGTGAAGCTCTCCTGATCTGGAGATGAACCTGCATACACTGAACAAATAAAACCAGCAATATCACTTTTCTTCCCAAACATCTTACAGATGAAAGATCACTCACTGGAGAGAGCAAACCTTAACAGCCTTTCTTTAGCTACAAGTTACCTCCAGTAAATGAGAAGCCGTGTCCCCAAGAGATTAGATTTTTTTGTTGTTATTTGCTTTTGTCAGGGATGTGGTAGAAATAAGAAGGATGGATGTGTTATCAACTTAAATTGATAAGTGGTCTCTTGTAGCCAGTGGTAGGAAAATCAGCCCAGAAACAATATAATACCTGAAAATGATTTTCTTTTAAGTTTTTAAGTAATTATAAATCACTGTGTATTTAGCAAAGAGGTCAGGAGGAATATGTTATTTTGCTTATGGTTCATTTCACAGTGAGTTTCCTGGATACTTTATGCATTTGTGAATGAAACAACACAGGGGAACATGGTCAGATTTTCCTTGGATTTCCTTGCCTACCAATGATTAAGTGGTAGGAAGTGCACTGCTCTCTGTAGGGTATTTTGCATTGTTTTATGAGACCTTGGTGGGAAGAGGGTGTAATAGCAGAACAAAAAAATCACATTGAGAATCAAGACTTGTTTTGTTGAGTTTAAAGAAACATGTGCAAGTATTTAGTATTTTGTCAACAGAGCTGTTGTTATCCATGTATTAAAAATACAGGACAGGAAAAATAGGGACGTCTCTGATATGAACCACAATACCCTAGTGAAACTTGGCATTGATATCACTTCCCTGCATTTTGCCCGTAATTTATATCTCTTTAGCACTGGGTGAAATAATTCCAGGCAAAATAAAGAATTGCTGATAATATAGAATGTGTCTTTTCACACCGTTTCACACTCAGGCAAGAAGTGGGAAAGAGCTATTCATAGATCAAGACAAGACATCCAGCTGTAGTGTGCTGGAGCTTAAGCCCTTTCATGTTTTTTTTGTAGAACATTAACATACATAAAATGCATCTGGCCTTACCAGCAGTTAAGTGTTGTGGGTGAGTGTTGTTTGTAGCCAAAAGCTCAAGTTCCCCCTTACATTGAAATCTTCAGAAGAAAGGGAATGTCCTTGAGTTCTGCAACTTTTCAGCCTCCAGGGTTAAAGACCTCATTCTGGAAATGTCTTCATTTATGTCTCACTTTTAAATTTTTTTAAAATATCTTTAAATACTATCCTATACATAGCATTTTTCAGCCATGTTGCAGAGTACTCCCCTCCTCTTGCGTTTAAAATGAAAAGAACTAAAACTTTCTCTCGATCATGAGATTTTTATTTGAATTCATAAATACATCATTTCAGACCTCCAATCACAGCTGGCCGTAGCGCTCACCTTGTTGCTGAGAGGTCCGAGAGAACAATTAGGTATCTGAGCTCAGGATGCTAGTCTGACTTCAGCAGCTGGTTGAATCAGAGCAAACGCAGCCCTCTTCTGAAATGTCTTGCCCAGATAAAGGCAAAAAGACACTTTCTTCCCAACTATCCCCTCATAATGTCCTCTCTCTCAGCTTGCTGGGTTCCCCCCCCCCCCAGCCTGTTCAGACCTCCTAATCCAACCTCAAGTGGAATCTCCTGGGGGTTCGAATCCTGGTGCTTATAGAAACCTAGTTTTCTGAACTCAAGACCAAGTGAGAACTTCACAACTAAGTTCTCTAGAATTGTAACTTTCCGTTTCATCAATAGAACCTCAAAGTACTTCATATTTCATTTTTCTTTTTTTTTTAAGCCATCATGAAATAGGATAGTAGAGGAAAGAAAATTCCTAATTAGCGATTCCTTAGTGCTCTCTCTTTCCTTGTGGGACCCAGATGCAGGCATACCTGGTCTCCTGCGTACTTCCAGATCCAGTACTACCTGAAGGTGCCAAAGCTTTGGGCCAGCTATGGCTCTTCCTCAGGATCAGCTCCCTTCATTAACTTGAGAATGGAAATCAATTTCCTCTGCCTATTCTGAGAAGCAGTTGCTCATTTTAAATCCGTTTTCTCAAGTGAGAACAATCCTAATTTATTTACTAGAATTTCTGCATGGGCTAGCAGTGGCTCCTAAGTTACTCTACCCCTTTTTCCCCGCTTACTGATACAGTCAGTCTCACTTGGGACTTTTAAACCATATGGTGATTCATCAGCTCTAGTAAGTAGGAGATAGTTGTAAATGTCAACCTGAACACATGAAGTAGAGAAGCTATCTGTTCTGGGACAGGCAAGGTTGCTCTGTGCAGCAAAAAGTGCCCATTCATGACTGCTATGTTCTCAATAGACGGGGCAGGCCAAACGGCAAGTCTGGATTAATTCTTAATTCTATTAAGAGCAGGATGCTGTGTGCTCTACAGCATCTATAGCAAAGTTGGCACTCTGTTCACTTTCTACTGTGACAGTAGGAAAATCAGGATGGCACAGTGCTCTTCAAATTACATTTACTCTAAACATAGTGTTGAATGCTTTAAAGAATTAGAGACATAAGTGGGCATGTGATTATGTCATTTGTGAATTCATGCATTAGTTCTGCCCTCAGATAATCAGAATTCCAGAAAGCAACAAAGATTCAGTTGATGATAAATATAATTTAGAACTTAAAAACTGGCAGAAGCAAGATGAGAGGGCTTTTCTTCAAATGACTATGAGCAAAAAGAAAGAGATGTCATTAAGATTGTCACATGCTGAAAGAAGCCCTATGTGGACATGAAGACTTGGTTAAGATGGAATGAAAGGTTTTAGAGACAAAACAGAACAACGAGGTACCATTTGAACAAGGGGCAATGTGGTTTGTCCATCAAAAAACCCTTAATCTTAGCAACAGAATTTGTTTGACTTTGATATACATTTCCAAAGAAAGCCATGAAGTATCCGTGATTTTAGGCACTCAATCTTAACTAGACAAAATACTTCAATCTGTGATGCTGTATAGACAGAAAATCAAATGGAAAAGCCTCCCAGCTTGAATCTTTCTCCCCCATTCTACCTATAAGTTTTTTTTTTTATCTTTCAGAACATTTTTAAATTATTGCCCGTTTTTCATTATTTCATGTGTTGTTAACATATTCTGGATATGTCTGGTAAATGAGAGTGAGTATTAACCAATGTGAGGGCAAAAATAAATACACTGCTAGTGTCTGTTGCACTAATTTAGTTTGGAGCTAGGATTACTCCTGAGAATAATACCTAGAAGTAAGTTATTTAATTAGATTTTGTCTTCTAAGTCTCCCCTTAAGATGCTTAAGATGCTTTTTATTTACAGATCGCAATGAATGTCAAGAAATTCCCAACATATGCAGCCATGGACAGTGTATTGACACAGTTGGAAGCTTTTATTGCCTTTGCCACACTGGTTTTAAAACAAATGCTGACCAAACCATGTGTTTGGGTAAGTGTGTGATTATCATTTCATTTTTTCCATATACTATTGAAAAATTCATTTGGGTCTGAATATGGATACAATTTAATACTAAGTCTTCTAGTAGTCATTTCACTGTTTACCAAATAAAAATACAGGCAGGTAAACAGCAGTGACATCCGGTCTAATCTCTGGCAATCTGAACATAATAAACCTCTTCTTGATACTCATTTGGCTATCAGTGTAGAAAAACTGACTTTTGACTAAGGGATAAATTGAGAAAGATATTAAATTAATTTTTGCTAATGTTAATAGTCTGTTCTTTCATAATATTCATGTGGGTTTGCTTTTGAGTTCAGCTTTTGAATGTGAGAATGAGCATTTTTTTCAGAAGAGTCTATACTTTGTATCAGATCCTAAATTTACAGACCCTACAAAAGCAAAAAAAAAAAAATAGAATAGAATAAGATAAGAATCATTTTTCTAGGGGAAAAAGAGCTCACAGTTTTAAATCTCTTCCTTGATTTCAGTACTGTCAGGATACCAGTTTAGAGTAAACTTCAGACTTCAAATATGTAATCAGTCATTTTCTCCCTTTCCCTCCTTTTTCTATTTTAAAGCAATATCCATTAAGTCTTTTGGGGACTTCAAGCACATGAGTCAGTTTCCCAGCTGGAAGAAGGACAATTACTAGAGTCACGTTTAAAGTGCTTGGCTTTGGCCAAGCTTTGGCTATAACCGGATTCATCCGTGAAGATGAACATTTTCTTCAAGTTTAGTCTTCCCCAAAGCAATATTGAGTTTTAATTAAAATATCATCATCAGCCCTGCTCATCACTGGGCAGCTAACTCTTGCATAGCCATGAGACCCTGCCCAACTTTCTTTCTCTTTTGTCCATCCGAGTCTTGTGGAATCCCACTAACAAAGAACCTGCCCTAACCAAGAACTTCACCAGCTTGACTCAGAATGAATCAAGGCAAAAACTCTTGATTGCTGGTAGTGACTCAGCTGGACGTCGGCTCCACACACACACACACACACACACACACACACATTAGAGTCTCTTTGGGTCAGCAATAGTTTCCTGATTCCAGACCACAGACAGCTTATCTTTACATCCAAAATTTAAAGGAAAGGAAATCCTAATCCTAATTTTGCTATTCTCGGGTGTTGCCTTCCACTCCCTCTCTCTCCATTTGTCCTTGTCCACCTCATTCTCTCAAGCCAGCAGTATCAACTTTCTGTCACTTAAATTCTTTATTTCCTCATTAATGTCGTGTGTACCTACTCTCTATAAGAAAGATGCTAGCTGCTGCGATGAGATGCAAAGACATATGATATGCCAGAATAACTTTACAAAACACCCAAAGAGGAAAGTCAAAGACAAGACAAATAAAAAGGCAGATAGCAATGCAGGCGTGTGTGAGAAGACCAAATGAAGTGCCATCGTACTGGGATAGTTTAGAAGAATGAGATGAGTTATTGACGGGAGTTGTCCTGTGTTTTTAGGGTGATTGAGAAAGAGGGAAAGTTGTCTACACTGGCAGGTAAGCTAGAAAGCTAGGGTTATTTTGTTGCTGATTGTGGGGTTAGGCTGGGTGAGTCACTGCTTTTTGGTAAATTGGAGTGAGAATCTTAAAGGTTGAAGTTTGCCAAAGGTGGCAACACATCAAGACCCAGATGCACACAGAATATTTTCCATTTTCAAGTGAAAATATTTGAGAAAAGTGGCAACGGAGGAGAATTCTAGAAGTAAATAGAATAAAATAATTCTTGTTCAGGTCTCATGTCCTGAGTTTGCCTGCTTTCTCATGCTAGCCAGGGAACGGATTTATTCCCAGTGCTCAGTTGGTACTTCTGCCTCTCACTGGTCTCTCACAGGGAGGGGCCCCCACTGGTGGGGCTGAGACCAACATCAAGAAGTTCTCAGCCGACACCTGAGACTTTGTAAACCTTGGGATGCTCTTTAACCCTAGTAACCATGTAACTGCTTTTTCCCTCAGTAGTTATGTTTCTCTATGGCCTTTCTTCCTACTTAGACATAAATGAGTGTGAAAGAGATGCCTGTGGGAACGGAACTTGCCGGAACACCATTGGGTCCTTCAACTGCCGCTGCAATCATGGCTTCATCCTTTCTCACAACAACGACTGTATAGGTGCGTGTGCGAAATGGTGCTTCACCTGAGGAAGTCGGTTTTATGTGTGTTCTTTATAATTGGCACCATGTTCAGTGTTCCAGCTGTCTTTTTCAAATATATGCTATCTTATGCAAAACAATTGGTTACAGGATTTGTGAAATATAACGTGCTAATTAACCATCAAATACAGGACAGGAGTCCCCCTCTAAATGGCAGAGGATACATTCCAAGACCCCACAGTGGATGCCTGAATCCAAAGATAGTACCAAACTCTATATATTAATATACTGTTTTTTCCTATACATACATATATATATATATATATATACACACACACACACACCTAGTATAAGCTTTAATGAATAAATTAGGCATGGTAAGAGATTAACAGCAATAACTAATAAGAAAATAGAACAGTTATAACCATATACTGATAAAAGTTATACGAATGGGGTCTCTCGCTCTCAAAATATCTTCTTATAGTGTATCACCTATTTTCAGACCACAGTTGACCTTGGGCAAGTAAAGCCCTGGAAAGTGAAATGGGGGGGGGGACTGCTCTTTTATTAAAATGTTCATTAGCAGCTATAATTTTTATGTCTACTTCTCTATGAATTAAATAAATTTCAAAACAAATGAAATTTACTAAGTTTTAAAGTACACAGAAGCGATTCTTTGCATAGAAATTACATAATTCAGGAATAATGTGAAACTTCTTACCTAGATGTTTCACTGTAGCCTCTTTTAAAAGAAATAAATTATTGAATCTCTAAAATGCCCCTTATAAAAGGTGCTAGGCAAGAGTAACGATTTTTATTTTAAATTTTTATTTTATATTTTTATGCGATAGGCTCATTTAAATACTCCTAATTGCAAGAATTGTAAATAATGTCCTCAGCCGAATTGTGTATTTAGTAAATCAGTTTTAGCTTTTAAAAATAAAATCTAAAGGCCTATCAAGATAAAACTGATATAAAATTTGATTGTAAATTATCAGCCTCTAATATAATGATGTAATCTTACTGCTCAGTTTGCATAGGTTCCTAAAGTCAGCTCTAGTGTTAAAAACTAGATCTTCATTGGAATTCCTTATGTTTGGCTGAGCCAGCAAAGGCCACAGAAATTCAGAATAAGTATTTTTCCCTTTAAAGGGTGTTGGTCATTGCTAGGATTATGACGTTTTCTTTGAAATAGATCAGATTTTTTTTTTTTTTGGCAGATGTTGATGAATGTGCAACTGGAAATGGGAACCTTTGCCGAAATGGCCAGTGCATCAACACGGTGGGGTCCTTCCAGTGTCAGTGCAATGAAGGCTACGAGGTGGCTCCGGACGGCAGGACCTGCGTGGGTGAGTGTGAGGCTCAGGAAGACCCTGGAGACAGCGCTCCCAGAGGCCACTCGAGGAATCGCGCAGTTTCTACCCCAACCCTTTTATTCGGGAAGCATAGAGGAAGAGTCAGGGTAGAATTACACTAATCCTCCCTGTAAAAAACTTTTTTAATTAGAAAAAATATATATAGGCCGGTCGCAGTGGCTCACACCTGTCATCCTAGCACTGTGGGAGGCTAGGGTCGCTCAAGGTTAGGAGTTCAAAACCAGCCTGAGCAGGAACGAGACCTAGTCTCTACTAAAAATAGAGAGAAATTGGCTGGACAACTAAAAATATATAGAAGAACTTAGCCGGGCATGGTGGCGCATGCCTGTAGTCCCAGCTACTCGGGAGGCTGAGGCAGAAGGATCACTTGAGCCCAGGAGTTTGAGGTTGCTGTGAGCTAGGCTGACACCAAGGCACTGTAGCCCGGGCAACAGAGTGAGACTCTGTGAACAAAAAAAAAAAAAAAGAAAGAAAGAGAGAAAGAGAAAGAAAATATATATACATAATCACTTTTCCTCTTATTTTTAAAAATTAGGTTTACTTGTACTGAGAGAACAGTTAAGCTGTTAACTTTAACAGTTAAAACATTGAAATTGTTCTGTGAACAATTGTGATTTTTTTCTTCTTCAAAATACTTTTGTAGTAAGCTCTCGTATAATCTTTTAGGTGTCCTTAAAATCTTTATACTCACTGACTTTTCACATGCTACATTTTTCTGGAAATATTTAGTTTGTAGTAGTAGGTCAAATAGAATATGGTTGATATATTGCATGCTTTTGAAAGTAGGTAAGGCTTATTTTTATCGAGTTGTTTATTTTTCTCCATGGTGGAATTTTATGGGCTTTTAATTGGCTTTATATATTTCTTTGACTTGATTCCAGTTTCTTTGCATTTCATTTGTTTGATGGAAATCATGCCAGTGGAAACCTCTTCCTTCATTATCCCTTTTCTTTGCAGATATCAATGAATGTCTACTAGAACCCAGAAAATGTGCACCAGGTACCTGCCAAAACTTGGATGGATCCTACAGATGCATTTGCCCACCTGGATACAGTCTGCAGAATGACAAGTGTGAAGGTAGGAAGGCTATCAGTGTTTGGAAATGAGCAGTATTGGTTACTACATTAGAAATACCAAAATCAGAGTTTTTGTCATGGTGTCTTCAGTTTGAAGTACTTCATCAGAAACAAATGCAAGTGCAGAGAGTGTATGACATGGTCTGATCCTTCTGGCAAGACAAGAACAGAATTCTTGTGCTAATCTCTGATGATGTAGTTTTGCTCTGTCCATATGGTAATATGACCCTGACTCTTTTTCACTGTGCTTTTAGAAAGCTTATGAGAACGTTGTGTTTCACTCCCACTGTTCCCAAATTACACATTTTTAAGTTGCAATAGTTTGCAGCTAAAAAATAACTCCTGATTCCAGTTAAAATCTTTTAGGTGACCACATTCAAGGTTGGATGAATGTGGTTATATAATTTGTCTATGTTGTTTTTATCTATAGAGCACTGGATATGTGTCATTACAGGTAAATTCTCAGCAAATATTATGATATTACGTTCCTTTAATCTCAACACTTACGTCATTGCATTAAGTGAAGGACGTTAATTGCCAGAACTTTATAAACAAGTAGAGTTGAAAGGATTTTCAAGAATTCACCTAGTTCATGCCCCTAACTTTAAACAGGTCTGCATCTAATTAACAATGAGTGAGAATTTTCTTTACTTTTAATATTATCAATGAGAATTTTATTATATTTCCAATTTAACTAATGGTCAAGTGGTGATATTTTAAATGGGAGCATTTTATCAAAATGCAAATTATTAAAAGTATTATTTTACTTTTATTGAAGATTGGCTTTTTAACTCCATGATTAATGCATAATTTCTTTAATATGAACAGAATGGAAATATATAGAAATAAGAACAACTTCCCAAATGGTCAATAAATGTGTCCATTGTACAATATTTGTCTTCATTCTTAATAAATCAGTACCTACAAGCCAATTTCTACCATAAGAGAAAGACTCATAACAATGATAAAAATAACTGAAAAGAAATGTCTGAGCATTTTTACCAAGTTAGCTTTTTTTTAAAGAGAAGGTTGGATGTGGGAGTGGAGGGAGTGTGGGAATAGAGTAATTCAATAATCAACAGCAGTTCAGATTCATTAATAAACCACAGGGAACATGACATAATTATAAATATAGCCTACTAACATGGAGAGATGAAGAAGCTTACTTTTCATTGTACAGGAAAATAATCACTTTGCATTACACATTTTTGGAATATATATCATGTGGTATTTACAACACTAAGTCAAGATATTGGAGTTAATTTCTTAAATCTTCCTTAGTTGGACCTCTTGGAAATAAAGTCGTGTAATTTGAATACATTTTGTGTTGAGCAGAACTCTTTACACAAACATATGAAGATAAAGAGCCCCAAAACATAAGAGATATTTTGTATTTTGTTGAGGGGAAAAAAGTATTAGCATGGCTCAGAATTAAGACCACTTCCTTCACTACAAATTCCTGCTGAAAGTCAGGGGAAAAGATGGGTGAGTTTGTTGGACTAGAGTGGCCATACTTTTTTCCATAGGGGCTGGTAATGTAACTTATTGAGCAAGCCAAGGCGATTTTGAAAGTGAAAAGGGTCACTACTAATAATGAAGCCAGGCCAACTGGCATAAGCTGGAACTCTCCCAGGCAAACTAGGACATACGGTTACTGAAGCCATTCAGACTTCACCACAGACCACCCTTAACCACCCCTTTATAAGAGCTAAGATGTATTAATATACTGAAGAAAACATGCCACAATGCTAAGTGTATCAACTTCCCATTAACTGTATGATAAAGAAAAAGCCTATACGAGAAAGGTATTTTTGTGTCTTTAGAATGATTAACCCACCAATCGGAGTTAGAAGCCTCATCTTCTGTGATTATCTTTAGTTTGTACTTCATAGGATTACACTTATTTTCCATGAGTGTTAGTATCTTTGTAAAATTCACAGTTTTAGGGCTATAGCATGAAGTATTGGGAAAAGCTCTGTGGATGGATAGAGGAGAATACAAAGGCCTAGATTATATACTGAGTGACTCACTGTCAACATGCTTAAAATCTCAGAGTTTCTGCTTACTGTACAACGGTGAAGTGAGACTCTGGAGTTTCTTGCTTTCTTTCCTAGAAAGCAAGGGTGGTAATATGATATATGACTTTTCTGATAAGCCAAGCAACTTTGCCTGGGTAAGAGAGGTTTATCATTGCACCCTTAAGCAGGCGCTTGCAGGTTCCATTTTTACATCAAGGGCTGTCCAAGACTAATTTTTTAAAAGTCATCAGTCACAGCCTAGAAGTCCAGCTCATAGCATCTTGATACAGGAAAATGTCTTCATTATTGTAAGAGTTAGGAAAAGTTTGTTGCACTTTGTACTTCCACATTTTGCATTTGGTACCCGACGGTGTCTCCGTTGTGTTTTGACTTTGACATATGTAATTCTTTTAGATATTGATGAGTGTGTTGAAGAGCCAGAAATCTGTGCACTGGGCACCTGCAGCAACACTGAAGGCAGCTTCAAATGCCTGTGCCCAGAAGGGTTCTCCTTGTCCTCCACCGGAAGGAGGTGCCAAGGTAAGTGCCTCTGAAAGCTTTGGACTTCTATTATTATTCCATTATTTGAACTGTGTGTATTGGTCTTGGTCTTATTTTTTTAAACATCGCAAAGCTCTGATTCTTTGTAAATGGGAAGGTGGAGAGTTTTCATTTACCCAGATGTCTGATGATTACCATGTGTCAGAAGGTTCATTTTCACTTTTGTAGTTAAAACTCATCCATCAAGTTATAGTTGCTTATACAACTGTCCTGGCACTTAAAACTCTCTCCTCCTACGAACGCAAATGCTGATAGGCCCATCAGTGGAGGAGCATCGTGAGCCATGGAAAGAGTAACGCCTGGTGAAGTTCAGCTACATATTCCCTGCCTCTTAAGAGGTAACCTGCAGAATATGGGCTTGCAGACAGAAAACATGCTGATTAGTCCATATGCTCCTAGGGTATGGTATCCTTTCCTCTCTCACATCACATATTCTCTAAGAAAACAAAGATATATTTAAGCTGACCGTGATTCTTGCTGGCTATAGTCCATTTTCAGGAATAATACTTGTCAAGTGTTTCAGTAAAGATTTTCAAGGGTCTTCCAGGTCGACTTTCAAATTAAAGAAAAAAAAAAAAATCAAAGGAGCCTGAACTTCAGCATAATGGAGTGACTGCTTAAGTCCCAGAAAAAACTGTTTATAGACTTTTCCAAACAATACAGTTGCACTTGGCTGTCTATTTACACAAACTAGTTTAATGAATTCTCATGGGAGATAGAGGGAGCACAAACACATATATTTCTCTTTTTTTCACCAGTGTTTATTGTTGTTTTGTGGTGGTTGTTATTTTGGTGTTGGGTTGGGTTTTTCTTGGTTGTTGGGTTTTGTGTATATGTGTGCTTTTTGTTTCTGCTTCCATGTTACCAAGTAAGAGGCTCTGGATATCATTTGAGATTCCAAAAATTAGATTTGGGGTCCCAGCCCTAAGGCAGGTCATTTAACCTTTTGGAAGCTCAGTTTCCTTATTTTAAACAACAGTAATACCTGCCCAATCAATCTTATTGAATATATGATAAAACTTTGTCAGTTTCTGAGTCCTTCATAGACTGTTGTTATTGTTTCTAATTTTCTGATTCGCTTTTTACTTTTCAACTGGTTATTCTGGAAGGATAAAGGAGAGAGCTGAGAATTTTCTGATGGGTTTCAACTTAAAGGTGGCTCTCAGAGGTCTGTGTGGATTTCAGGGTGGTGCTCGATTCAAACAGATATTCTGTAGGGCACAGACCAGCCAGATAAATTCTAACTCCTACTCCCTTGTTTTTGTGTGCCTTTGGCTTGGCCCGAGTTTGGAAAGAAAGTGGTGAGAAACCAGGTGTGAATCTGCCGATGTGGCAGGCCAGAGGAAACTCCTAGGCTATTAATTCAATTTGCACTGGCCTGTCACAGAGCAAGCTAGCACTGCAGGAAGAATCAGCCCAGCTGTGAGCAGCCCAGCCACATGCTCAGCTCCAGGAGGCAGAGCCAGAACTGAGGAATGCAGCAGGGAAAGTGACTTTTGTAGTTCTGATGAAATTTCAGAGGTCATTAAGGGCTCTTTGCAGATGGGCTGGTAAACAGGCATCCTAGTGAGTCCTAGTTAAGGCATGTGGGCGAGCGCAGCTCTCTTTCCCAGTGCAAGGCACCCTCGGTCAATAAACCAATCCTGGAGAAGCACCACAAGCAAAAGCGAATCTCCCACAGAGCGCAGGTTTTGCTGGAGCCAGGAAATTGAGAGCTGGGTTTTTCTTCTAAGATGACAAATTAGGAGTCAGACTTCTGTTGCTCATGAAATGAGAAAGTTCCACAGAACCATGATTGTTATGTTTTTAAAGGAACAAATGCCATGGGACTCAGGTGAACATATCCTGGCCCTGAAGACCACGGGTGTAAATGAGTCACTCCCATTTGCAAAGTTCAGTGAAGGGCATTTGTCACGTAGGCTGACTCAAAACTTCATGCATTTGAATCTCTATCTAATGCCAAGATTTTCTGAGGGGTGGGGTGGAGTTGTGTGGGAGAGAGAGGACTGGGGTCTGGAACAGGCCAGTGATTAAAGGAAAGAAAAATAAAAATTTTAACACACAAATTTAGGACATGCATCTATGTAGGTTTAAAAAAAAACACTACAAACCAGAAGACAAAGGAGAGAGGTAAGTTTTAGTGTATTTGTTGAGACATTTTTGTGAGTAGTCACTGAATTATACCTTAAGACAGTGATAGGCATAAATAATAAAAACGATACTGGTAAATATAAAATATTGTATGTGACAAAGAACTTGAATAAAGGAAATTAAAAGGTGTCCTCCAAGAAATGATCATTTGTTAAATCTTGGAAGTTTCTCAGCAAAGCAAACATTCGGGTGGCAGATATGCTGCAGGACAAAGACTAACTTTCACTGTGCTTGAGCTTCAAAAGCATTGTTCATTGAAAGGGACTTGCTGGGTCCTAGCCACAACAGATGTGGAAGTGGACTAGAAACTAGAGAGATGATTTATCTGGAAGAGTTGGTAGCCATGAAGAGTTGAGCAAGTTCATTGGGAAAGTTCACTGAATGTGACTTACAAAGCTTGATAGCTAGATAGATATTTTAAAACTTTAATTCATGAAAACTTTCCCTCAGTTATGTTTGGCAGCTTTGTTATACTTACAATGTCTCCTTTGTCATGCAATAAAAGCTGGTGCAGTTGTTTTAGGTAATGATGACAATGTGCTTCCTGGGACTGAAACGTTGAGATAGGAGAGAATGCAAAAGGCAGAGGTGGTCGGACATAAGGAAAAAGGAATTATACAAAATGGATATGAAAGCAGTTCCTAAACACTTGTAGATTTTAGCCTCTGTGTAATGACCGAGGAGTTTTGCAAGGTTTTGAGAGTCAAGTTTGAGAGAAAACACACTCCAGGGGCCGGTATGAGCTCACATTTTAGAGTCACCCAATTTGTTCTATAAGAAATGGAAAAGTCAGTTTCCAAAATTATGTCAAGCAGTGTTGGAGAATTTTGTAGAAATGGATTCCGTCTTCCTTGTTAGAGTCACTAACAAATGATTGATATTAAAGAAACATATTCTTTAAAAGAAAGACTATTCTACTCCCACCTACCCATAGCTTCGCCCCCTTCTTTCTTTCCCTCTCTCTGTTGAGCCTTGAAAATTTAACATTGACATGGCTGTGTGTGTGTGTGTGTGTGTGTGTGTGTGTGTGTGTAAAATCTTCAAAAAGCCCCACTTGCATTTTGCAACCAGCTCCTCCACGAGTAGCTGCTTCAGTGACTGACCCTGGTGTTGTATTCGTGCCAGTCCACAAAATTACCTCTTCTTTATTTGTACTGTGCTTGAGATCTGGGGTTTTTATTTTGGTTCCAGACCTTAGGAGGTACAGAATAAATAAGTATGGCACCACAGTAAACATTAGAACTAGGAGGGCTGCCTCACTCTGATGTGCTCACTAAATTTTACTCAGAACACGTGCATGCAGAGCTGTCAATGAAGGGAGCTTGTGAATGGTTCCATGTGTGAATGTTCTAATCCTGAGGTCAGGGATGGATGTCAGTTTTGAAAACTATGACAGTGTTGGATTTTATTATTCACATTCAGGTTATTTTGGAGTAGTGGCTAAAATGAGAAACAACAAATGTACGACCTCATAGATTTGTTCATCAGATCTCACTGCAAAAGTTACCCATGACTTTAATAGCCTTCAGCTCAGTTACTGTTATCATTGCTTAGGGAGTATTGCTATGGCAATGAAAGGAGAACATGCTTAACGTGAGGGATTGCTTTTCATTCACTACCGTACGATAAAGAGTCGGTGGGAAAGCAACTGAAGGGTATCATGAATTTGTGCTGCAGATTTGCGGATGAGCTACTGCTATGCGAAGTTTGAAGGAGGGAAATGTTCGTCACCCAAATCCAGAAATCACTCCAAACAGGAATGCTGCTGCGCCCTGAAGGGAGAAGGTTGGGGCGACCCCTGTGAGCTGTGCCCCACTGAACCCGATGGTACGTCCGTCATCTGCATCTCCCTTTGGGCCATTCAAGGTGCAGACTGACCGTGAAAAAAAGATTGCAGGCCTTAAAGGCAATAAGACAATTTAATGTAATTGCAGGTCTATTAGAATGTTTGGTTAAAAAAATATTTTATATCTCAGGATCTAGGTAGTTATTTTCTTTTTTAATTATGTTCTAGATCAGAGACACCCAAGGGGTAGGCACAGCCTCTTGGGGGTGGGGGGTCTTGTTAACTTTCTCTGGTCTCTGGGCTCATTTTATTCATCATTTATCAATATACGCAGCATGTGGCAATTTGGCCGCCACAGAATGCTTGGGGAGAAGCCCGTGGCTAAGGGCCCCTGGTCTTGTCTGTTAACGAGTGTGTGTGTCTCTGCCGCAGAGGCCTTCCGCCAGATCTGTCCCTACGGAAGCGGGATCATCGTGGGACCCGACGACTCGGCAGTGGGTCAGTGGCTTGTGCTGGATTCGTGTCATTTCTCGGGTTTTCTCAGTCGGTCTTTTCTTTACCCTTTCTCTGACTGTGCTTATTGCTCTCCATCTATCTTGAAAAATGTAGCTCTACTTTCTTTGCCATGTCATTTGGACACCAGTTGCATTATTGTATTGTCGTATTGGATAGTCCAGCGATTAAACGCTGAAATGATCATAATGTACCATTGCGTTTAAAAAAAAAAAAAAACGTATCTTGTTATTCACCGTTTTCTTCCTCCTTTGCTTAAGATATGGATGAATGCAAAGAACCCGATGTCTGTAAACACGGACAGTGCATCAACACAGATGGCTCCTATCGCTGCGAGTGTCCCTTCGGGTACATTCTAGAAGGGAATGAATGTGTGGGTGAGTAGTAAGCCAGCTTCTTCCATTGGGATTGTACAAATTAGAAATTAAGCTATATATGGCATTCATGCTAGGAAGTTTAAGTGCCAAGAGGGGACTTAAATAAGTTTCGTCCATGCATGCATGTATATCATCCGTTTAGAATACTAGCCGAGTTACCGCCAAGCGCCAGGCGCAGTGCTGGGCTCTGGAGTACAGCAATGAACCAAGGTCCTTCCTCGCGTGGACTTTATAGTCTGATGGTGACAGCAGACACTGAACACGTTAGAAGAGATATTATCAGAAAGGGCAACATCATAATAGAAGTCTTTGTGAAATTTACAAAAAAAAAATTGTTAATGGTCATAATCTTGTTCTAGTAGTATTTAAAGTACAAAATTTATCTGGATTTTTCTATATTTAGTAATATGAATGGCTACATACCCAGTGTAAATTCCTCTTGTTTTAGCCCTCTTCTTAAAATTTCAAAGAATGGCTCCAATGGCTGACCTTTGACCCTTAATCCACACTAACTCCGAGTTAGATCCAAGTATTACATTTAGTTATCTAACAATTCCAAAGCAATTCAGTGAAACTTAATTGATAATGGCGTAAATGCTGAGGGTTTGTGTCAATTAGAAAATACTCTTTCTGTACAAGGAATCAGGGTATGAGGATTTTATCCCCAGCTACGGCTGTGGGAAGTTAAGCAAGTTCTTTAGCCTTTCTAGGCCATAGGACGTAGTATTATTCAGGTAAACTAACTTCTTTCTGACTACTTTCTAACCCTTGCAGCTCTAAACAAATCAGTGGTATTTTGATTTTCATTAATGTGAAGGAGAAGTAATATTCTCGAGAGTTGAATGTGATTTAATAGTAACACAGAAGCAAATTTGTTGGTGTTTTCTTGTTGGAATCTTCGTTAGTGATCCGCATACACACGGTGTCTTCTCCTCTCAGGCATACCCAGCGGTGCACATTTTGCATTCCAAAGATCCGTAGTGTTTACACACTCGGAAGGCCAGGCAGAGGATTCGTGGGCAACATTCGTTTAAATATCTGCAGCAAAAGCG